CTGGGCAAAACTACAGCTGGAAGAAAACAAACGTAACTGCTCCACATCAAACACCCAAAACTGTCTGATGACGTTGGCCTCTTGTGATTGGGTGAGACATTTGAGACGTCTCACGCTGTGAGTCAGACCTCCCGACAATTACCAGGGTTGATTTTACACCCACTCCCACAATCTGACACCAACTTTTTCTCTCCGTCCTCTCTCCGCCCCCCCCCCCCTCACCGTGTTTTTCCATGGTCTTCACTTCAAGCTCTCTAGAAATCACTCCACACATGGTTTCAGTCTGTAGTGTTTAAAAATGTGCACACACACAGACTCACAGCACTTGGCAGTAAACGTCCGTTTCAAATCTTACCTTTTTCTCATTCCTTCTTCGAGCGGGAAATGCAGAAACATTCCAGCGTTCAATGACAATTACATTTTTATGTTGGCACCAACTTTTAAGTGTCCCAGTTTTCAAATGAGAACCTCCTGACATTTATATGTGTCATTTTGAGTTCCCACGAGAGAGGTGTGTTTGTGTGTGTGTGTGTGTGTGTGTTTTCATGACAAAGACCCCAGCTCCGTGTCTGGAAGTAATCATCTGATCCAGGCTGCACTCTCCCCCTCCCAATGATGTAATTGGAGTTTTTCTGGCGTGATCGCTCAAGATTTTTAGGGGATTTTTCCAAAGTTAACTTTTCATTCATTCTTCCCTCTTGAACTATTGATAACTTTAACTATTTGAAACCAACGTCTTTTTTGTAATTGCAAATCCATCAGATCAAAGAATCACAGGATTAGATGTGTTCCATGTTGCAGGATGTGTAATGTCTCTTTCTTACAGTAAGAGGTTGTTTTTTTTTCAGTCTTTGCCTGCTGTTCAGAGGGGGAGAGAGGTTGGCTGTGTTTCAAACACAGCGATGGGGCCTCCTTCCCTCCTCCACATACTGCTGAAACAACAATCTAAGACTCAAAACGTTTTTGGTTTTTTTTAAACTTTCAGCAGCAATGTCTTCTCTTACTTTCCCCCCAATAAAAACACACACATTGTGGGATTGTGGAAAGACTTGACTGTGGGAGTTTGGTGTTTTTGTGAAGAAATTGACCATAACAGAGAATGAAAACATTGAAGAGAGAATGTAAAATGTAGACAGTAGTCCATGAAGGTTAGAGGTTGTAGTATGAGCAGTACAGTTTTGCAGTAACTCTAGCGTCTCCATGCTGATATGATGTAATGTTAACTTGATACCTTAGCTTATTGATTATTGTGAGGTCTGAGGTCGGTAGCCTCATTACAGAAAAATAAATCAGGAGTTAAATGGGATTTAAAAACAGATTCCTTTAACCACTATCACTACGGAAGCACTTCATGCATCCGTACATTTTATTTACTATATTTCCTGTGAGTAATTCCCAGTTGTTTTCTCAAGAGATCAATATATGGATCTCGTATTTCAAAGCCTCAAAAACATCGAAATAGGCTCAACTTACCTTATTTGCAATGACATCATAGCATGGCATGTCTGGGTCTGGAACATCACAGTGACCAGCCTATTGTTTTATTTTTACTTTGTTATAGCCTGATGAGATAAATTAACTACCTTACAATGGGTGAACCAGTTTATTTTCATCCCGAGACAACGAGGCAAAGACATCAGTGAAGACCTCGAGAAAATAAACAAGAAATACCTCATTATCAGGGGAAATGGAGAGATTCAAATGTATGATTGTATTTTCGCTTTTGGCTTCCGTATGATCATGGCAAACAAGCTGATAACGGGCAGTTAGCAATTCCTGTCATCTTGAAACCAAAGACTGTTAGGTAGAAACGCATTTCTCTGTCTCACCAGAAAGGGGCACCAACCGCGCCTGAGGTTGGAAAGTAAACACTCCCCCCTCCTCCTCCTCCCCACCTCCTCTTTTCTCCATAGCAGAAAGTTGAGATGGGAGGGGAGACAAGGGGAGAGGAGTCTCCTGTCTAATCCTTTGTCATGGGAAGACTTTCCTCTTCAGTGCAGGGAGAAAGAGAGAGAGAGGACTGTAGCTCCAGGAACGAGAGAAGCGCAAAAAGCTCAGGAGCCACTATGTGAATGAGAGAGGAAACAAACGTAAGTCACTCTACTCTTTACGCAGAAGTCGTTTAGGTCATGTCTGATGCTGAAATCTTAAATTGGTACTTTAAAGTGATGCTCTGCGATACCTCAGTCTACGTTTAAATTAAAAATTAAATTTGCACATTATTTTTTCGCACAAGCTATAATCCTTGTAGTATTATCCTGTGTAGAGCTGCTAAATGCATTAATGAAAAACAACATGAATAAAAATACTTAAATTGTGTTTGATTCACAAATATCAGTAAGCCAGGCTGATGCAGAGAAAATATGCAAAAGTCAAGTGCATTAGTTTTGAGTTTTCTTTGTTTTTATTGACCTGGAGCATCTTTTAATACAGGTCACACACAAACTGAAATTCTAACCTCTTATAAGAATGTGGTACTTACCTTCTCAGATCCATAGAAGTGCAAAAGAAAAGGTTAAAACTGAAAAAGTACATTGTACCAAAATTGAAGTCCTAGCCTTATTTCTCTTTACTTGGACTTCAGACTTTTTTGGTGTAAAAGGGCAAAAAATGGGGGCTTCTTGTCAGAGCAATATGGACGAACCAATCATTTAGGTAATCATGGGAAAACATTACTTATGTATGTATTTGCTAGTTTTTGTGTTATTATAAACTGTTCTTTGGTTTTATAGAAAGTTTCAGCACGTTGTGGTTACTGTGTTGGATTTTTAAAGACCTAATGGTTTCTTAAAACAAATAGGTAGATGAATTAAAATCATCATGAGTTGCTGCCCTTAAAGACTTGATTCAAACCAGTGTTTTTATCGTTTTAGTCTAGAAAGACTTGGGTGACAGCAGTTTGAGCCTCATTCAAGACTAACTATTTATCTACACAACTTCTAATCCGTGGACGCTCTTCCAGCTGTTTACATCTCTCTGTGTTTATGATCTGCTCTCTCCTGCTGGCCTGTAGCCTGGCCGAGGCAGTAAAAACTCTCTCTCTCTCTCCTAACATGAGGCTCTGGGTTTCTCCCCCCTTTTTTTCAGGCGGTCAGGAGAATGAACTCATGCTGATTGATTGTGTGACAGTGTAAAAGGATACCCTACTTCCTGTAGGCCCTCTCTCTCCCCTCTCTCTATCCAGACAGAAGGAAGAGAAAATCTTGGATCGGGCATCTGTGTGTGTGTATTGGTGTGTGTTCTGTCTGTAGATTCAGGAAACAGCACTGTCTGACTTTTAAAATCCCTCAGTGGACCCAATCATACTCTCACTCAATGTGTGATCATATCTGATTCTTACGAGGACATGAACTTGTATTTATTGCGCTGTTTGGTGTATCTATATCTTTTCTATAATCATAAATGAAAGCAAAGAGAGTAAGACTATTTTTCTGGGGTTAATCCCGTTTATTTGACTAAATGGTGAGACGTCATCCCCCTGGCTATTTTTTTTTAAATAATTACTTGTCGGTTAAACAAGTTATTCAGATTTTTTTATATACAGTATGTTGGCCCTCAATGACTGTCAAACGCAGCCACCCACCACTAGCAGGGGCTGTAGCCATAATCTGGCTGTAGATGAGGATAATGGGCCTGCTCTCCAAGCTACATACAATTTAAATACATTGTGCTAGAGTTGGTCTATTTTCTATGTCTTTTCTTCCCTTTAGATAGTCATTCAGTCTGAATTTAAATTTGTCTTCAACCGATTAGGAAATGAGTCGCCCAGGAGCATCCCATCTTTAAACGGGCAGAAACCTTGAGCAGAACTAGACTCCCCTCCATCTGCAGTGGACTGGCCAACAGTGTATGATAAAAGGAGGGATACTGTATAGAGACAGACAGAAGCCCCTTCACACATGCACTGTCCAGCAGCTGCATCTGTGACTGCAAACTCGCTTTATCCAGACTTCTCCCTGGCAGCTTCCCAGTGAATATTCTGCAAGAGGCTCTGGGGTGAGCCGATTTGTGAAAGCAGCAGCTAATATTATAATTCTGTGCTAATAAATTCTGTGCAATCAAGGTGGCAAAGATGATGATTTTTATCCTGCAACTGTGGTGTAATCAGAGCTATCTTTGAGCACATGAAGAAGCTGAGTCATACTTTTTTTATCTCGCCACCATGTTCTTTTCCACACTTAGACCCACACACAGACACTACAAAAACAGGTTATCTACTATGATGGAACATACAAGTAAAATACAGACACAGTTGAACAATAAAGCGGTTACATGTAAAGATTTGTGGTGTTTAAAAATGTAATCAGGTTTTGATGGAGAGACTTGGAGCAGGGCTTGCAAGAAACTTTGGATCCCCAAGTGATCCTCGTCCAGATTCACCCAGTCTGAACGTCTAACTTCAGCATGTGTCACATTGAGTCTGGGGCTCTGAGGGAATACTTTTGAGAGTTGGTCATGAGCTTCGGGGCGAAAAGATCAAGTGCTACTTTTTAGGACTCAGCTTTTATTGGCAACACAGACTGAGCCAGACAGAAATACTTTCCTCTGGATCTGTTTTCCCACTTAGCTTTTTGACGTTCTTTTTTTTTTTTTCTTTCGGGTTAAAAATGCACATTTGAAATATCTGCTTGAATTGAGGTATTGTTGTGGTGGTTTTTAGGGTGCCCACAAAGCGTGGATTCAGCTTCCTGTGAACTTCTTTAAATCGTTTGTTTCCAAACTAAAAATGGGACTGCATCATGTTACTGGAATATTAATGCAGGATGTGAGAAAGTAAAGTTGAACTGCTGTGTACTAAGATGAGCATGAAACACTCTCATATGAGACGTGAAAAATATTGAAGAAAAGAAGATGTTTTTTTTTTTTCTTGAAATGTTTACAACTTTCATAATGATTTATGAAATCATAAAATTTATAATCATGATGATTTTTTTTCTCAGGGAACAAAGTAGACCTCGCTCAGCATTCTCAGGCTGAATCAGAGAAAGAAGGTCTGTGTGATGAACAGCATGCTGCCTCAGAGGAGTGCTGTCGCCACACTGGGCTACAGCTCAGGTAAGACATCTCTCAGGATACTCTTTTAGTTTTATGGTAATATTTGGAGGCCTTTGATTTGATGACTTAATACGGGTTATTTTGGGACAAAGCTAACAGTAAACTAAAGGTATAAATCTTCCAGCTATGATCAAAGAACAGAGTCAGCTGGGTGACAAGAAACAAGAGCATCATTCAAACCTGTGTGCTCCTTGAAGCGGGCTTATTTAATGACAACTTCTCCTTTTTATAAGATTTATTTTGGAGATTTTAGTGCCTTTAATGGAGAGATAGGACAGTTGATAGAGTCAGAAATCAGGGAGAGAGAGAGTAGGGAATAACAAGCGGGAAAAGGAGCCACAGGTTGGATTCAAACGAGGGCCGCCTGCTTGGAGGTCATGCGCTCTAACCACTGCGCCACCAGCACCCCAACTTCTCCTTTTCTGAAAGCTCTACTGCAATTCACGCCAAACTCCTCCCTATAGTCTTTCATCCTCTCCCAATCATCTTCTATTTTTATATGAGAGAGAGATAGCGGGTTAAGTCATTAACATCTTTCTTGATCACACACCTTGAAAAGACAACAGCAATGATATTATTATATATCTTATAACTGATCATCCATCACATAAACTGCGATAGACTTGCTGAGGAGGAAGGTGACCTCAGGGGTTTTCTTGCAGTCCAGACTGTGATGCATTCTGGTTTGTCTTGGTCCACCAGCATTTTTCCATTTTTAGAAGAAGCTTAACCACTGATTGAGCCAGTGTTTGTGTTGGGCTCAGAACTGTATGAGCGTACATTCTTTACTGGTTTCTTACTCAGCACTAATGTGATAGTGCGTCTTCTCTTCGCTGATCTGGTGCTTATTAAAGCAGTTACCTTGAATCTGACACTTTTACACAGTCCAAAAGACACAAGATTTCATGCTCTACCAACTTTCTTCTATTTTCATCAGACTGTGGGAAGATGGAGCACGGCGGCGGCGGCTCTGTGGGTGGGACGGTGCTGAGGGGCTCCCGCTCTAAGGCAGAGCTCCAGGAGCTGATGGAGACGCTGCAGCGCAGAAAGAGCGCTCTGGAAGCTAGTTTAAGAGCAGCCGAGTGCAGCCGAAAGTACCTCAGCGTGCCTCCGTCCGGGGGATCCCAGTCCAGCCGGCCTCTTTCAATCCTCAGCAACACAGAAAGACCCCCATCTGCCCCAAGAACTTTCTCCTACATGTCCAGCAGCAGTGTGCCTCCATCACCTCGCCAGGGCGAACGCCAACTGAGCTCCAACGGCTTGCATCGCCACTCTCACTCTCGCCACCAGTCCCAAGACAGTCTGCTCACAGATGGAAGCTCTCTACTCTCCTCCTACGGGCCAACTTTACCTCGATCTCCGAGGGTGAAAAGTGGAGCAGCCAGCGTGCCGTCCAGCCCCAGAATGGGCCGCAGACCCTACTCTCAGGGCAGATCGGGAGGAGACGCCCGTCAGAGGAAATACTCCACTGGCTCCCTCAACAGCCTTGGCCTTCACAGCCGCTCCCTGCCTCGGCTTCACAATGCAGCAGACCCTCCTGCCTTGTCGTTACCGTCACGTCAGTCAGTGGGTTCCCACAGAGGAGTGGGATCAGCAGGGCAGCGGCGTAGTCTCTCCTCCCTGGAGCAGCCGCCAGATGTGACAGTACCAGCCAGCATGCCAAGCACTTCCAGAAGAGCCAGCCTGGCCTCTCTGAGCTCTCTGGGCGTGGACGTGGACGGGACGGGTTTGGATCTGAGTTTTGGAGAGAGACGGCTGTCTTTTGGGAAAGGTGGGCTCAGTGCAGGACAGAGGGTGGGTAGCATCAGCTCCTTGAATGGCAAAGAAGAGCTGAGAGATTATCATCAGCATCAGAGGGATGAACGGCTCAGGGAGCAGAAAGTGCAGAGATTGGTGAGCTTCTTTTTGAATCTTGTTCATTCAGTTTAAAACTACTTAAACACTTTCTGACCTTGTTTGAAAACCTGACAGTTAAAATAATGAAGTATGTATCAAATGTCTACAGGAGTGCCAGCGGCTGGAGACCATCTTAAACCTGTGCAGTGATCTGGGCCATGTCGAGAGAGAGCCAGCAGTCTCAGCTGTTTCCGACCTGCAGAAGATCAACAAAGAGTTGGAGAAGCTGCAGGTGTCGGACGATGAGTCAGTGTTTTCTGACTCTCCCAGCAGCACGGCTCCGGAGAGCAGCTTTGGGGCCAAAGCCAGCAGAGACTTCCACCTGTCTGAGGAGCAGCAGGTCAGCCAGCGCCAGCAGAGCGGCTACAGAGAGGCCAGGTCCCACTCACCTGTTGTCAGTCTGAACAGCAGTGCCGCTTCACCCGCCACCCAACACAGAGCCAAAGTAAGTCTCACCTCATCCATGTTTTCTAACAGAACGCATCAGGTCAGGAGGATGAAATTGAATATGGGCATATTTATAGGAATCAGGAATTTGATTAAATCCTTTTCTTTTATCTCAACTAAAGAAGTCCCAGCCCCATTAACTTAAATAATTTGGTTAGAAACTGGTCGTTGTATTAAAATGACAACATTTAAAAAACCTGCAACTCATTCTGCATTTCTGACTCAGTTAAATAAATCAGGTGAGCATCTTTTTTCATCGTAGCCCACTATCATTGGTTAGTAGCTTGACCCAGCATGCAGATTATGCAAGATAGTGAAATTAGATAGAAACCAGAAATACCTACTGGTAAATAAAATAGATAGAAAATGTATTTTTCCCAGCTTATGCTGTATCTTATATCGTGGTGGTCACTGAATTATTATTGTTGTAATTATTAAAAAGAAAAGTCTCTTGGCCCCTCTCTTCAGCCTCTCTCTACCAGGTCCTGCTACAGTTGGAGTGTAAATGTTTGTGAAGAGAGGAGTGAGCGTTGTGAGCACTAATGGGGCACACCCCTCCTGTGGAATGCAGTTTATCAGACCGCTGAAACATTCTTGATCTTTGTTTGTTTACCTGATGTGATATCAGGTTAAATACTTTCCATTCCCAAATTAGTTTGCATTTTTGGATTTTCTCTATCTCGTAGATCCTCATTAACAAAAACCTTTACCGTTGATAATGAATTCCAGTCAAACCAAATGAGTCCACTAGTGTGAGCTATTGGTAACATGTTTTTTAAATTCATTTCTTGCCATTTTGAATGTGGACCGTTTTTCATTGGTGAAGACTTTTTGTTTTGTTTTGTAAGAAACAACGAGCGGGATTGAAGAGGTTAATGTGGGCCGTATAGCATAATCATGATCTAAACAATGATAAATGTAGCCATAGATTTGGTTTGAACTGTATTTGTCTGGATGAAAAGTGCAAAACATCTGTGGCTTCCAAAGACGCTGAGTCATACAATGATATAATCACTCAACACATATAAACAACGGACATAGATCTCCAAATCATTGGGCTTTTAGTCAGGAGTACAGTAAGTGCCTGCAGTTTGCAGTTTGTACATTTCCTGTTTACGTGTCTGAACGGCCACATAAACATGAGGCTCAGAGTTGTGAAAGACCTCCTCACAGCTCTGGCTCATCTTTATGCTCTTCAACTTATTCAATGTGTCAAAGTTGAAAGAAAGAACTAACAAACGAAGGATCTTGTGAATTTTAAGAATATAAACAGATTGCATGTATAAAATGCTGTGATTTAATCTCGAAGGCATGCCACCTCCTCCACTGTCTCCCCTTTCAGTCCCAATGTCTCTGTTAAAACCTCGTTTCCACTTTAGAGCGACCTCTCGGTGTGTCTGGTTTTAATGAAGAAGTCCTAGTTTTGTTTCAGCTCTCAGCCTTTCAAAAACTTTAAAGATTGGGTGAGGGGGGGGGGGGGGGGCAGGAAATGACTTTATCCCACTGAGAATTAGTGTGCAGATGTGTGTGCGTGCAGTGTGTACTGGTTCTGTGTGAGTGGAAGAATGCTGGTGTATATGTTTTTTCAGAGGCATGCGTTTTTCCAGATGTTTTGAACCTAATACAGCGGCTGAATGGATGGAAGACCTTGTGAAAGGGGAAAATGTAGTTAACACATCATCACAAGTAATTAACCATGATGTTTAAGATGTGGCAGACACAAGCGACTGACACCTAGAGTTTGTTAAAAAAAAAAAAAAAAGGTTTTAAATTGAGACCATCATTTCTGCGACGTGTAAAAAAAAAAGCAGTTTACAGACTCCTGCGTCTACCCTCTCCTGCATTCCTCACAGCAGTGTGTGCAGCCGAGGAAACTATAAATCCTGGAGCTGCAGGCCACAAAAACAATCCTCCTGACTCCTAAAAGGAAGAATACCTTATATAAAAAAAAATGGATCCTTTAACTGCACCCACATGTGAATGAGTATGAATGGACGTTTGTGGGACTTTGGTAGAAGATGAAAGACGTGGGAGGACTTTGGCGTGAATTGCACTCGAGCTAACAGATAGATGTTTCCATTACATGAAGTAGAAAAGAATCCTGCTGTCGGTGATCCAGCTTTGGATGACTTGAAACAGCAGCTGCTTGTCGAATTAAGAAAAAAAACAGATTCCGCTTGCTGGGAAATGACTTTAACACAATCAAATGCATGGAAAAAAAAAATCAGTTCCTCATATTATATAAACTCTCTGATCGTAATCAGGATCATGAAAAGAAGGCCTTCATGAATTCATAGATTCCCTCTGGTAATTTGCAGTCATGTGACGTGTCCTGTAACAGCCAAGCCATTTCTATGCATACCTGATGTCACTGCAGGCATTAGAGAGCGTGCAGCTGAAGCAGGAAGTAACGCAAATAGAGGAGGAGAGGATCCAAGTCCTGAACAACATCGAGGAGCTGGAGCAGAAGATCAAAGACCTGGACAACCAGATGGAGGAGTCTGTCAGAGAGGTACAACCACCGCTCGGCACAGCGCAGTGCAACAGGAAGCAAACACAACTGATGCCAGATATTGATAGCTTGATATTCTAACAACTCTAGTTATTCAGAGTGAGATGTTTGATGTTCACACATTCTGCATTTTGATCCTTTTTAGGCACTGTAACTTTAAATTATGCGTTTGTTACTGTTTCCAGCTGTGATTATACGTTTTCCGTTGGTGAATCTATTTATTTATGTTTCGTTTTAACATTTACAAAACTTATGTTTCCTGCAGATGGAGGTGGAGATGGCGCTGCTGGAGGGGGAGCAGGAGTCAGAGATGACCCAGCTGCAGAGAGAAAAGGAGCTTCTGGACCAACTGAAGGAAAAGATTCATAGCAGTGAGAAGAAGAGCCACACTGAGAAGTCACAGGTAAAAAAAATAAAAAAATTGCCTGAAATGTTTAAGCCGAGAAAAGGTTTGAAGCAATGAAGATGACCTCACCACTTTATTTGTTTTTCCTCTCATTGGAAATTTGAGAAAGAGTAGTCGGAGGTGATTCAGGGGGAAATCCTGCATTGAGAAATGGGTTGAGTTGCATTTCCTTTAAAATCGAGAGAGAAAATACAAAACATACAAAAAAAAATCTGAAAAAGTGAGCTGCAAAATGTTTTAGTCCACCCCAAAGAGAGTTAACGATATCATGGAGCCTCCTAAGGGAAAAGGAAGTAAAATAAAAAATGTAGTTCTAATGACAATACGCAAAAGTAGGACATTTAAATACAATAAACATTATCTGTCTGTTTTTATTTGAGTCATTTAATTTATCTTTTTCTTGTGTTGGCCTTAAGACATTTCAACAAAAGAACTGTCAGCTGATCTTTTTGCAGCAGTTTTCCTGTCATGAAACCCCTAAAGAGCAGTGTGAAGAAGTGTTAATGAAATTCGAAACACTCTCAGTTCCCCTCTCATTTTCCACCTGTACAGTCTGGTTTTTTTTCTTTTCTTCACTTTTTTTTTTTTTTTTTCACGCTGTTATTATACTGCCTGACGTTGTTCTTTGTGATCCTGGATTTCTTCCTTTACTTCCCGTCTCACAGTTACCACTTGTGTTTCTGCCCCGTAGAGCCACATATGGGAAGAGGCCTAAATAGGTAACACATGCAGGAAGAAAAAGAAGTGTTAGCTCATCTGACTCCAATTAAGTGGAAAAGTAAAATCACCTGAAACCTGAAATCACGTGGAAGGACTTGATATTTAACACACATTACATAACATCGACATTCATCTTAAAACTTTCTGCGGCAGACGGCCTGCCAAATGCATGAATCAAGCATCAAATAATGTGCAGTCCAGTCACTGGTTCTTCTTTTAAAGTTTGACCTTGTTCCTTGAGCTCAAATTATATCAACTTCTCTACCAGTGCATCCTGTTGTCTTCTTCTAAGCTGATTATTGTGCGTCTGTGCTGTTTCTCAGGAGGAGCAGACAAAAAGTCTGGAGGATTTGGAGTTCCAGAAGCTGGAGAGAGAAATCAATCAGGGTGAGGAAAAAGAGAACCAGAGCCAAGAGGTGCTGCGAGAGATCGCCGAGTGTCAGCGTCTCACTGTGACACGCAAGGTACGGAGAGCGAGGTGTGTCTGTGTGTGTGCGTGCGTGCGTGCGTGCGTGCGTGCGTGCGTGCGTGTGTGTGCAGCATGTCGTGCATGTTAAACACTGCTGTATGTGCTGGCACAGCATCACATAAAAATGTCTTATTTTCAGCCAAAAAGTACATTACTGTATAAGTAATGGAGCATTATAACAGAACACAGATCATCAGGTCGATAAAATCTCAGATCTTTTTTTTTTAAGTGTGCTGTTTTATAAGTTTAGAAAAAGTAGATCATTAGTGTCAGCATGCACTTCTCACAGTTTGTTAATTTAATTAGTGAACTAAATCACAGTCATTCAAATTCTTAAAAATGAAACTTATACGTAGTAGACCTTTCTTTTTGTGTTTTGTTGTAATTACTTATTTTTTTTAGATTTTTCCAGTTACTCCATCTTGGTTTGTTGTCATTAATCTTACCACAGGTTGTGCATGAAAATAAAGCTGCAAAATTGTGCTATTTGCAGCACAAAGCATGAACTAATCACAAGAAACAACAATACCAGCAATGGTAAGCATGAACAACTGTTTGCATAGATGTAGTTATAGTTATAGGGGAAATACATTTGAATGAGGTTGATTTAGTTGAACATGTAGTCATAGACAAACAAAAGTATAATATGTCAGCAAGAGAATTTAGCTTTTGTTCACTCTGCTGCCGCTTCACCATGAAACACTTTAGCATTATAAAACACTATGACGCCATCTCTAAGTCATATTGGGTTTGAAGCGTGTGTGTAGTGTAATTGGGCTGTTTTTTTTGTTATCCTCTCAGGAAAAACTCATGGCGCTGAAGAAACAGTCGACACAGATCACTTTACAGGCTCAGCAAGAAAGAGAACATTTCCAGAGAGAGAAAAACAATTTGCTCATCATGCTTCAGAAGGTACGAGAGCTCTCTCTCTCTCTCTCTCGCTCGCTGCACGCTCATGTTTTAAATGATTAATTTTATTAACTTCAAGATCCTGTCCTGATGCCTGCAGGAGAGAGACAAACTGGCATCTTTGGAGGGAAAGTATGCAGAGTTGTCTGAGGGGCAGAACTTCACTAACAACCCTGCAGCCATTGCAGAGGTAGGTATCAGTTACAGCTATAATCACATTTTAGATTTCTTTTACCAGCAGAGTGCTCCCATGTCAAAAAAAAGCATCTCCCACAGTTAACAATGACTGAGTGAGAAGTCCTTTTGTTATCCTGTGTGATTCCCCTGATTTCTCTGCCTCCACAGCACTTACTCTCTCTGAAGGAAAGAAGAAGAAGCAGCAGCGGCAAAGATAACTCCTCCCACCCAAGTGACGGCCTGTCTCATAAGAGGAGCCAGCAGATCCTCAACTCTTACGGCAGATCCCTCGGACGCACGCTTCCGCCTAAGGTCATTACATTTTAATCGAAGCAGGCATCAAAGATTGGATACAAAAAGATCCAACTGGGTTAAAATGGTGCTTCTTAATATCTCATGAGACTCATACATCTCTAAAAACCTGTTCGTTTTTCTCTAATGTTACAGAGTAGGCCTCACAGCAAGGTCAACCCAGGTTTCAGAGCTTAAAAAGTTATAAAATATGAAGAAATCATTACCAAGCTGGTAATGGTTGCAGAATCCTGTTGCGCTCTCTTATTTCTGGACAGCAGTAGAGGGGATTTCACTGCCCTCATTACTTCTATCGGGAACTTTCTGTCCCAAGAGAATGATCCACCCAGACAGGAATTCTCCATTTCAGTCTGGCTCGCCCCGGCTGACTAAGTGCTTTAACTATGAGAGCCTTTTTTTTTTGTGATTGTGAGAAGGTTGTCGATTCTGACCATGAACATGATGTGTGCTCTTGGGTGTGCTCCTCAGGCCCATCTGCCTCTGTCCCAGAGCTCCAGCTGTGGCAGCGTCATCCCACCAGGCTTCAGCTTCTCCCCGCGGGACCTGAACGTCCGCCACAGGCCCAAGAGTGAGTCAGAGTGGCGGACTGTCGCATCTTGTCTGCATCAGACCTCTAGAGTACTGCGTGTGAGCGTCTTTACGCCTCAAGGCTTTAGTCGGGTATAAGGTCAGAAAAATGATGAAGGGATGAAGTCATCAGTGGCAGAGAACAGAGACACATTTCCTCCAAGACCGACATCAAACACTAAATGTTTGTTTGATTGGAAGAAACCCACGTTGTAGATTGAGATTTGTGATTTCAAGGCTAATCACTTACAAACAAGTAACATATACTGTTAAAGTATAAAATATAAAGTGTTTCTTTTGGTAATGGCAGTACTTCGGTATGTTAGCTATGTGTAATTCATTAGATATGTTAAATGAGGTATTTAAGATCATGTTTGAAGATCAAATCTTGTTGTGATTTTATCAAGAAAAGCATGATATTGACTTCTACTGCATCTCAATAGAAGACATTTAATGACATCCATGAAGCTTTTTACATATTTATAGTTTCTCCTGAAGATTGAGGCTTAAAAGCTCTACCAGAAAGTGTTATTGCAGTTCCCAGTTTAATACAGGAGACTTAAAAAAAATGTTTTTCCAGGTTTAATGAAACAGATTTAATTAAATTCTGATCACAAGACACTATCCTACTGAGCCAAAAAAAAAAAAAAAGATGCTTTCTTGTCGTCATCCAAATTGTCACTGTGATATTCTCCTCTGTTAGCAGGCAACAGCCATGCGCACATGAATGAAGACAGACAGAGAAGGAGTGATTTTTGCAGAGGGATGGTCTCTGAGCCCAACGTGTTCCTGGACTCCTTCTCGTACCCCGACAACAGCCAGACCTCTGATACGGTCAGTGTGGACAGCTCTGACAGCCTGGAGACCAGCTTCTCCGCCTGCTCCCCAGACAACATCTCCAGGTCAGAGAGGAAACACCATGCATGCAGATGAAACATTACTTCTAAAAGTCTGGACAGGGCAGATACATGTGGGGAGTTGTATGTTTAGAAAAGAAGTTGGAGCACAAAGACTGGGGATATCTTTTTTTAGGAGATATTCTGGAGATCAGAGGAGGTGGTGTTTAAAGCTCCTGTGAGGAGTTCTTATCTGTTTATGAAACAGACAGAAATCAATATCGCTGCCTCTATGTGACCATCAGGGAGCAGGTTGATCATTTCTTTATAGTAAGTCTGTAATGCCTTCAAACACAGCTGCTGAGACGGTGTCAGGCAGAGGGAGGGCCGGCACACTGCAGAAACAGCCTTTTTGGATGTTTCCCACAGCAAAGATTCACATTTAATGATAAGCTTGTCTGTTAAAAGAAAGCAATGTGAAATTATTTTGTTTAAAAATTACTTAGGAATGTACAGGACAAGCTCAGCAAAGAGTTAAGAGGCACCACTTTGTCCACAGGGGGGCGCCACAATATCAAACTTAACAAACTTAAAGGTCCTCACAGGAGCTTTAAAGAGACAGTGACGGTCTGTGTTTGTGTCAGAGGAGACATAAAGCATGTTCATATGATTAATAGTTCTCTAAAACATTTACATACAAGTTTGCAAATTCACTGACCACCTTATAAAATGATTAATGTCAATGACAAAACTTGCACTTTGTTGTGTTAAGGGGGGGTCTTATCCAGGAAGGTAGTTTTCCAGAAAGCCCAACCGCATGACGTTTATTTCCTGCAAATTAAAAGAGTTTTGACTCTGGAAATGGTTTTCCTCTAGGAAACTCAAGTTTGCCTTTTCCCCTCAGTGCCAGTATGTCAAATATGATCAAGATGGAGGAGATGGAGCGTTTACTGCGCGAGGCCCAGGCGGAGAAGCACAGGCTCCTCGAGCATCGAGTAAAGTGTCAACCATTATTGAAAGCCACTTTTTCTAAAGATATGAGTGTTTAACAGTGGATTTTATTAGCTCTTATGTGGCATGTGTAGGAGCGTGAAATGGAGATGCGCAGGCAGGCTCTGGAGGAGGAGCGGAGACGAAGAGAGGACCTGGAGAAACGACTGCAGGAGGAGACGAGCAGGAGACAGAGACTAGTGGAGAGAGAGGTGAAGCTCAGGGAGAAACAGAGATCACAGGTAAACATGAACATACCAAATCTGGTTTTCATTAATTGTCTTTTTTTCATGTAAATTCTTCAAACAGAGCAGTACAATGTTCTATTTTATACTTTTTTTTTCCACAGTCCCGGCTGACTCGCTACCTCCCTGTAAGGAAAGACGACTTTGATCTTCACGGCCACATTGAGGCGGCGGGACACAACCCAGACGCCTGCTTCCATCTGGCCATCACTGATAAAACCTGTCGGGGGTTCCTGGTCAAAATGGGCGGCAAGATCAAGACCTGGAAGAAACGCTGGTTTGTGTTCGACCAGAATCGCAGGACGCTCACCTATTACGCAGGTCGGTGACTCCTCCTTTCAGTTGTGTGTGGAAAATGTGAGATACGTTTCAGAAACAGTGATGTCACTCTGAGGGATTTGCAGGACGCTTTAGATGCTGCAGAACAAGCTTTGATTACAGATTTGTGGATGCATAAACTGTTCTGCTTGTATTCTCGGCTGCAGACAAACATGAAACCAAGATGAAAGGAGTCATTTACTTCCAAGCCATAGAGGAGGTGTACTACGACCATTTGAAGAACGCGCATAAAGTAAGTGACTCTGTGTTCATGTCGGTGTGTTTCATCATCCACTGATGCCATTTTTATTTGAAAATTGTTGACATCCTTCTCTATTCTCCCTCCATCTTTCACCTTACCCATCTCCCTTCTATATTCTTTCACTTTGGCACCCAAGAGCCCCAACCCCTCGCTGACCTTCAGCGTAAAGACCCACGATCGGGTCTACTACATGGTGGCTCCGTCGCCTGAGGCCATGCGTATCTGGATGGATGTCATGGTAACGGGCGCAGAAGGACACATGCACTTCATGGTGTAGCTGATCCCAACAGATCACAATGACATTTCTTTGGTGAAAGCTGCGCCAAGTTATAAAGGAAATGCGCAGCGTTCAGTTTGTTGGAGGGAACAGCCTTGTGTTGAGCTGAGACGGATGATCATCAGGTGAACAAATTAACTTTTGTTTACGCTTCAGGTATTTGTAGCCTTCAAGAACAACTCATGCTGAGATTCACACTCTTTAATGTGATCATGTATAACACTACATAAAACTGATCAACACGTTTTCACAATAAGCTATTTAGTACATTTTATATTTGTTCATGTACCATAAGTGTTTGAAACATTCCTTAACTTTGCATCAATTTTGCTCTGACATTTTCCAACTTTCTCCCCTCTCATTAAATATCCTGCTCTGAGTTATGATTTGGATTTTTGATTAAAGACTTGATCAAGGAAGCTTCTAAATGATCAGACACTCAATGTCTGCTGCACTCCTAAATTACGGTACACACTGATGCTGCTTCACTGTCACAGATGCCAATTTGTTCATCAGTCTTGTATCAAGTGTAGGTCATTGGTCATTCAAGCTCAGGTTGAAGGTTCAGGTTCACTTCTGCTTCTTTTCTTTCTTCTTCCATCCTTTCCTATTTTGATCATAAGGACTGACTTATGATTGGACCAAGTGCTCATTTATCTTACACTAAGATTTAAATGTTTTTCTTTTCTATGTCATGCTGTACCACACGTACATGATACTGAAAAGGGGTCACGGTGTTGTGTGTCTGTATTAAGTTGCAAAAACTCTAATTTTTATATTTTAATTATGTCTACATTATGTCTACATTGTCACATATGATATATTCGCATATAATTTTTTTTGTGTGTCTGATAATTTGCTGCTTCTAGACTGTCAGCACAAGCTGGTCTTGTCTGCCTTTATGCAGGCCTGAATGTCCATCATCAGTGTTCCTTCAATCAGAGACATCTTTTGCTTTTATTCACATTGCAAATGTAATTATTGAAGGAGATATAGGCACTTTTATATTTTATGTTGTTTTTTTTTTTTAGTCAAATATTCTACACTTACTATGAGAAAGTGTTGCCCAGATCAGAATGTAACTGTGTGTCATGTGTGACACTGTGCAGCTGGCTCCCTCTAGCTTCAGGAGAGGCTGCAGGCCTGATAAGATGAGGCCATGTTGTGCGGCAGTCATGCTGTATGTACTGCGTCACCCACATGTTCCACAAGACTTTGCAGTGAGTGTGTGTTTTCACCAGCAGAGGTCCTCAGTGCAGAGTTATTGCTCTGAAATGACGTAATGCTCTGGCTGCTCCGTCCTCACTGAAATAGAGCAAAATTCACTGAGCAATGACCAAACCTTCCAAATATGTGCATCACAAGCACATTTTTTTTTTTTTTTATCAAGCTTAAGATCTGCTTCTGGAAGCAAAACAGAAAACAAGATCATTTATATGATCATAAACATGAAGTATTTTATATATATATTTTTAAACATATAATACATTTCTACATTTGTCTTATTCATTGACTTTTAGGAACTAATTGATTGTACTGATAAAAAAAAATCACTTACACCAGCTGTTGGTTTACACACTGCAAAGGGCGAATAAGGCTGCAGAGCGGACGGTGTTACAGATGAGTTGGTGCCTGTGCTGGATGATTCTCAGAGAACAGACTAGAGGTACATGTCATGTAAATATCTCATCCACATACTACCCTTGAAACCAGACAAACAAAAAAATGTTAGTATATTTTTTAAATAAGTTTCATATGATATATTTTGTACAAGCAAAATGGTAATTGGATTATGCTATCAGTTTTTACAACTGCCATTTGTACTGTTTCAAAAAGATTAAGAATAAATCATTTTGATTGTGAATTATTCTTGTGAAATGTTATGCTATCACTTCACTGAAACTCATGTTTGATGGGGTGTCTGTGTGAAAACCTGATCATGTGAGGGGTGAAATGGGCTAAATTGGAGCCGATAAAAGGCTATATAAATAAAATATATTGTGTATTATGGGAAGTAATAATTTGTCTTACACTGTTATGTAATGCATCGCCATGGGACTCATGCCTTTATTTTCAATGGCTGCACACAGCCCCTCGGAGCAACCGGATGTTTTCATCAAAAATCTTTAAAGAGGTTGCTTTCATCTACAGTATCTCATTGATCTTCATAACAGTCAATACCACCATCATTAGCATTTTTGTGCTGATTCATTAATGCTATGTCATTAAAGGCGACAGATGCATTATTAAATCATTTTCATAACTTAATAGTTGCTGTTTAAATGTGTATGATGTGATAACTGGTCTTATTAGCATGTATACTGTGATTGTGCTCATTAAGGCACTCATGTTTTAAACTCCTCCCCCTCTCAACTCTCTCAGCCTTTCATTGGTTGACCTAGTGGGGTTGGCATGGAAACACAGAATGAAGCATGCTAAATTAGGTGCAAAAGAGGCACGTCGTCCTTCCAGAGGCAGGAACAGACACAAACACATACAGACCATGGAAAAGCCAGGTTGGCCTCAGTGCATTATGGGTGCTGTAATTTGTGAAACACATTTGGGGCAAGGGGCCGGGCTTAAAGACACATAAACAACCGATAAACAGAGTCTGTCACTTTCACGTATTAGCATTAAGCCACATTTCTGGGAAAATCATGTGAAAGGATGTGACAAAAGACAGCATTCAATCCATATGTGTGTTTCCTCGTTTAACCTACAGGAACCGAACTCAGTCTGACAGTTTCCCACAAGAGAGAGCAATACGTTTATCACACTGGTGCATGAACCGTCTGATGTGAGAGAGGTTTAAGTAAATGTTTGAACTTTTAAATCCCAAATGGCAGGTGTTATCATGAAGCCAATGTGTTGTTTCGGAGCCTTAGGAGGAAGCTGTCCTTTTCTCAGGGAGACGTGAAATGCTTTTTATCAGTCACTGATGTGGTGGAATCCTCGTGTTTTTCCTGGGTGAAATCCGCTCCCCTTTCCTCAGCTTGCTGCCTCTGGCTCTTTAGAGTTAACAAAGGTCTTTTTGTATCACCTTTGCAGAGGCTTTTTTTTTATACAACTCTATGTCCTTTACTCTTTATTTCTAACACCAGACTCCTTTTTAACATCGCCCCATGACTCAGATCAGCTCCCCATCTTTAACCTGTGGTTTTACTCTCTCTACTTATTTTGGATACCTTTAATCTTTTCCTCTTAATGTTCTGCCTTTGTGCAACAAAGCTTGTTTTTTTTTATCCCAATAACTGTTTTTTTTTTATGTATGTCAAACTGCTTCTATATGTCCAAATCAAATGATCCGTGATTATTCAGCCGATCCACTGGCTGCTTTTCACACTAAGAATAGCAATGACACACATTCCCAATTCTTTTCCTGATAATAAGGCATGCATGTTAAGCATTTACCCTTGTAGTTGATTGGCTGGGCTCTGCTGACATTCATGTGCTCACTATCCAGGTCACTGAGCTGAGTGTGGGTGATGTTGGAATCGTGCGCCCATGAGGACACTGTAGTATAAGCACAGCTTGTAGTAAGATGGTGAGCCATGTCAGTGAAAATGTTTAAATGTTTCTTCTTTCTGTTCACTCTCCTCCTAAATTTTTCTCCCTGTTACAGAGTTATGTAAATTCTTTCCACATGAGATTAACTCAAAGAGATGATGTAGTCCTACTTAAAGCAGAGCCTGTTAATCCTGTTCATATCTGCTCACTTTTCTTATCCGTCTGCCACAGTATAGAAAAAAGATGTAAGTCAAAACTTAAACAGGTCTTGTCTTGCTAAGCACGCATTTTGTTTTTTATTGATTAAATAGGAAACAGAACAACATAGATGAGATTATTCACAGAGATATTGTTCTCATCCGAGTATAAGTAGGATAAGGATGTGCCAGTGTTCGAGCTGGAGATCTCGTCTCAATTGTTCACATTGCCATTCATAATGGCCGCTGTCCATTTCACAGGAAGGCGTTATTTCCATTCCCCCGTTTAAAAGCAGTCTGTCCATCAGTTCACAGTGAGATCATGTTACATATGAGCAGGCAGACAAACAGGCGCTATACAGTTCAACATCTTCTTCAAAAGTTAATGGCACGTTTTTTTTTCTGCTACATATATCCAGAGATAGATGTGGAATGTAAATTTGGTTGTTTTGCATTTAATTTAGAGAGCTCCTGCGGTTCTTCTTCTGACTTAAATAAAAACGTAAAGGGACTTGTTGTTATCAAAGAGACTTCCTGGAAAGAAAGACAAAAAGATTTGGCGAGTCCTACAAAAAGTTGGGAGTAACAAAAGTTAAAAGTACTGTAGAAAAGATTGGACACATTTTGAGAGTCTGTAGGAAAAGCACCCTTCAAAAGGCACTCTCCCAAGTTTTGTGAGTGTGTGTGTGTTCCCAGAAGACCATTTTTTTCTTGCGCGTCCTTTTGTTACCAAAGCTGCTGCTGTGTTTTCAGGTGTGACCCGAAAAAACCTTTCCTGAGTGCATGTCCAATTTGCTCAGCTTCAGCTCCCCGTGGTGATGTTTTGTGCTTGAGTGCTGTCCGGCTGCTTGTCCTGTTACTGCTGCTTGAGGTGTAGTGAAGCCAAGAGATGACAGAAAGACAAGCTAAGAAGTACAAATTAGTTTAAAAAGTGTGGCTGTGTAGATGTGTGGGCAAAAAGATGCAGTCAAAGCCAATGATCATCCAGTCCATTGTTTTTATTTTCTTGTCTGGGTGCTGCCGCCTGAAGCTGCAGGTTTATTACCAGCCCTGCGGACAGGGACCTTGGACACCGGTATCTTGGTGCGTGGTGTTTCTTTAGCTTGAGGGATTTGTGAGGTGCTGTGCTTCACAGGGATCTTTGAGTCACGCGGTAAACTGGTGAGGACTTTCTGCTGCTGACTCTCCTCCTGGCTGTGTTTTGAGGTGGGCACATTAACCTCAGACTCTCTGATTTTATCTCTGCTTCCCACATCATGGGAGTTGAAATTTGGCCTCTCTTCTTCTAGCACAGGAGTAGGTGGGTCTCTGTTAGTCTCATCATCCCTGTGTTGACTGTCCCGCACAGGTATCTTGCCTGCTCTGCCCCCTCCTACTACAGGTATTTTGCTAAGTCCGGATGCCTTCACTTGTGGTGTCCTCTTCTCTCTCGGGGTTTCCTGTAAGCTCGATTCATTATGCTGTTGTTCTGTTTTGTCTGGCAGAGTCTGAGAGCTCTGGGCATCTTTGCTACTTGGACTAGACAGCTTCCCTTCCATTGATGCCTGTTCACTTCCTCTCATCTCACTCTGCCGGGATGAATTAGGAAAAGAAAGAGAAAAAGAGACAGGGCATGGGACAGGGGTGGGGGTAGAAGGGGCTTTAGATTGTGAAACTTGAATCTGAGCAGAAGCAGGAGCATCTTTGGATACTGAAATTGGGATGTGTGCCAGGGGAGGAGGACCAGTATGTACAGAAACTGGAATCTTAACAGGGGCAGGGGTGTCTTTAGATATAGAAACGGGGATAAAAGCGGTAGCAGGATGGTCTCTGATTACAGGAACTGGGATCTGAGCAGGAACAGGAGCATCTTTTGATAGAGATTCTGGGATTTGAACCTGGGCAGGAGGGGCTTTGGATTGCAAAACTTGAGCTGGAAAAGGTGCAGAAAGCTCTTTTGATACAGAAACTGGTATCTGAGCAGCTGAAGGAGGGTCCTTAGATTGTGGAATTTGCATTGGAGCAGGAGCAGGTGGATCTCTAGATCTTGTGTTGAGGCTAGGGGCAGAAGGACCTTTAGATTGAGGGGCTGGGATCTGGCCAGATGCAGGAGGTGTTGGGGATGGTATGGAAACATCAGCATGAGTGATAGGGGCAGAAGTCTGTGTTGGAGCTGGCATTGTCTTATCTACAGAGACTAGTGCAGGAGGAGGTTTATAGGCAGGAGGGATTTTATCAAAAGAGGTTAAAGAAGGGGTTGGGATGGATGCAGGGCAGTGTTGGGATTTAGCGATGGAATTAAAGGTAGAGGAAACATCTGGGACAGTAGCAAGGGAATAAGTCCTGTTTAAGTCCAATGGGCTCGATCTGAGTTGGGGCGTTGAAAGGGCAGCAGATGCTGAGCTTGAGGTTGCAGTTGATGTGGGAGCTGTTGTCATCTTGGAGGTAATACCAGGTGCAGGAGAGGGGGGTTTTGTTGTAACAGTACAGGCCAGAGATTCTGTCGCTGGGGCTTTCGATTCTGCTGTAACTGAACTAAGGAAAGGTTTGTAGGAAGATGAGGTTTGCAGGTTCAAACCCCCAGCTGAATCCAATTTGGGAGGTGGTGGATGTTGGGCAAAAGAAACAGGGGTTGGAGGGCTATGGGATACTGGAGGTTTAAATGGGGCAGGAATTGCTACAGGGCTGGGTTTACTTACTGGAGCAGTAACTTCAGATGGCACTGCGCTCTCTGAAGCCACTTTGCTAATCGTAGAGGTAAGACTCGGACTGACTGAGGGAGCCTTGACTACAGTAGCCGGGGTGTTTGAAGGAGCTGCGGCTGCAGTAGAAGTGGAGCCCAGGGTGGATTTAGTTATCATTGAAGGGGAAGACATTTTTGGCGCTGAGAAGCTTGTTAGCGTTACAGGGGTAATGCTAGTAGAAAGTCCAGAGACTTTGACTGAGTGAGTCGTCAAAGTGGAAGATTTGGTCAACGTTGTGATGATGGTGCTGGGCTTAGCAACGGGAGAAGAAGTTGTCGATGTCTTTGTCAGAGGAGTAAAGGGTTGGGTTGAAGCTACAGGAGAGGGTTTTGCCCATTCGGCGGTGCTTACAAAGGTAGAAGTCAGCGGAGATGTGATGGATGGTTTGGAGAAGAGAGATGTGGATGATGGCGTGACTTCAGTCACCACATCACTGATTGCAATGCTGGCTTTTCCCCACTCTGCCTCCACATCAGCCATGATATCACCCCCCGAGATGGAGTCAAAGGTCAGGAGAGAGGAGATGTCTGCCAGCAAGGAGCTCAGACTGCTATCACCGGGTACCAAGGGGGGTTCAGATTTGGGAAAAGGCGGCACATGCTCATTAGTACTACTCACATTGCCTGTTGTCACCTGGGGAGTAGTGGTGTCTGACGGGCTTGTAGCTGAACTGTCCTGTGTTGTTAAACTCTTGATGGGATCATAGCTCTCAGTGTCTGGGCTGTCGAGAGAGCGTTGTTGGGATTTGGGGGTGAGGGTCAAGTCCTCTTTGATGATTTCCACACTGTTTGCACGGGACGACATAAGCAGCGGGCTCGGAGGGGCTTCCTCCTTGTCCTCTTTAGCATTTGATCGGAACTTAACATTGCCAAAGAGACCCTTTAACCCTCGACGTTGCCGACCAACCGGCTGGGACACAGTGTGAGCTCGGCGGTCCCCAACTCCTCTTCGGCCACCCCTCAGTATGGACAGGAAGCTGAGGGACTTGGCAGAGCTTGCTGAAGAAATTGAGGTGCGAGCTGGGGCGGCAGCCAGAAAGCCATCTTCACTGAGCGGCTCCTCCTCCGCCTGCTCTCTCTCTCCTTGAATCACCTCATGTCCCTTTTCCTTGTCTGAATCCGGCTCTGAATCTGGTGCAGTGGTCTCTGATAATCCTTCCAGGCTTTTGCCCATTTTAAGAGGTGACTTGTTGTTTCCATCCCCTTTGTTACGGATAGAAAAGATGTTACCTGGCTTGCGTTTGCCAAACAGCTTGAATCCTTTTCTGATTTTTCCACTCGACTGGGTCTCACAAGGCGGGGGGTCCGTGTTTTCTGTTTGTACATCCATTTTCTTTCTCTTTCAACCGTTCTCTGTATCCTCCTATCTCTTGCAGTTATTAATCCCAAACCACTGGTGTGAGCATTGATATCCAGTCCGAATCTGTATCTCCGTCTGAAGCCTCGCTCTACCTCTGATTCTCTCAGCGTGTTTCTTAATCGTCTGCATGTATCCCTCCCTCTTTCTATCTCTCCCATCCAGCTCTTTCTCCTCTATTTCTCCCTTCAAAGCCCCTCCCCTTTGCCTCATTTTTGTCTGGCTGCTCTCCATGGTTGCCATAGCAACAGAGGATCTAAGCAGCTTTCGTCAGCAGTGCAGAGCCAGGGGCGTTCATCAACTAACCCTGAACGCAGCTTTCTCCTCCTCTCTGTCTGATGACTCTGTTTACATAAACAGCAGCAACAAATACTCCATTAATAGAGCGAGATTGCGAGTTCTGAATGAACGTGTTTTGTATAACCATCTCATCCACATCAATGCTTTGTACCTTTATATGCAGCTTAATAATCTTTTGATAGAAGTAACTCTTCTTTTGGGTCTAAATAAATATTTTTTCATTTTAAATGTGTTGCAGCAACTTTCTAGGATTCTTAGCAGTCCATTAAAAATGTATAATATTTAATCAAGTTACAATTTGAATATAAGTTGTGTTGGTTAACTGCAACAATTTCATGAATCACGCTCAAGTTTATGAGCCAATGTTCAAATTGACTTAACAGCTATGTTAACTATTTTCTCTCAGTACTTATCCACTTTGGAGAAAATTGCTTTAGAGGCGTGTTTCTACAACTTTTAGAGAGCATTAAAATACAAGAAAATGCGATGAATGCTGTGAAGTGTGAATGCTTATAGTACCACCATAAAATAAAATTAAAGTGATCAAGGCCTTGACCTTTTGAACATCGTCCCGGAGTCCTGAAGACAATGAAGCCATTGAGAATGATTGCACAATTATACATGCATGAATGGATCCAATTTTAAAGAGAGGTGAAATTGAAATGAAAGCCAACGACTGATGTTGGGTATGATAATGTAAACATGATCACTTTTATTGTCTGGTTTTGTCTGTATTATGTCTTACCTTTTTGTGATTGTATTTTTGAGGAAGTGAAGCATTTAGTTAAAGCTGACATGTTTTTTGAAAAATAAATCCTTTGACATGACCCTCTTATGACAATGTGTTCAAGCCATTACTTATTTTACACTTTTTAAGAAAATTGGCTTCACTTTAGGGGAGATGTCATGTTGTCCATTCTTTTATACAGTGTATGCTATAGAGAAAAACAACAACAAGAGGAATCTTTTTTGATAGTTGTTAACATAATGATCCCATGAGAAGTCTGAATTAAGTTAGGTGGTCATGAGTATCTAAAAGTAGGTATTCACAAACATCTCTTGGTGGTATCAGTTCATGAATATGTTTGATCACTTGGCAGAACCAGTCATAAAAAGCCCTATTCAGATTTTTGTAAAGAGGTTTAATAGAAGAAATATGAATAACTCAATGCATATCCAATAGTAGTAACCAAAACTCTTGGTTTTGTTGCATTTTCTTGTAAAATTCAAATTTTAGTCAGGTTTATAAAATAAAAGAGCATTATACCAGTTGCCAATATTACACAATGGCCCCTGTAAAACCTATGGATCAAAAATTAAGTCAACATTTTTATATCCCTTTTATAAAACAGTAATGTGAGCTTAGGTTTGCAGCTAAGTTCTGTATTGAAGAATCGATTAATTAATAACAATAATGTTTATGGATGGTTTGTGGGGATGGAACAAGTATGGCCTCTAGTGGTAGCTGAAGAAACAACATGTGACTGTAGACGGCTGTAAAATGTAAAACAAGTCTTAAAATAAAGCTGCTGTCTCATCTGCATGTATTCCCTGTCCCAAATAAGTCTGAGTAAGTGGGTCAGTAATCTTTGAAAAAATCTGGATGTTTTCCTGGGCTGTTTTAAGACACACTGGCTCACAGTTGTTGAGGACACAATATAATATGTCTAAATATATCACTCTAATGTTTCTCCTAGTATTTTCACAGAGCAAAGGATAACATGAGATTGAAACAGAATTCAAAATGTGCAGTGCTTTAAATTCCTCCTTACAAAATCACATTAAAGGAGTAGATCATTTTTATTAAATGTACATTAAGTGCTTGTATCAGCACTTAAAGTAAATGTAATTTGGGCTCAGTAATGAATACATTATTACATAAACAACTGAATACTGGGTCAGAAGTTACCACCCACTATCTTACAAATAAAAAACGACATCAGATGTAATAGGTCTCACTACAACTTTAACTCTCTCACACACAAAACATGCACAGACACACACATAAAAACAAATAAATAGATGTTATTATTTGATATGCTCTATGAGGAGTTTAACTGTTGTATTTATCAAGCAGCAACTTTCAGTGTTGAAAATGAAGCCAATGCAGAGGCTGGCTCAAGTGTACGTAAATGATGTTATTTTTAGACAGAGTCTACCTGTTGTCTATCTTACAGCTATACACACTGTAAAGCATGACATAGTATGTTCTCACCTACCTCTCTGAGGGAAAAAAAGAATAGTTCACTATTTCTTTCAAAGGTCACCAACATCTCAACTCCAATATCTGAAATCTTTGTTTCGCTTGTAAAAGTTTTAATGTTTCCAACCCTACTTTTTCTACCTTCACTTCCATACAATGCAAGCAAACAAAATCGAATTTGTACTATTTAAAAAAATATATATTATTTTTTTAAGTAAAAAAAAAAAAGCAGTAAACACATATTTTCCTCAATAAGAGTTGCTCTTGATAACCCAAACACCCAACAATACTCAGTGGGACTTTTTTTGAAGGGGGCCATAATTTTGGTGTTCAGTTATTTGTTTTGCACGTTTTCTTCTCTAACATTTGCGTAAATGAGAAAATGTAAAAAAAAACAATAAAAATAAAAAAAAAACAACAACAGTGTATTACCATGACTATAACATTAATATTTGATGATCTTTCAGGCACGATGATATGATACATCTTTAAGGAGCAGTGTCGACTTCAGCTCTTCCACTGTCTCTTGTTTTAGACATCATGCTCCACCAGAGCAGCCTGCAGGGACACTTGAGCATTCAGGTGGTTGTCATGTGCTTCAGGAGGAAGTTTGTCATATGTGCGACGGTACAGAAATCGACAGACAAGGGTGATGATGAACATCTCCATGATCATCATCTGCTGACTCAGCACTGCCGGGACAGAGTGACAGACAGGGAGAGAGAGAGTAAATCAGAGTTTCAGATCATACCTTTCATTACAAAAGCAGATGCAGATACTTGCTGAAATGTTTCTTACATGATCCACGAGCTATTGAAGAGAAAGGAGGAGCACAAGCGATGGTTCCATCCAAGGCCAGGATGTTAATGATTGATGTCTGCAGCTGACTCAACACAAGTACTAACTGAGGAGAAAACCAAAACTTTGTTATGTACTGTACTGTATAGATGGTGTAATGGCAGTTAAATATTTATTGTAACTATCAACAGGTCGTCCTTGAAACATAATGCGGCACTATGGGGACCAAACATAAAACCCTTGATTACGATTGGCTCTTTGCCTTGTCAAAGGCGGGACTTGTGTTAAAATCACAGAGGGTAGATGAATCCTACAAACAACCTGTCACCCTCAATAAGTCAGTGTCACACCTGGGCCATCCAGTCAAAAAAGTCTGGGTCCAGCCCTGACCATCATAGTTTTCAGTTCAAAGAAAGGATATTAGGACACCAAGCAAATGCAACTATAGCTGATAGGACTGCTATTAAAAATCCAGGTCCAAAAGGAAATCCAAAGGATTTTTGGGGAATTTAAGATACTCTTAAAGGATAAAACCAACAACATGTTGATAATTATACAATTGTGATAAAGTGTCAGTTTTCACCAAGCCAGGCAAAGAAATGCAGAAATGTCCATGCACTGTAGTACACATATTGTAATGTTTATGCTGACTCACTTGGTACATGGCGTACTTGGGTACAATGTTGAGGCTGAGTAGAAAGCTGTTTGAGTTCATGAAGACAATGGCAACAGGCCACAAGGAGATGATGGTGAGTACACCAATGAATGGGTTAATCCAAATAGCTGTACCAGTGATCTCTAGCTGAAAATCGAGCAAAGAACAATTTCAATTTGAAGTCCTGTTGATTTATGATTGCATCATAGTGAAAGCATTTCAAATACTTACATCAGAGAGATCAAAGTTGCCGTTGGTCCACAAAACCACAGAGACGACAGAGAGCGCCGTCTTAAGAATGGCATACTGAAGAGCACCCACCTTCAGCCAGAATAACAATCGCCTGAGTAACCAAGTACAAAGAAAGGTCCACATTATAAATGAAAATATGCAGTCATTAAAGGAGAGTATTGGTATTACAACTATGTCAGTGCAGGACTAATTTCCCATGAAAATACTTTTCTATAAGCAAGTTACTAGAATCAAAATAGTCCCAGAATGCACCTCTATGGATAAGTCATATGTACCGTGTCATGGGCACGCGGGGTAAACAGGCGCAGTAGCAGCAGCAGGGTCCAGTGTTGATCCTTACAGTTTTACCCGAAAACCTCTCCAGGAACATATTGGTTCCCCCCAACTCCTCGATCATCAGAACCAACACCTTATAGACCACCACTGCAAAATAACTATAGGGAAAAGAGAATTCATTTTTGTTAATACTATAATGATAAGAAGGTTATATTGTTTCTGAGAGAGACAAATTACATTTTTATAAACCAAATTCTGTCTGACATATAGAAACACCTTCTCTTTACATGTGACAGTTAATCAAAGCTAGCTGCCCTTGTTAATGGATTTTGACCTATCTGTTAAAAACCTTGCACTGTATGTACTATATGTAGTGCATATGGCAAAATCCTATAAAAACCAAATAAAGAACCTTTTGTCCCTCCTTTATGTGACTCATCGAGTGGTTAACCCATGCACTGATTATTGAGATGATGATCATTCAAAGCCACAAGTTTAAAATTTGTATAGCTTGTGTGTGCTTGGCAGCCTAGCTGTTTTAGAGCCAAATGTGGAAAGTACAATTTATGAAGCTATATGGGAAGAGATATATAATAAAGGTACACATTAATTCTTATTCTTTCTGATTCTGATTATAACCTTGAAGCAGAGATAACAGAGGTGGTGAGTTCAACGTTAAGTACAACACAGCTACTGGTCACAGCTTTTAGATAAGAGATAGTGTTAGTTTGTGTTGGTTAAAGTTAGAACAGAAAGATAAGAGACAATATATGGAGAAACAGGAGATTTAGTTTGCATGTAACACCACATCAAGTGAGGCAAGTGACAGCACAACGACAAGACTGGCAAAAAACATTTGCAGGAAATATACACAGTGAAATAATTTTTCCTGATTATCCATCACCATATAATATGGAAAGAAACCCTTTTTTATTTTTTGGAAATATGAAAGAAAGTAAAGCCTGTTTCATATTTAGAAGTAGATGAAAGAGTGTTTACCAGTTAGATGTCATGTCTGTGATCATGACTGCCCTTGGGATCCACATCCCAAAACAAGACATGGTGGCAATGACCTGTAAGATAGAAACACAAAATGTGTAAGAAAAAACACTCAACATTACAGATTCACCAGATTCATGTTTATAGTATGTCATGTTCCCATTTCACAGTGGGCCTCAAGCAAGGGTTTTTTATAACTTACTTTGCAATTCAAAGTGATTCACAACGATTGAATTTGTATTTGCTTAAGAAAGAAGGAACATTTTATTTCATCAAAATATGACTGAATACTTACTGGTGCTGCACCATTCACCCAAATGATGGTGGTCTTTTTGGGGTAAGGCATGTGATTATAAATAAAGACGCATTGCTCCAAGTACAGCACCAAAGAGACGCAGGACATGAAGGTGAGCATGCAGTACAGGCAAAATTCAAACGAGTCCATCCCTGAAGAAAACATTCAAAGCAGAAAGGTGTAGGATTATTTCATAGTTATGTACACCAGTGAAGTAGAATACACTCTATATGTTATGCAGCACATAATAGATTTTACTTTGGTTAACAGATATATATATATATAAAAAGATTTATAAATACTGTGTCCTAAAGGTCGATTCTACCAATACTGTGGATATCACAATGCAAGTTTTCCTTTGTTAAGTTTTGTCTATGGCTCTTCAATATACTCCTATCAAAAAAGGGGATACCACAGGGGTCTATGTTTGGACCATTGCTGCTTAAGTATATACAATAATAACACAATATAAATAACATAAATATTTCAAATCAATACCTAAAGGATATATTTTTTGTTGATAATATAGTTTGATATTCCCCAAAACCCATGCTGTGATCAGTTTTAGGATGCTTTTTAATTATCTATCCTTAAGGCTCGTACAAGGTTCTTTCAATTTTTTTTAAATACTGCAAACTCAAAACTCACAGCAGAGATTCACACAAGTATGGGTTAATATTTAATGTCTCGAGTTTTTCCAGGTTAAGAAGGAATCATTATCAGCCAGCAGGATGTGGTAATGAGAGTCACTTACCCTTTATCACGTCGATGGCCAGCGGTGGCTCCTGTAAACAAGCCGGATCAATAGTGGTGTTTAGGGCTTCCTCCATGGTGTCCAGAGATTCCTCTTGATGAATGTTACTATAAACTAAGGTTTAAAAATACTTGAACCTACTCTTGCTACATTTACCAAGGTCTCCTTTAAGACTGTTGTTGTCCCTTTACTTGGCAGTGTCAGCCGTGGACTCCAGTTGTAGATTGAAGAGCCCGTGTACTCACTTTTGGTGACTTTTAAGGAGTGAAAGTAGGAGGAGGTTCAGCGCTCAGAAGTTTATGTGAACTGTTCCATAGTTTACTGTTGTTCATTCATTCACAGAGTCGCAGTAATTAAAATATCACAACGGTCAGGGTTTAAGTTAAAATGTGAGACCTGTGAAGAATGTCTTGACAGGTGAACTTTGACAGGGTGTGTAGTTTCCTTCTCAGTAACTATAAAAGGCATTAAAGATAAAGAAAACCTCTTCAAGGTCAAGTCATGAGTAATGTGTTGTCATGATGTTAAATTAATCGTAATGTTATAAGAATGGCTGTTTTTATGAAGCAAAACATAAACAATAAAAATGGTTAGTTTTTAGTTTCTTTCTTGTCTACGTTTTCCTCTATTAGGCTATAATGTGAATTTAATTAAATTTGACCAGTCATAGGGATGCAGCATTCAGATTGTCTGGACACTTCTTAGGTGAAATAAAAACAGATATTCTTGCTGTGCGGCGCCTTTCACACTATAAGTAATCAACACAGACTCAAGTTTATTGTCAAGTAGGCTTACACACATAGAGTATATCCTGGTCTTATTGGTCCATTAGGATACATGTAAAAAATATATATAAAGGAAAAGAAAAACCAAAGTGAATAAACACTGTGAATAAACATAATAAAGTATACAACCTTGTAAATATAATTGTAAAAGATTACTACATATCGGCCTATTTATACAATATTTTCTTTTGGGTATTAGAAAATCTTGGATTATCATTAAAAAAAAACACAAAAAAGGGTTCACAGGGTTTCTAAAGTTAAGTGTTAAAGCTTTATCTGTTGCATTGTTATGAACAGGCGAATGACACTCAGGTCATTCACCTTTTCCTTCAAGTTCTGTTCCCCCGCCCCCCATGTTCAGTCAAACGTCTGAGTGTGTCAGCTTTAATGATCTTATAAAAATGAGGTGAGCTTGTGAGTCTTGTGTCACAACTATCCCTAATGACTTCTGTGAGATACACGCGCTGTTGGAGTTGTAAATTACCAGCACATGCACAGTATTTAAACCATTTCTTAAAACTGCTTAAATGTTTAATGTCATAATGGGAGAAATAAACTTTCCATTTTTAATAGTTATGTATCATTTTGACCACTTCATATTTAAGTATACACCTCATTACTCTGAGATTGTGTTTAGGCGCTGAAAACATTTCTTAGCTTTAAGTTAACCACTGACATCGGCATGGTAACAAGCAGCATTGATAATTTTTTACATCATTATATACACCACTTAAAATGCTGACGTTGATAATGTGCATCTCTTCCTAAATATTACTGACAAATGATGAGATGATAATACTATACCTGTACTGCATTATAATGTATATGATACCATATTGTGTTAATGTTTTAACAAATGATATAATGCATTATATTTCTCTCATAATTCATACTTTCAGACTTAAAAACTGCACTTCCCACCTTACTCCTGTCATATTTTATCTATATAGTTTCCATTTTTATTTATGATTATCTTTGTGTTATAGACCTTTAAATTACCTTACTTTTTCCCTTTCTTATTATCTTATTTAGGTCCTTAGACTGCTGTACACAGTAATTACTGTGAGGGACGCCTATATCCACACAACTGATACTAATAGTGTTGCCAAATAGTATATTGTGCAAGTCTGATGACTTGTGTGAAGCACTTTGAAAGCCTTGTGGCTGAAATGTGCCACATAAATAAACTTACCCTTTAATGTACAGAAATGAAGAAGTGATACGCTTCTGGTTTTTCTTTTGTGTCATTAGTATTTCAGAGAGAGGACTTTTAGAGCAAGCAGTTTGATCAGTGGTACATACTGTCCATCTTCTCAGGTTAAGGCTCGAGAACACAGAACACCTTTCAGAGTTATCTATTGACAGTTTTATTGCACGTACCCTGCACGCTTTTAGTCCAGCTTGTAAACACATTTGAGCAATGAACTGGAAAAAAAAAATAGACAGAACACAAATCCTTGGTATTAACACTCCACATAGTTTAATTTAAAAATAAATACATACAATGGCAAAGAAGGATTATGAAAGAGGACAAACATGAGCATCTTTAACTTAAAAAAACAAAATACAACCAAATAAATAAGACAAGCTATTACAACAAATCAACAAAGAGGCAATACAAATAATTAAAAAGACTTAAATTACACATAATGGCAATCTCGTTGATTTTTACACTTCATTATACAAGATCTATACATTTAAGAATTAAATAAATGGAATAATATTTGAAACTAAAAGCAGTTAAACTGCATTTTGGTCCTTACATTTTAAGCTTTTATCAGTTTCATTTTCAACCATAGTATAAAATGTAAGATGTAAAAAATAAAAATATTTTAAATGTAAACAGAAAGACCTTGAAATAATTCTAATCATGTAAACTGTGAACTACATAAGACAATGTGATAATTGACTAATAACTGCAATGTGCTTGACTTCAGAATGATCAAACGCACTCTGTGGACGGAGTTGAAATGTGATTTTGAATGAATTATCTTTTGAGTTGGCTTTAGGGGCTTCTGCTGCTCCACTTTAAACATGGTTAAAGTTATTAGTGCTTGATTAATACTGACAAAGGATGATTCTGTAGTAGAAATGTTTAAGGTGGTTATTCCATGTAGGCAGACACAGACAATGGAGTTACACATTGGCTCCAGGAATAAAAGCAGTCCTTGACATTATTTGAACGTCTTTGGCTAAAATCAAAGACAAAAGTCACCTCTGCTTCAGACTGGTGCAGTCTAAGAGGTTGCAGTACAGTCGCTGATGTGTTTTTGTGGTGCTAGTTTAAAGCACACTTGATAAAAAAAACGATCCATTTAATGTAAAAACAAATATGATTAGGTTGCACTCAGAAAACTAAAAATGAGGGTGGAGGACGGCTCCTGTCCAGCTGCTGATGCTCCTGGTTTAAGGCTACGTCGTTTACGAGCTCTTCACTGAGATCCCGGTGACCTGCAACAACAACCATTAAAGGCAGGGTTCGTCATTTTAAGAAAACTAGCATGATTTTGAAAGAATCATTCCCTAAATGCTCCGTCAATCCCCGACACCTCCCCTCTGTGCTCTGTCCCCTCACTGACATGCACAAGCGCCGTTGTTCCAGAAGCGGACCTCAGCTCAACGCTTTCATTTTGTAGAAACTACGTCGCCTTATGTCTCATTCAGCGGTAAGTAAACCCTAAACTTTATTATAATACATGTATTTAAAATACCAGCAATTAATAACCCCCATTTCAAACAAAATCTTTAAAAAATTCATCTGGAGAAAATGATCAACCCTGCCTTCAAACAACAGGTAAAAACAGGAGGAGGTCTAACCACCAAACCTCTACAGTATTCAACTGGTATGTGTCCACACACCTGCTATGGATCGCTCTCCATCGTCACAGCGACTAACTGACCTCCGTCTGAGAAAGAAGAGAGGACACGAGAGAGGAGAAAGGAGCCGGATTAGGTTTTATTTTAAACAAAATAAATTATTATAATAAGATAAAAATGTGACTAAAGGTATAAACAACATACTGATTTTGTCTTTGTTGTCATCCGCCGTGTGTTGTATGTTGTTGCCAAGCACGGAGGGTTTGGTCTCCCCGTCAACCAGGCTGTGGTTGAAGTCACATTAAAGATTATTAGTTAACAGAAAGTGTATGTTGACAGGTTAATGTTTTAAAAAGGTAAGCTATAGACAGTACTAGCCTTTTTCCATTCTGCTGCAGAACACTGTTAGCTCGTTCAGGATCAATGTGTACCAATCTGGTAACAAAGGAATTTCCATCTCCTAGACTAAGGAAACATAAGAAATAGTCAGTATATGTTGGATTCTTCCTAAGCTGTGATTTCAGGGCTTCTTTTTTCATCTTAATATCTTTACTCCATTAAAATAGCTTCACCTCTAACAATAGATATGAATAATGTAGAGCTAATCTGCCTCAATCACAGTGTAGACATGTAACTGTTAGTGCTTTTAGGATGTATCCTTCTGTTGTCGAATTGATTGATAGCTGCTTTTACTTCCAGTCAGTGTACACTGACCTTGAGAAAACTGGAAATATCCAGTATTTTGCTTGGTCTCCAAACACCTCGGCTCCATTTCTTCGAAAGCCCAGAGAAAACCCGTTCTTGTCCGGACCATTTGTAAAGACAGGAGCCCTGAAAGCCTCTGAAAGTAGATAGAGAAATGATGTGGTGTGTATGCCTTTGATGTCCTGTGTGAAGCACTTTGAATCGCCTTGACGCTGAAATATTAATTAACCTGCCTTGCCTGGAAATGACTTTTAAAAGGATGTAACAGGGAGCTAAATTGAGATAAATATCCATTAGTAGCTACCTATAGTCGTCCTGTTCTTCCCCACAAGCCACAGATGGTAACTGAAAAGTGACAGGATGCTGATAAAGAACATGGCCGCCACAAAGAACAGAAACAAGATGTGGAATTTGGCATGCGTGTCCGGCAGCTTTTTCTGCAGACAGAAAAGAAAAATGTTTGCCTTGATTATCAAGTCAAGTAAAGCCATCATTATTCAAAAACTGACAAAAATACAACATTTTCATAGGTTAGCATTTGAGTCCTCTGATTCTGAACAGGCAGTTTCTATCAGGTTTTCTTTTGTTGCCTTATTTGTTGTTATTGTAATTGTTTTTAATCTTAAGCACAAACTGACACCTTTGTATTAGCCTTTTGCTATGACCCACTGTACTCCGTCACTGCAGGACCAAGTGACAGGAGCCGCTGTGTTATTCAAATCAGTGTGCTGAAGAGACAGCTGTACACCAATCAGTGGACATCTTGTGATTCAATCATCAGATGATGATCACATGCTGACAGCACTTTATCATTGGAATTAAGTTTATAAATAAATATTGGTGTTATAGCGAAGACATAAGAAATGTATTTCACTCCAAAATAGTTATTTCTAAAAAGTAGAGCAAATAAAATTATCTTGTGATTACAATGGAAAGACAGTAACCACATTTAAAACCTGCCCACAGAGGTATTAAAATTTTAAATGAAAGTTTCTGTACTTACAGTCCAGAATTTGAGGAAATACTGGATGACTGTCGCACAAATAACCGCACAGTAGAGCGAGGCGTAGGCCAGAAACAAGACAAAATACTTGTAGTTTGAGAATCCGACACAGTTATTCACCCTGGAGGGAAACACGACAGAAACAAGAGAGCGGAAGTGAAAGAAAACGTTTAACTGTTCATTTACCTGAAAATACATTTAATGATGGTTAAATAAAACAATGAACAAACACTGTGTGAGATGACAGAAGCTTACCAGGGGCAGTGATGGTCCATCTTCAGCACACACCTTAAAAGGAGAAAAAGAAAAACCTTTATATGACCTTAAAAAGAACATTTTTGCTCATGTTCTGTTACTCAGCACGAGCAATGCATGAACACAGAGAAAACTCCATCTTTGAAAAGAAATGAATAATGTTTATTTTATTACTTCAGAATTTTTTTTTTAAAAAGTGATATATTGTGAAAACACAACATGATTTTTTTTTTTTTTTGTCAATACTGTTTAAAACCACCATTGAAAAAAACCCTGTACTGCACATTCTATTGGGTTAATTATCAACACATTAGCATTTAGTTAGTTTTTGTCTTGAGCTGATATGGCTCCTTTGAGGTGTGCATATTCAAAAATAAATCAATAAAACAGTGTGTACATCTTTAAACACTCACATCTCACAGGTTGAGCAGTGATGGCAGCGGTCCGGTTTGACGACCTGGCAGTGGTCACAGTATCTGATGGCTATTCAGAGAAGATTAAGCACAGTTAGTATGACTGTGGATCTACTGCATCTTTTCTACAAAACAAAGCACTATATAAATGTCAGCAGCACGACAGTCTATGTAAGGCAGCAAATACTACTTCTAAAGAAGACTGTATTCTTCATTTGTAACATTTATTGCAGGCTTTATATGCTGGGTCCCTGTGAAACCAAGCAGGTGAGGTCATGGTCCCTAATGAGGAGGAAAGTCAGCTGTGGCCTGTGGAGTAAACAGCTGTACCCGAGTCCAATTAACCCTCCTGATAGAAGCAGATCTGTAAACACACGACAGGCGAGTCTGAGCCCTGATAGCAGGTAAATAACAGCTTTTACTCTCACCATCATTAGCTATAGTCCAATTTTTACCCTAAGGCATCAGCATTAAATCCCCACTGACTTTAATGTCTTATGTGTAGTGTGTGAGTCAAGGAAACTGTAATGTGCGTTTACTATGGCTAGAAGTAAGGGTTGGGTTGGGATAAGGCCAAAGAGTGTTTTCTTCTATACACATTAAAACAGTGTTGCTTTTTCTTTTAAAGAGGAAGACACCATGTAGCAACACATTTGTGCAATTCATATGCATTTCCTTGTTTGTGTTGATCACGTGAGAGACAAACGAGAACTGCAGTATGAGGACAGTTATCCCTGTGACTCAGTTTGTTTTTTTAAAACAGATGACAGTGTGAAAATGGTAAAACAGTTTCCTCTGTTGAATGTTTCAAAGCGAACGTTGTAAGCCTCACCTCCTCCTGCGGTGCGTGTGTACACAGGTAAATTCCTCGCCACTTTCTTCAGGATCTCCTGCTGCATCTCGGCGCGCTCCTCTCGCTCATACAGTTCCTTCTCTGCTCGGGGAAGACCAAACTGAAAAGAGCAGGGGGGGGGGAACGTAGTCAGAGAAGGCAGTGATGAATTATTGACTTTAAATCTAAATAGGACCATGATGCAAGGGCTTTCATGGGTAAAATTAGAACTTTTATATGAACGTATTTTTACAGGATCTATCATCTAAATATCCGAATAGGAAATGTTCAGGGAAAACACAGAGACTTACTGCTGTTGAGGGGCCGGCTGGTTTGGACCAGATAGTTTTCCAGTAGGACCATATAAACATGGTGAAGAAAATGTGAAAGATGACCAAATAGCTGACTGTTGACGAAAGACACAATTTATTTGGTGTTAACTGGCATTTCAACATAATTTTTTTCAGGAACTGAAGTAACATGTACATTATTTGTGAAAAGAAACACTTACTTCGTTCTGCATTATTTGGGATTGTATCTACAAAAGAAAAAAAAATATATATATATATACATTAGAAATGAATAATTAGCGATGTCCTCAGAATACATTGACTACACATCCCCCACCACCCACGCACGGACCACCCCTTTCTCGCACCATGTGGTAGCAGCCTGGCACGGCCAGCAGTGAGCAGCCCATAACAGAGAGCTTTGTTTAAGCAGCAGGGATGTCCCTGTCCCGACCACAGCCTGTAAGTTACACACATAACTTCAGTACAACTGCATGATTATAATAGTATCCTCGGCTCTGAACTGCAACAAACTATAATAAAACAAACTGTGAGTGCAGAGCCACTGAGTGTCATGACACATAAAACTAAATGTAAACATTAAACACATCAGGCAGAGCTACTTTCAGACCTGTTTCTTAAAATTTTCCAGGAAAATAATTATATCAAATCATATCCTCTCCTGATTCTGTCCACGGTTGTATACGAAAGACTTGATATACGTTAGTCTCTTTATCTACGATCTTAAAGATGTTAAAATTTTAAAATGTTACCATTTGATCAAATAAACTGAAGAGAATCATCTTGTCTAATCTAAACACAGATATTCACATCATACATGTCTTTGAATTTCCATTGTTCAGAATAAGACGCTTTGATTGGTTGCTGGAGCCTCGAACAAAGGTTGATCCGTTTAAAAGATTTAAAAGTTCAAACCCCCTCGGTTATCTTTCCAATAAACAATGAATAGAATTAAATGCATCAAATGGTTAAATTACAGGCAGCAATCCCTCCTGATTTTTTTTTAGAGTTTTATAGGTGCCAATGAGGTTTTGTCCACAACTACTCAAACAACTTAACGACTTAAGATGCACATTTTAAAGCATCACTGACTGTAAAAAGGTTAAGGTACAAAATATAGCAACCCTTTAAATGAATATTGTGAGCATTATCAGCTTCATACTGTATAAAAGCCATTGGCACAAAAAGAAAAAAAAAAAAACACATGAAAACAACTTGAATCCATTGCTAAACTAACTAATCACAAAAAAAACGTGAAATCTTTCTGTAGGTCATTATTAAAATCAGCTTATAAACTGCTTTTCCATTCATTACCAACTACACATTTACACAGAAAACAACATAGGAGAAAGTTTGATGACTATTTACTGTGCCAACATTACAGTCCACTGGATATGTCATCATATCTAATGTTAAATGATGCAGAACAACCATAATGAGAAAAGTTATTAATATTTTTTAATTGATGACAAAGCAATCCAAAGACTACCTCTAATTTTCCCATTGTGACTGAAAAAAGTTTTAAAACAACACTACATTCATGGCTGTCTAGAAAGATTGCATGTTTGTCAGAGGTTTAATAAACACAAATGAAAATGTTATGGTGTAATGTCGTTTGTTTGCAGACTGGGGATGAATAGAAATCTCACTTCTGGCTTGTCAAAGTTGGCAACCCTGAAGCTGTCAACACCAACACATATGCGCCCCCGAGATGGCAAAATACCTGCAAAAAAGAAAGTCTACTCACAGACACAGAGCTCCACCACGTAAGCGTAATAAGACCAGCCAACAACCAGGTTTATAAAAAGGACAGGTATCCAGTTAAGAGCCCGTTTGCAGCACCTCAGTGCATGAGAGGGCGCCATCTTTAATCCGTGTGTGACATTAGCTGCAGGTGACGTCATGGCCATGGTTTTAAACGGGTCGAGTCGGAGACGCGGGAGCATGCGCAGATGTGTTTGTAGCCCTCGGGCGTCCAGCTGGCAATGCATCCCAGAGTTATTTAAATGCTCGGGGTGAAACATTGAACTTCTCAGATTGCTTTGTTTTGTCACTGGGCAAAACACGATGATAGAGCCTTGTGTTGAGTTCTTTAATACCCCCGAATCACTTTTATCACAAGTGAGACACCCTTGTTTTTTATTTGTGTGTTAACTTCTTGTTGTTAATATAATATTAAATCCCATAATAGAAGTTCAGAGTTTTGACCAGGTAGGCTGAAGAGTTCATATAACTAAATTTATAGGCTATTTGGGAGAACTTTTATTATGAAGTTTAAAGTGTTTTAGAGAAGTAAAGTCTGCAGTTTAGAATAGAATAGATGTTTATTGCCATTTGCACAGGTACAGGACAGAACAGGTACATTGGAATTCTTGTGCGTTTCTCCCTGAGTCATCTTCTACAAAACAAAGTTAAAATTATATATAAAATAGACTAGCATTGTAAAAAAACAGTAGAAAAAGAGTAGAAAAAAGTACACAAAAAGTACAAATAAATAAGTTGTATTAACAGCTAAGTCAATTAAAATAAACTGCACATAAGTCACACACTATTAAAGCAAAGATATAATACAAAAAAATAACAAGGGGAACACTGTACAATGAAATGAAAATATAAATATGTTTTCTTATTGCACTTATCATCTCTTATTGCACCTGAGGTTATTGCACACATGTTTTTCACATTATATAATTGCACTGTTTTTTGTTTTTAAGGTTAATATTGCACACGTGTGTTGCACTGTGAGGTGGTCAACTGTCCATTTAGCCTGTGAGGTGTGGGGGTGAAGTACTTCCTTCCCATCTTAATGTCCTGTGCTACAAGTCTTACGGCAGCAGGGAAAAAGCTGTTGTGGTGTAACAGGCCTTGTGGGTGGAGATGCTCTCTGGCCTGTGATGTCGCAGGTTATAGCCCGAGTTCTTCCACCTTCAGTTTCAAGCTGAAAACAATTATCCTCTTGACCACTTGGGGGCAGAAAGTCAACATTTGATAGGCTACATGTAAGGTGAGTTTACTGGGTAATGTACACTGCCTGTCCAAAAACAAAAAAGTCACCACCTGGATTTAACTAAGCAAATAGGAAAGAGCCTCCCATTGGATAATAACTGCATGGGTGATTATCTTTCAGCCGGCAACAAGTTATTTAACCCCAACTGATGCAATGAGTAGCTTCTCATTTCTTCAAGACCCATCATGTGGTCGTGGAAAATATGTTAGTCTGTTTGAGAAGGGTCAAATCATTGGCATGCATCAAGCAGAGAAAACATCTAAGGAGATTGCAGAAATTACTGAAATTGGGTTAAAAACTGTCCAACACATTATTAAAAACTGGAAGGAAGATTTACCCTGTTCCAGAGTGATCAGGGTAAGAAGAGAGGCAGATGAAGTGATGCACCCATCATGTCTAGTGCCTACTGTACAAGCCTGTGGGGGCAGTGCTGTGATCTGGGGTTGCTGCAGTTGGTCAGGTCTAGGTTCAGCAACATTATGTGCCCAAAGAATGAGGTCAGCTGAATACCTGAATATACTGAATGACCAGGTTATTCCATCAATGGATTTTTTTCTTCCCTGATGGCACGGGCATATTCCAAGATGACAATGCCAGGATTCATCGGGCTCAAATTGTGAAAGAGTGGTTCAGGGAGCATGAGACATCATTTTCACACATGGATTGTCCACCACAGAGTCCAGACCTTAACCCCATTGAGAATCTTTGGGATGTGCTGGAGAAGACTTAGCGCAGTGGTCTAACTCTCCCATCATCAACACAATTTATTGGTGAAAAATGAATGCAACACTGGACGGAAATAAATCTTGTGACATTGCAGAAGCTTATCGAAACACAGCAAATGCGTGCTGTAATCAAAGCTAAAGGTGGTCCAACGAAATATTAGAGTGTGTAATCTTTTTTTTTTTTCTGGTGGCGACTTTTGTTTTGGCCAGGCAGTGTATTATATTACCCACTAAACTGGAATTTAAGGTGTGCACTTTAACGCACCAGCACAGGAATTCAATAATCCAATTAATGATGGTCATTAATGGGGGACAGTTTTGAAGTGCTTAGAGCACATTCTTTAGAGTCAACATGATCTTTCTATGGTCTCCTATGACACTTGGCTATAACCCAAGTACACAAATATTTATTAGCGCATCCTGAGGTATAGGCCTATTAGTGGTTACAGCTGTGTGTTTAGAATCTGGAGGACACCCATCTGAAAACAAACTGGGAGATGGGCACCATACAGCTCATGTCTAATATGTAAACATTAATTATAGCCTTGGTGTTTCTAGTCACTTAATCTATGGGAGTCAAATATTTATGCTCTTTTGTTTTACCTCTGTTTCTACCACCTCCTCTGACTATAACTTTGTCAATTTTGGATATTCTAAGCTAAACACTGCTTACACTGGCTAAAAAGCTCTATGAAGCTTCGGCTCAGGAGTGTTCTGCATTTTCATCTTTAAAAAAGTAACAAATTACAAGGCAAACATTTGATCCCACCAACATTTTAATGTCCATCTTTGTTTGTCTGTATATTGATCAATATATTTGTGTTACTGAATTGAACACATCTTTTGAGTGGGAAAACATTATATACATCATTTTACACTTAACCTTTTATAAAGTACTTCCTTTTGAATTGTTTACTTTCCTCAATAACCTCTATAGCCTCCTTACACAATTTATGACACTTATGTGTAAGGTAATGTTGCTCAACATCCCCTTAACAAAGTAACAAATTACAAGACAAATATTTCATCCAAGCAAAATGAGAGTGTTCATCTCTGTATTGATAAATATATATTATTATTATTTCCCAATTAAGCACATCTTCTTTTGAGTTAGGAATGTATATCATGATATTTTACACACAACCTATAATCAAGTATACTTCCTTTTAAACTGTTCATTTTCATCAATAGCCTTATAGCCTCCTTACACCATTTATGACACGATTAAAAAAAGGATAAACATGATTGAAACATGATCATTTGTACGTGGAGGCAGCTTTGCGAGATGCCCTTGTCCTCTTTTGACGAGAAGAGGGAGATGATGGAGAAGAAGGAGGTGAGAGAGAGGATGGGGATGAGGAGTTTGAAATAGAGGCGGAGGCAGGAGATGAGTCAGGAGAAACTGAACGTCTTCTGGTGGGACTGCTGCTCGGGGATCCACGGGGTGAGGAGTAGGGTGACAGGGCCTGGAGCATACGGCCGCTCCGCTCCTGGATCGCATGCTGAACAAGAAAAATACAGACATAGTTATGCTTTGTCCACAGGGGGCGCCAACATCGACACAACTCAAATGTTCCTCTCAGGAGCTCTGAAAAGCTTTATGTCTTTGGCATCTGCAAATATCAAGCTGTTTCATACTGACACCAAGAAACAAAACCTTATGACTAAATACTACGACTGCCTCTTGAGCTAAAAATGTCTTCACATCCTGTTTCACTTTAGTTAAATATTTACAGAACAAATGTTCAAAGATCATTTTTTTAGTATTATGGGTGGGGTGTAAGGGACTGTTTTTTGGGCAGGTGTAGTGAATTATGACTTTAGTGATTGAATGGCAACTGCATGAGTGCAACACTTCAGGACACGAATTCTTACTTATCCTAAATTACATAGAAAACCTCAAATTAAATGATTCTACAACCGTTTATAGGGAAGTGTGATTAATGTATGAATGTAAATTCAAAGGTAAACTTGCCCAGGCTCCGTCAGGTCCAAAGAGCTCCAGAAAGTTTCCGATGAATTCTCGCGACTTTTCTTCCCACTTGTGGATCAGGTCCTGGCTCTTCTCTTCCACTCTGTAAACAAAGTGTTTGGACTTTTCCTCCACCGTACGGACCGTCTCTTTCATTTTGTCCACCTGGTTCTGGAGTCTGTACTTCTTGTCCTGTTGGTAAAAGACAAAGCAAATGAACCATCAGCAAATGAACCTGTGTTTTGCATGAGCATTGTTTGGTTTGTACATGAGTAGAAGATAATGTTTACTGACGTTAATGAATCCAACGTTGAGATCTCGGGCTGTGTAGCCTCTCTGCAGGTTGCGTCGGACGTAGATGTCGTAGTCTCGGACGATGCGGGTGATCAGATCAGATGTGGAGATGCCTTCTGTCCTCTGAGTAGCCACAAACATCCCTGACAATAACAGCATAAATGATCATTAACTCACTAAAATGACCAACCCTATATTCCTTATTTGCATGATCATTGACATCTTCACCTGCTTCCTTGATATGTTTGTAGACGTCCTCTGATCCAGCGGAAGTGTAAGGGATGTCATCGTGGGCCACAAAGTCAATCTGTGAGTTTAACATTTCAGTGTTCAGAATTATTGAACTCCAGATAGCCGAAAAGAAGCTATGCGTTGAGTGAGCGTGTGACCTTTGACCTTGTGTTTCTTAAGGAACTCTGTGGTTAGCGTCCAGGGAGCGTCCCGCACCACCTCATCGACATAACGGCAGTGCGTAAGGGCGTCGTAGCGTTCAGCTTCTGTCATCACTGTATAGCCTTTAAACTTGTGAGTGAGTTCATCACTGCAGACTGAGGACACAGAGACAAGAGAGGGACTGTTATTTAGCCGAAGTCTGACTGTTCAGATAATATGGAATAATATGTCCTATTATCCATGTTGAGACACCATCATTCACCAACCTACAATGCTCTCTAAAAACAACTGAAGCCCCAGTCCCAACATGTGACCCCCCCCCCTCCCAACGACCCACAGATGACCGGGGTTATGACTCCAGGCGAAACTAGGTCAACGACTCAACTAACAACTCTCATGTGAGTCATCCTTGATCATTAGCATGCTAATGATCCACAAGGGCTTACATTTCTCGCTCAGTCCTCCAGTAAGTTTAGAACTGAAGAAGCCTTTCGCAGCTGAGGTTAAACGTCTTCAAGGTCTTCACCAAGTCCAGTTGCCCTTGGATCAAGCCTTGAATTTAGTGAAAATAGTGAAGCTAATAACATGCCGTCAGTGTGTGTGTGTCCAAATGTTCTTTGGCTGTTGTAAAGCGGGCTACATTATTAAAAAAATAGTGTTAGGAAACGCAAGGTAACTTAAAATGCCAAGCCATGCAATGTGATACTCATATAATATTGCAGGACAAGCATATACACATATTGTAGGCTATATGTATCAATACGTTTAAGTAACTGACGGATAAAAAATGCCCCTTAAAAAAGGTCAAGTGCAGGATTTATTCATCCTCTACAAGTTGACGTCAGTTTCTCTTCTAGTCACATTTCATCCTTTAACCTATTTTTTTCAGCGGCCTGATATTATCCTGCAGTCATCTTCTTCTTTTTATTTTATCCCACGGTCAACTTCTTCTTTTGTCATTAAGTTGTGAGTCGAAGAGAAGAGAAATATGCTGAGTGCGCCATTTTGACATTGCCGTTATCATAATTTTGTCCCACCCCTAATAAAGAGACAGGGGTTTAGCCCCTTGCTCCAACATCCAAGTATCACTGGGCAAAAAGGGTGCCATTGAAGGCATTGCCCTAAGTCTGTTTTTATTATTGGAAGATCAGTTTGCTTGCACTGCACATTATTAGAATTTCAGTTTCAGGGTTCTTTCAGATTAGTATTCATGTTTTTATTTAATCGCAGTCCAGCGTTTTCCATTGTGTTTCTAGTTTGTCTACTGATAATGAGATCTGCACTTTACCTCCTACTATCAGGTGTGTGTTGGGGAACACATTCTTGGCCTGCATTAGAGCTCGAGCATGGCCTGAATGGAAAAGATCAAATATCCCATCTGCGTAGACCCGCACCGGGCGATGAGCTGCAAGATAAGAAATAAGAGGACATGTGTTGAACAAAACCTCAGCTCTCCTCTGTTATTTGTAAAGATGTTTTGATATTACCGGTATATCTTGACGCTTAAGAAATGATCTGACAAGCTTTTATTCTGTTGCTCAATGTTTGGTTTAAATGACATCACACATTCCTGGAGAAGTGATAATAATAATAACAACAAGCATTTAATCAGGCCAATAAGTAGCAGTAAAGGAACTTTGGACTGATACTTGTATCATTTTTACAGCTGATATCAGCTCATACTAACATGCTGATGTTAGTAATTCTCCTATGCTCTCCCCTTATTCCTGTTCTGCAACTAGATCACACTAACCAGATCAGATCTTATTCTCCGTTTCATAATTAAGAATGACAATAAAATGATTCAGACCTGGTGTTCCCCTCCGTGCTTGTGCGATGGTCAACTTTTCATGAGGAACCTCCGACTCACAGCCCGTCGACTTGGCAAAAGGAGCCGGCTCCTTCAGAGCCTGAACACAGAGACAATAAGTGAAAAAAAAACATGTTAAACTTGACTACGGTTCGATTTATTCTCTTTCAGTTAAACTTCTTAAACAATTTTTATTCTATTCAGCAAGTGTTTTGTGACAGGAAACATGCAGAGTAAACGGTTGAGTATATTCCTAATCCTTGGGGCAATAAGAGAGTTTTACCTAATGTGCATATATCCTACTGTTGGATGTAAAATGTGGTAATCTGGGTCATGTTGCCTTTAAAACATGTAAAAAACCGTCCAACAAGACATCATGCAACAGCAGTGTTGTAACAGAATGGGGAATTGAAGCACTGTGACACAGTGGTTATACTATAGGTTTACATGAATAGAGCATGCTGTGTTTTTATGGTCACTGTGTCTGAGTAAAAAAGACTTCATGAATGACACAGACGAAATGAGTTGAGAAGAAAATAAATCAAACAAAATGGAAGAAGCAGACGACAAACATTGTCTTCAAGTTATGTGTAGGTGGATTTTTCCCATAATAAAAAAAACTGCATTAAACTGAAAATAGTGTTTTGCAGATTGGAAGTCCTCCCTGGATTTGGCATGATGGGAAAACATTACCAAAGCCAGATAAGGTTTGATTATATCTTCAGTACTAATGAGAATAACGCCAGCGTCTCTGTATGTAATGGACTTTGTGTTCTGTGTACATACATATAGCTTTATCTGCTGTGATGTAAGATATCCTTTGAACTCTGAAAATGTACAAATGTCTGGTGATTCTCTGACTGAATATAAGGTTGTTAAGTTCACATGCTTGATTTGTATCTTAAAGTGATCCGTACTTCTGGCGTGATGATAATTTTTTTGTGTGGTTCCTTGCTTCTTCTTTTAGGCCTCACTGGTAACCCTTTATTTCCCACTTTACACCCACACATACAAAGTCAACACACATACAGCATTTCAAATGTGTGCAAGATACAACTAACATACAGTGTATACGCTATTAACATGCACCTTATGTGCTTGTGTTGAACAATTATTTCATAGATCCACACAATAAAACTGATGTTGATTAGATTCTATGATATCATGATAATGTAAAATTGTTCTCTATGAAAGACATGATTCATGGTTGCATTGTGTAACCCTCCACTCCCACAGACAAATCCAATAACCAGCAGGAGAGTTATAAAAATACTATGAAAGTCTGAGAGACTTTTCTGAAGCCTTCACAAAAAAAAGGTTAAAACTAAAACACAAACATTTTAAGACAACCTGGATCTGCTTTGTTTGACTGATGGAGGATTAACTCAGTGGAGGAGTAAACTCATGTTTGATAGTAACTGAGCAGGACTTACCCCGCGGGGGCCTCCTCTCTGCCTCTGAGGAGCCTGTTGCTGCTGAGCGTTGCTGCCTCGGCCTCGTCTCCGTCCAGGCATCTTTCAGTAGATGTTCTGCTTTCCTGTCTTCTAACAACACTGCAGCACCTGCCGGAGATCTCTAAAGCTGAGTGAGTTTGTAAGTATACATCCCATCAGCCTGCCTGACCCTGATGACGGCAGAACGTAGTGAGCAAAGTTCAAGCCACTGTGGTAATCGTATTCACACATGTAGATTGTTTAGTCATCAATACTGAGCTGCTTCTCTTCTCATACAAGGAAGCTTTAAGTAAAGTTGTTTGAACTGTTACACTCAGGTTAACTCTAAAATCTACATGTGAAAGTCATGTTAGAAGTCAAACCCTAACCTTAAAAACTGCATATTGCTCATGAGAATAGAGGTTTCTAACAGTAAGCTAAGGAAAGTGAAAACGCGCAACTATATAGGTGACAGGAGGCGTTGTACTTGCAGCCTTTGGAAGCAAACACAAAAGCACGGTTTGTTCCGACATTTCACAGAGCTGTCACCCACAGAGCTGTCACCCACAGAGCTATGCAGTAGATTACGTAATTTCTGTTAGTAGAACAGTTCAGGTACATATCCAAATCAATGACTGGCATGCCTTGCCTGCTGGTTAGTAAATCCAGCTTCTGACGCCACCTTCTTTACTAAAGAGGTGTTTTACAATGGAGCAGTGTGAAGGCAGTTTATAGAGGAGGAAGAACAAAACAATGACAAACAGCATGTTATACTGATTATGAATCATTAAGCATTTACTGTATTTATTCAGAGATAAACATGAAGGATTTTAAGCTACTAATGACTAAAATGATACTGATGTGTCACTTCAATGTGTTTTATTAAATTGAAATAAAACTAATTTTGTCGGGCTGTGAGATTCAAAGCACACTGACTTTTCCTCTAACACATCCTGACTTTTTTTTATTCTGGACAAAAGGTCAAGTATTGGATGAATGGTCATGAATTCTCCCCCTACATTTACGTCCCTCTCTGGATGAAATAATAAAAGCTCCTTTATAGTGTCATCAGCGCCACCCTCAGGTCAAATTATGAAACTGTCTAATACTTTATGGTTAATGAGAAAAACACCTGCAAACAACATTCCTGTTAGTCAAAGTTGTTGATTTTTAGAGCCAGTTAGAAAAGTATTTGCGTGTCATGCACCTAAGTGCCCAGCCCTCATGGGTTTATAAGACACCAGAAATCCAGTTGCCGTGGTTTACAGTAACATTTTCATAACATTACAAAGTTGCATGTTCCTGTCACAGCTCAGTCTTAAACACTCTTAAACAGCGTGTTCTGTCTTTTCTCCCAGCATGCTTTGCAGATCAAATCTGCTACAAAAAAAAAGGTTCCTCATCTTAATCACACCTAAAGTTTTTCACAAGCGTCTAACCAAAAGAAATGAACGTCAATGGAAGACATTTTTCTACAAAGAACAATTCTTATGTCATCATAGATCGGACAGTAAAACAGAAAATTAATCTCATTTCGCAGTTTCACCTCACTCACACAGCAAACAAACAAACTGTCTTCCTCTGGAATGGCATTAAAACCTGTCGGTCTCTTAATGATGGCAGATTTGTTGCAGCTTCTTGAAAAGGTCATATGTGTGGTTTAAATAGTTCTTAATGTTTAGGTCTGTTACAGAGCCTGACTGGATTGTAGTTTAGTTTTCCTTTCTGCAAAGCAACAAAACAATTCTTGGAAATGCCCATAAGACCTTTATATGTTTCACTATCACCTGTTTCTCTGCACTTGAATAAGATATGGTCCCAGATTGTTATTCAAGCCAAGTTCTGCGGAAAGGGAAAAACGGTTGAGGAACCGGTCGGAGAAGACTAGAATAAAGAGTGACTTCACAGGAATGTTTCACCTGTGAACACAATGACCTGGAGCAAGGGGTGGGGCCATCCTGCTGAGAGTGTGCAGGGTGGGAGGACTGCTTTGCTATTCTTCCTGTGACTTCCTGAAGTGAACACTGACTAAATATGTGGCGTCACAAACACAAGACAACCTGTTACATTGTGGACTTTTGACTCAACCATCTCCTACAACACAGGTAAGGCTCTGATCACACTGAAGACGTGTTGTACTTTGCGTTTGTCATTTGTTAGGTTTAATCTGCCAAAAAACAAACAAAAAAAAACATGTTCCACTCAGTAAACATGAGGAGTCTCCTGTAACAGGAGAGTTTAGTCCAGCAGATTTCTGCAGATTTCAGTTTCACTTATAATCCCCATGTCATTGGTTGGGATTATTAGTTGTGGGTGGAGCGAGAATCAGATTTTCAGCCCGCATGTTTCCTAAATGATACTAAAATTGGACATGAGTTTGTTCCCACATATTCACAGCGAGGTTCATTACACTGGAAGGTAAGTGGGTGAGAAACTGCCTCTTTTTTCTCCAGAGGGTCAGGAGGACAGTTTCTTTCTGTGTTGCGTTTTTGTGCTGTGTTTTTTGAACATGTGATTTGAAGGAAATTCAAATTCAGACTGATGTATTTTTCTGAAATGTCCTCACTCTGATAACTCTGCTCACAGATTATTTCCACGCGCTGGTGTGAAGCATGTTGATGTGGCAATATCTGGCACTCCTCCCGCTGATAACTCTTCACATATGTAAAGGTAAGGCTGCATCTTAACACTCTGAAATGCAAATGTGTGTACACCAACGCTAACACAGTCACGGCTGTCAGTATGAGTGTAGCAGCTGTTTTCCTGAGAAAAAAGCTTAGTCAAACAACATTTGAGGAACTCAAATTTCCGTGGGAAATCTAACACATCTGAGCAAACAGTGTGGTTAGCAAAAGCCACTGACACTTCACAAACACATACAGCCGTCCCAGCTGAAAGATATGCAGTCATGCTACGATTATGTAATTTAAAGTCAGTTTTTGAGAGGAGTTTCTTTCCTCTATGAAACTTAATACTTTAAAACTCAGAGTGAAACTCAATTTACAGATTCCCAAGCAATCCAGATTAAACTTTAACTAAAATGAAAACAAGTGCTTTTTAATTCCTTCCTTACTGTAAATTGTTTTGCTCAGTTATTGAGATTGACACACAGAACTCTAACTTTTACAAGCTGAATTATTTGTAATATTATGTTTCAGAGAAAAGTGACACACACCCAACGTGACGTCTTTTTTTTTTTTTTCACCTCGCTCATTTTAAGTGCATGTGTTCATGACAGCTCCATGCAGGGAGGTGATAACAGGCGGTGTGGGTGAACAATTGGCTTGACCATAAACATAGCTACTCCAGTTTCTATCATGATGTGTCAGTGATTCACTGATGTCTGTGTCTTGCATTCAGTGTTGATGCACTTGCTGTCAGGGTAAAAGCTTGTATGTCAGTTTCATTATAAATCAGTTTCACTCAGTGTTGCAAAATCATCTGTTTTCCCAGTCGAACTTGTTCAGAATGTGTTTCTGTAGTGGGCGAAGCTGTGTTTGAAACAGTCTGAATGTACGGTAGCACTGTGTTAAATACTTACACTCTGACTCATACAGTATGCAGCCTAAGTATAATGTCATCAACGCTGGCAGAAGACTGCAGAGGATACGTCACTCAACATTTAAGCTAATGAAACCTTCCTTAAGGGATGTTTGGTAAGATAAATGTTGTGATGTCTTTTTTTGTTTTAGATTTATTTCTGGACTTTTTGCCTATATTTGATAGGACAGAGGATAGAGTAGGTAACCAGGGCGAGAGAGTGGAGTATGACATGCAGGAAAGGAGCCACAGGCCGGACTTGAACCCTGACAGCCTGCCTCGAGGACTATTGCCTCCCTACACGGGAGTGTGACCTAACTGCTACGCTGTCAGCGCCCCAGTTGTGATGTCTTATATATGACTTTTTTCTCCCTCTCCTATAACGAAACCCACCTCTATTTGTCTCATCCTTTCTTTTTTTTTTCTCACCATCACTCCCAGCTCAGAGTTGCGATGAATTCACAGACCTTGATCTCAGTCACGCAATCATCGGAACAAGCCTCAAAGTCAAGCTGCTGCTGCTCACCAGGGAAAATGCCACTTGTGGTAGACACCTGTCCCACACCAACCTGTCCGCCCATCCCCAGTTTAACCTTTCCAGACCCACCACCTTTGTCATTCACGGATATCGACCTACGGGATCTCCACCACTCTGGTTGGGAACATTATGTGACCTGCTGCTGGAGAGGGAGGACATCAATCTAGTAATTGTGGACTGGAACCACGGGGCCACTAATCTGAATTATTTCAAGGCGGTGGAAAACACACGCAAGGCGGCCGAAAACCTCACTGCTTTCGTTGAACTGATGCAGGTAAGACTAACCTGAAACTCTTTATAACAATTCCCCCCTATGCCTGGATAGATAGGAGGTGCAATCACAGTTTATTTCATGATACTATAAATATGAAACGACGATACAAAACGCGATACATGGCCTCTGATAATGTTATCACGGCACAGCGATTCTGAGATAATTGATAAATTACAAGATGACATAATGTCACATTAATATACTTGATTAACTAAAGAATACAAAATGCCCCAGAGAAGATAAAGTACAGGATTCATATATTTATTCACTGCAATGTGGTGTCAGTTTTTTTTTACCTCTTTTCATGCTTCATCCTTTACCTTCTTTTCACCGGTGTCCAACATTACCCTGCTGTTCTTCTTCTTCTATTATCATACGGTCAACTTCTTCTTTGCTCATTTATCTTCTGTTCACTCAACCCTTAGTCATGTGGAAAGCACCACCATGAGGAGTCATGCAGAAGTGACTCTGTGAGGCATATTGCAGAGGAAATCTGTTCCAAGCGCTGTGTTGTTTTTTTTTTAAATAATCAAAGTATTGATATTTGGCATAAGCGATTGGATAATTGAACCTCACGAGTCAGGTTGAGGATTTACTGACATACTGATATGTTGTCCCATCTCCACTGGGTAGTGCCTGTGTTGTGTGTAACAAGACTATCATGTCTCCTTTCAGAAACAAGGTGCCTCTCTGAGCTCCATCCACATGATCGGGATCAGCCTCGGGGCTCATATATCAGGATTTGTTGGTGCTAACCTGATGGGGTCGATTGGAAGAATTACTGGTAAGATTCAGTTCAATGTATCAGGGGCCGTATTCACAAAGCCTCCTAGATACCAAGAGTTGCTCCTAGTGACAAAATTCTAAAGAAACTCATTGAAACATGACATTTTCTTAGAATTAGCCCTTCAAGTTAGGACTAGATTCTTTTTAGGATCAAAGTAATTCACAGAGCATCTTAGTCCTCAAGAGAGGAGTAGTGAGGAGGACATTGAAGAGGCTGAAGAGCTTCTCAAGCGATGATGAGAATGAGGAAACAAAGAAATGTTCTCCAAACACTGAATAACGAAAATTATTACTGAATCATAGTTGGACTGAAAATGAATCATTTATGCAGACATTTAAATCCTTCTTGGACTTTCTTCAGTGCAAAGTGAGACATGCACAGAGTCCCTCTTGATGTGGTTTACTGCACAGGTGCGTCCAATCATTGATTAAAGCCTCTTCACATGCTGATAACAATCAGCATGAAGATAACAATCAGCATGAAGTGACATCCAAAGTAAATAATCCCATTCAGAGGAGACTATAGCCCTGTACTCTGACAGTGAACATTGTCAGAATTGAATGCCAAGAACTAGTTTGATAAAATCAAACTGAAAAAAATCCTCCAAATCTGTTTCCTTACTCCACAATGGTAAAACAGCGCTAAGTTTATGGCCAATTATAGAAAGAAGCAAACATGTAAGGACCTCTGTGGAGATCTGCATGTTGTAAAAGAACATTTATACAGTTACACAACCTGAGGCAGTGCCAAACATTTTCATCATCAGGTGATACACCAAGATGCTTATCAAGGAGTTTTTATGAGTGTTGTGACACTCAAATGAACTTTCTTCCTAGACATATTAAGTAATATTTAACAGAGTTGAAACATCTCTGCAGGTATAAATGATTTGGTTTTGAGGTTTGGTCACTATGAAAGATTCAAACAGTTTTTAAAAAGTCCACCTGCAGTCACTGTGTAGGGTTTGTAGAGAGAAGACAGAACAACAGATATTTAGTTCAGCACTGCTGAAACACCGGTGCATAAAACAGCACACCTGACATGTTGGTATCAAAATGCTTCTGTGAAAAGCAACAATTTCAAACAACAAATGTGTGAAAGCAATTTCAATGTGTGAAAGCCCGACAGTCAGCTTATGTTGTAACACTGAGGTGTTCTGATGTTTGCAGCTCTGGATCCTGCTGGGCCTCAGTTCACCGGCACCTCTCAAAAGGAACGCCTGGACTCCACCGACGCCATGTTTGTTGACGTGCTGCACACAGACATAGATGGTGAGTTCATGGGGACATCAGTAAAAGCTATGCTAGATGATTTAACTGTATAACATGTCCCTTTGTCCTGTGCTGCCTATCCACAGCTCTGGGCTTCAGAGAGCCTCTTGGTCACATTGATTTCTATGCTAATGGTGGAACTGACCAACCTAACTGCCCAAAGACCATACTTTCTGGTAAATACTTTTTTTTAATGATGGTAAACTTAAGAACACAGAAGGTTAGCTTCATATTGACATGTTATGATTTCCTTCTGTGCAGGGGGCTCCTATTTTAAATGTGACCACCAGAGGTCAGTGTTTCTCTATATGGAATCTTTGAACAGGACGTGTGCCAGCCGGGCCTTTCCCTGCTCCTCATACAAAGACTTCCTGGATGGAAAGTGCCTGAGCTGTGAGCGCTTTGGTGCTGCCGGATGCCCCGTTTTTGGTTTGTGAATACACTGTGCCTGAAATGACAAACGCTCTTTTAAAATAATGTCTCAGGCTTATTCAAATACATTTTTTAATTGAGGTACTTGTGTTTAACTTGCGGACATAAGCCCCTTTCACACATGCACACTAAGATGACAACAGAGTTTAGTTTTTGCCTTTAAATCATCGCTACATGTAATTGGATTTACTCACAGTATAAACAAAGAGTAAAATAGAACATAATGGCGAGCAACAAAGAGTATAAAGCAGCTTCATTATGTGCTTGAAGATCCCAGTGGTTTTGTATCAGTTGCATGATATGCAAAGTGATCATTAATCCCGCTCATCAGCTCTTCCCACCTTCATCTGAAAATTTTACTGGGTGGTTAGCAGGAAAAAAATCCAGATAAAGTCGGGTGAAAAATGTGTCTGTTCCAATTTCCTTAAATTTTCAGGCGTTTTTCGCATGTATGAAAGGGGCTGTAGATTAAAGGCTGAACACTTCTGCTGTCGTTGGTTATGTGTTCATGTCAGTTACATAAATCTCAAAGAATAGTAGATATAAATGTGTGTAAAAAAATCTTCAAAATGAATGTTGTAGACTTGTGTGTTTCCTTCGTATCCAGGTTACGATGTGATAAAGTGGAAAGACGTCCTGATGAAGCTGCGTCAAACTAAAACCTACTTCAACACCAATGGAGTCTCTCCTTTCTGCAGTAAGTTACCATCACTAACATTTTCTTCATAACCCCGTTAACTAGTTTTATTTCTACAGTTAGAAGTCATAACAGAGGTTATACCAGGGAATTTCTCATTAACTGTATGGCTTGACCGTATGATATTCTTATGATATTCCTATTGTTTTGACAACACTAAAATTTGCCCGATAATTTAGTCAAATAATTCATAAAGTACTAAATGACACTCTCAGTCCCGTTGATGCTATTATATTGTTGCAAATGTCAAGATTTGCTTAAAGGACGGAATGGAAAAAAGTCTGTCTTAAAACAACAGTCGGCTTCTCATATTGACACTGGAAGGTGTTTTGTTTGCTCTACATGATCCTCCCGTTCAATTCCTCCTGTCTGGTGCACACATGGAAAAAAAAAAAAAAGCACTTATCTTGATTTATTTGGGATTAAGAGCCTTGTTCTCACTGGTACTGCAGATTTGCCAAACAATGATGACAAAGTATTTTTGTAAAGCTTGCACATTGATGAACTGTGGAAATGGCAACCGCCTGTCGATACAGGTTAAAGAAGAGTTTAATAAAAGGCCTAAATTTTAAATTTAAGTCCAACTTCATCTAAAAGTAGCTTATAAATGAGTGACTGTCCTGATTACAAACAAAGTTCATCATGGAGAAAAGGCAGTCTGATGCAATATAAAAATCCTTTACTAAACAGGGATGTGTCTCCGCGTTTCGACTCAACAGAGCCTTCATCAGGACTCTGTAACCAGCACAGATATTTATTTATAAGCTATTTGACTTCTGTCCCCCGTTCTTGAAGAGCACCTGATTCTTCTACAATTTTTAGGCTTAATTGAGCCAAAAGGTTAAATTGTGTGTTTCTAGTTGAACTCAACTTTTATCACCTCTAGGAGAACTTGTCAGTTAACTTGAAGCTGGTGAATATACATTACTTCTTCATAAAATGTAATGTTCTTACAGTGACAAACTACAGGGTGGATGTGATGATATGGAATGAGGATGTGCGCTGGGGATACATTACGATCAAACTTCACGGCAATGGTGAAGAAGCCGTGGCAACCATCGACCAGTAAGAGTCCACTTAATTTAACTCCTTTTTCAGCAAATATTTCACCATGACTTCTTTTTGTTTCCGTGGTTACGCATGCCATCTCAAAGTAATGTGTGTTTTACTTTCACTTTTAGTACAGCAGCAAAGTTCACAAAGTTCACAGAGACCAGGTTATTTGCTCATTTTGACAAAGACGTTGGGTCGGTGAAAAAAGTGTCTCTCACCTTCTCCACGGGGAATGTGTTCAAGCCCAAATATAAACTCCGAGTTCTCCGAATCCGTATCACACATCTGGAACGTGACGAGAGGTAAGCAGCACGTGGATTTTTAAAGTCCTGAAGATATTTAACACATTTTTTTTTTAGCTTTTGAGTTTTGTAACTTTCTATGTGACTTATCCCAGTTAAGTAATTTTGATTTTGTCCCTCATAGGCCTCTCTGTCGATACGACATCCTTCTTAAGGAGAATAAAGAGGCCAAATTCAGGCCTATTCCCTGTGAAGAATCCAATTTCTGAGACTAACTCAGACACAGAATGGAAAAAGAATCACTTTAAAAGACTCAGCTGGCTCCTCGGACTCTCCAGGATTGTTTCTCAAAACATCACAGACTGCAAACACAGTTTATTAAATGTACAGACATGGCAGTGATGTGATCATTTATGATCCAATGAATGAATGAAATGTGATATGATGTACATGTGTTGAAGAGGGAATATGTATGTTTATATAATTATTTGTGTTTTTATGACAAATGTTGCCCATAAAGGGAATTTATTTGCATTTCACTTGTAGGGGAAATTCTAATTTCATCCATGTGTTTTGAAAATGAATTATTTGAAATGACATATGTTGACTTGAAACATCTGTGATGGTCTTTGATTACTGGATCAATAGTGTTCAGTTTTTAATGAAAATATTTTGTTCTTTGTTGCTTTCAGTCTTTTTACAGTTTTACAGGTCCCAGTGAAGAGAGACTGTGAGGAAGATATAGGCTACTATACAAGTTAAACATGTTTCTGACATTTATTATCTCAAATTTCTCATCAAGACTGAAATTGTAGCCTACAATTATTCACTGTTTATCACTTTGAAACGTGCACACTTTGTTCTCAGCTATGTTTCATTTAATGCCTCCTCGATCAAACAAGACTTTTCCAAAATATATTTATTTGTATATATGCATTCATTATTTGTTAGCAATAAAAACTCATTTCAACAATGGCTCAAATCTTTAACAAGTTCACAATGCACAAGTCAACACTGAGAAGGAAGCGGAACAATCATTTTTGTACATTCAAACACCAACCTGTTGTACACTTAAATACATCTGAAATACGATAAAAGCCTCACGTTCACATGATCATCAAACTAATTACAGCCGTTAAAAAGACAATATTATAAACAAATTACAGTCAACAAGGCTGCAGATTATCTCCTGACTCATTTCATGCCCCCGCCCCCTCCGCCTGCTCAACACTGAAATCTGACTCAACCTTGATGTAGAACAAGATCAGAACAACAGCCAACATTCAGAATAAATCTGGAAAAGGAAGCTCGTGTTTGTCTTCATTGAGATCTCAAGATACTTCAGAAAACCTTTGAGTGGGTGTGTGTAAAGGACTTTGCCATGACCTGATGTTCTGTCTGGTCTTTTTAAACCTTGAATTTGTATTTGCTATCCTGTCTGCACAACAAACTTACCATAGGTACCAATAAAGCAACCTTTAACTTCACTGCCTAAAGACAGAAAAACTAAACAAACTGACCCATAAACAGATACTCCTGTCGGTTTAAGAGACAGTTACATTGAACCTTGGTGCAGCTCTCACCGAGCCTCACTTTTGTACTTCTGGGAGTCTGTTTGACAGTCCAGACTGAAATAAATAATGAAGTCAAAATGCTGTCATCAAAAAGAAGCAGGAAGTGTTATTAATGTTTAGAAAAATATACTCTTTCTTTACAGATATTTGTACAACAGGAGTTAATCTTGTCAAATCCAGATCACTTCTTTGTTGATGGTGAGTTTCTCTATTTAGACATGTGCTTCTTCATGCGTTGAATCTCCATCTAAAACAAAAGACATACAAATTAATCAAACCATGGATGTCATTTTTTATTCATAATCATGTGTTATTAGAGAGCAAAACTACATCATTTAGCTCATTCTTGTAAGGCAATTGTAGGGAATTTGTTTATTCGTTACCTGTAAAGTCAAGCGGATCCTTTTCTCCTCGTCGAGCTCGTTCATCAGCAGTTTAATTTCTTTGCTGGAAAACAAGAACACTGTCCTAAATTAACACAGTTGGGAAATGTGACCCACGAGGCTGAGGCCGGTCGGGTCAAAGAAAATCAGATTAAAGTAAAGAAAGCTGTACTTGTGCTGACTCTTCATCTGATCAAAGTGGTCCCTCAGGTCTCTCAGCTCCGTCTGCAGCTGCTCCAGGTTCAGCGGGGTTTTCTTAATTGGATCTCTGCTGGGTTGGGGGTCAGAGTTCAGGCTGGGGGTCACTTTTGGGTGTAACACAGCAGAGAGAGCCTTCGGCAGTAAGGAGGAGAACGACTGTGTGGGAACGATCTCGGGCACTGTTGCCTGTGAGGATTAAATTCGTATTTTTAGCTGACAGTGCAACAAAATTAGATATTTTAATTAACAGTTTTTAGTCTCAAAGTTTCTCTTGCGCTTACAGGCAGTGCAGAACCATTGTGACTTGCTTCCTGAGGTTTTTCTTGAAGTGTTGGAGAATCTGGCTCTTGGTTCTTGTTTTCTTTTCTTTCCTCCTCCATCATGAGTGTCACCTGTTAATGAAATATAGTTTGAGAACTGAAACCCCTGATGAGTAAAGCTTAAAGGGATTTTCAAGCAATTGTTAATGGATGTCCCAAGGGTGGATCAAGACTGACAAACACGCACACACACACGTGCGTGCACACACACACACACACACACACACACACACACACACACGCACACGCACACACACGCACACGCACACGCACACGCACACACACACACACTACATGACGTCAGGGAAGTAACACCTCCCCCAGAGTTATGTTAACATTGCAAGCCTGATTAACTGTTTAAATTTCAAAAAACTTCCTGATTGATGAGAAAGTACCTAGATTCTCAAAATCAGGAGACACAGCATGTGTGATGAGTTAAAAATAGATATTTAATAACCGGTTAGCTACTGCTGACATTAGCATGTAGCTAGTTCCTTGTAAACATTTATGTTGCGTCTCCACATTCCCTTTTCAGAGAGGGGCGTGGTTAGCATTTAAAGCTACAGACACAGAAACAGCCTGTTCTGAGCATATCTGAAATAGAGGGGTTCATAGATATGATCAAAGCTCAGAGGATCAGAGCGGATTATTAATAAGAAACTTCAAAGACATGTGTTGGTGAGCTCAGAGACTTATTCATACTTGTTGAAAAGGAGGATAACATGTGACCTTTAAATCATCCTAGGTCAATTCTTTAATAACTCACAAAATGTGTGTCCAAAATCACAATTCACAGTTCTAACAGAGGAAATTGTGTCACATTTTAAATGCAGAGAAAACTACGAGCAGCCCGATGCAACATCGCCCAAATAGCTGGCTTTAATAGAGGTCGCGCCTCTGACAAGGCAAATAGCCAACCGTAAGGTTTTTGGGTGGCCCTTAAGGTGGCCAATAAGTTTTTAAGGGGAGCTTGGCCGCCCCTGGTCACCCCTTGATCTGCCCCCGGAGTGTTCACATGTATATTTTGCCATTGTGCCATTGCCCACTAACATTTGAAGAGAATGTGTATAAAACTTGCAAAAAAAAACTTTAATAGCTTTTTTAGATTAATTACATGGATTTTGCTGCAGCATGCCACAGTGTGTGTGTGTGTGTGTGTGTGTGTGTGTGTGTGTGTGTGTGTGTGTGTGTGTGTAAAGCAGCTTAGAAAGTTAGATTGATCCCAAGGACAAATAGGACACAAATAGACCACACACTCTTTTTCTAGCGGTGAGTTAAGTTTAACATTCATATTTCAGTGAACGATATATCTGTTATCACAAGGATATACTTTCCAGGGTCTGAAGCTCTGACTTTAACCTCTCGTCTGCACCATGAGCTCCCTGCTCATTCAGCTTCTCTGCGATCGACACGATAGAATCAAACTCTTCCGTGTCTTTGACAGAAAGAAAGACATATTAACACACACCTCACAGAAATGAAAGATTTCAGTGATCACTATAAAGAGATTAGACCATTTTATCTGTTATAACCCTACATCTTTGTCAATCTAAATCCTGCACTAACATTCAGTCTTTTCAACATGCTGCATTCAAGCTTGGTAGTGTTTCAAAAATATGTTGCAACAGATGTAACAACAACATATTTGCAAGGCTTACCAGGAACGAGGGCTGAGCTATAGCTGCCCATCGCGGGAGAGAGAGAGGAATACAAGTGCAGGGAGACAAAGACAGACAAACCTGCAGAGTCTTTAAATCTACATCTACAAACAACAGATTGAAGTCAGTGTCAATAAAAAAAACTTAGTTCAGTCTCACGTCATGCTTTTAAGAAATTAAAAAAATAGTCAAAACTTTTAATTATTAGCTGTATCGTTCGTAACATAAGAGCAAGTTCTGTTTTAAACTGAGATAAGTCTTTATCAAAGTGAAGGGACACTAAGTTTGGATGGTAGTGTAAGGACAGCTGTGTTTCATGCCACAGCAGTGAACAAATGCTCAACACATGCCAATGCATGGGGGAGAGGGAGGAGGGGCAAGTGATAGATTATACAGCCATTAGTAAACATTGTAAACTAATTACCAGATTATTGTCTTTTAAGGATCTTGTGCACACACACACACACACACTCACCTTGTTTGGCCGGAGTCACCAGTGAGATACAGCAGCATCTGTGGTAACATGACACCTTCCATTGTAACCCCCCTGTTGTGGTGTGCAGAATATGTTGTGATGAGGAGTGAGGACTGTCAGGGCTAAATTTAACTTAGCTCCCAAATATCACTGGGCCAGAACGAAGGGTGTCACAGACTGAAGGGCGAGAGCTTTTTTTAAAGGGACAAACCGGTGTCCAGTTGTCCAAGAACTAAACTGAATTTAAAGGGCCACTACACTGATTTTACACAAATAAAGTGCAATGCTCGACAGAAGGGGAGTCACTCAGCCTGTGGCCCTAAAGAAGAAAGCTTACCTTGACTCCGTGATACTAAAAGTTACAAACAAGCAAGAAATCTTAGTGTGACCTACATTTTAACAACCACATAAAGACAGTAACAAAATCAGCCTTTTACCATTTTTAAAAAATACAACAAGAATCAAAGGATTTCTGTTTAAAGAAGGCAGAGAAATGTGTTCATGCGCTCATTTTTAGTAGGCTATTGTATCTTGTTTTTAAAGGTCTGATTAAAAATCCATCAGACAGCTGCAGCTCATCCAGAACGCTGATATCAGAGTCCTCAGCAACACCAAGAAAGTAAAGCACATTACAGCAGCCCTCAGATATCTGCAGCGGCTTCCTGTGAGTCATAGGGTAGATTTTAAAAACGTAGTTCTAGTTTATAAAGCACCAAATGGTCTCAGGCCAAATTACATATCAGACCAGTTCGTCCATGAGGTATCCAGAACTCCTCAGGTCCTCTGAGACATGTTTACTCAGTGTTCCCAGAAACAAGTAGGTTGCAGCTTTTAGTTTCGATTCTCATCTCAAGCTGCCTGAGAACCTGAGGCTTTCTCAATCTTTTAAAATAGGACTTGACATTTTTATTTACTGATGCCATCCCATAATTTCAATCACTTTCCATCTACTTAAACTCAATTATTTTAATTATACATACATTTTTCTTAATGTCATTTCTTTCTTTCTTTTGAATTATACTGTGTCACTTTGGATTAAGATCATATATTTTCCTTGTTCTGTTATAAACTCCGTAAAGCACTTTGGAATGCTTCATGTATAAATTGTTCTTTATAAATTAACTTGCCTTGTCTGTAAAATCTGCAGCTGATGGTCTTCTGTAGCTAATGAGGGAAATTGCTTAGTTTCATTTGAAAGGACCTAAATGATGTTATCAGCATTTTCGTAGCTCATGTTTTCAGACAGCACATATCTGAGTTGTATGGTTTAAAGTTTATATGGAGTGAGGTTGTGTAATGAAATGCACCATGGAACTGCATTGTGGGAAATGTAGGACCAATTATTACCTGCTGCAAAGTACATTTCACCTTTCTCAAAATGCCAAAAGCCAAAGCCAAAGTGTTTCCCTACTTTCCAACCTCGGGATACATTCAAATGCATCCTCATATCCAAGACATGCAATTAAAAATAATCATTACCGCTTATTTCTATTATTCTGAAACCACTTGATACTAAATATTTAAAGTCCAACAGTAGTTATTATAGAAAAAACGACATTGCGAATGTTTGAAGGCACATTCTTTTCAATTTAAGCAATACAGTACACCATTTTAAAATAAAGCTTGTTGGATTTTATTTCAAATCAACAAACTGAAACTTGATTAATCAAGCTTTACAAGTGTCATTTGACAAGCAGCAGTTTCTAATCAAAAACACCCATGGTTTATCAAACAACACATCTCATGTGGTAAGTCTGAACAAGCAACAAAGCTGAGATTTTAACCTGACATTGATTGCTGCAAGTAAACAAAAATAAAACTATTCCAGTAACTCAAAGTTTGCCAAGATCACAAGCAGCAATTTCCCAAGTTATTAAACACTCAAAAAAAGAAAAAAAAGACTGTTTATCTCAATGGCATATATTAGAAATATCCTAACTACTGCGGTACTTCAAAGTGTCAAATAAAAGAGACCAGAGAACAAATGGAAGCAACAACACTTTGACCATATACAGGCAGGTTAGGATTGTATTGAGAGGGGGGTTAGTGTGGTCCACCCAGATGAGATGATCTCCATAAGATTCTTCCGTCTTTTCCGTTGACATGTCTGCAAATGTGGCACATAAACAGGATAAATTCAGATTTGATGACAAGACAAATATCTAAAGGCATGTGCTGCTCCTCCCAACGTTCTTTCATGATAACTTACCAGAGGTCATCACCAACGTTGTTGATGGTTAGCTCCTCTGTTGTAAGGTGCACGCTGACGCATCACTCTCATATTGCGGTATTTAGACATGATAGTGTAACTTTTCCTGAACACCGGCCTCTGATTTGGGAAGGGACGTGGCACTAAGCTCTCCTAGTGGGGGGGGGGGAAAAAAGGAACTTCAAATACTAGGAGCTAAAAAAAAAAGCAGAGAAAATTAGCTAACATTCATTTCAATGGTGGAGATTGTGTGCATACCATGAGTGGTCTTCTAACATTTCCAGACAGTTCAGGACCCATGTTCCTTGGACCACCAGAGAACCGTTGTCTCTGTAAAACACAGCATTGAAGGTTCAATACATAAACAGTGCTACAATATTTTCCCATTCCATATACAAATTTAAAAAGGATTCAAAAGGCTGAAAAAGCAAAAAACTGTAGGTTGATCTTTGTCCTTAAAAGAGATACCACACAGGATTTAGCTGCAAATCTTTCTTGACAGCTTACTCCATTTTTTTTTTCTGACACTTGAAAATAAGTTGGGAAAAAAAAAGAAAATCGCTAAAGCACTACATTGTAAGACATGCAAGTTTTGTCAACAACAAATGTCAAGTTTAGAGACCTAAAATCTGAACGATCCAACCAAAACAAAATATTTCACTCACCTGCATGGGTCCAGGTCCAGGTCGTCTGAAGGACCGTCCACGTCTGTTGCTCTCCTGCATCATATGAAATGGTCTGCAAAGAAACAAAAGATATACAAAACGTCACTTGCTCTGCCTAAAGTAAAATTTCCTGATAAATCAAACACCAAAAAAGAGATTTGAAGAAATGTACCTAAACACTCTCTTGTCCAAATAGTCTTGTTTTTGGTCTTCTGACTCATCTGACTCGTTAGTCCTTGAGAGTCGGCTGGTAGGAGAGGCGTCTGCATCAGAATAGAGTTTTAAGAAAAAAGAAAGATAGTAAACTCTAACCCACTAGACGGAAACCGATCAAAACCAGAGATTGCTAAATAAAAACATTCTGGCGACTGGATTGCATGACCATAACTTACCATTCCTTGGCTCTGGGCTGTGAGATTTTGGAGGCGAGCCATCTTTAGAAGAGCTTGGCCCAGGTGGCCAGTGAGACAAAACAACAAGGTCTCGTTTCTCAATGGGAGAAGATCTGTGGAGAGATCATTGTAAGCAGTGTTAAGTGATATCAGCATTTTTAACCAGCCTCGTGTGTCAGTGTATGAACATTTTAAATATTGCCGGAATACATAAATTGATAATATTAATGAAAAGATGTTAAAGGAAACAAGACTGTAGGTAAATCATGAAAAAATAAACCTGCCAACTCTTAAAAGTAAAGCAACTCATAACAGTAATGAACAGCACTGATTTGCAGGCAGACAAAGAATCATAAAGCCACGCATCACACATGGGTACTTACAAAAACCATGGATTGTCGTGCTTCTTTACTCCTATTTTTGTACCCTGAATCAATCTGATCTGTCTTCGGTTCAGTGATTGTTAGAGCGGGTAAATCTTGAGAGAACATTTAGATACCAGTCTAGATCACATCGTCAAATCTTGTATCATGACTCTCTCAGAGGTCACAGGAGGACCATGCCTGGCTTTCAACATCAGAAAGAAATTCTGGTTTATCATTCGTTCAATTCCAGTTGATCCTTTAGTCATGCTCTTCATCCTAAGGGTTTGGCGGGAGTCAGATTTATCATTCAAAGGTTTTTCCAAAGATGGACATCAGAGGGTATTTAGAAGATTGAGTCCTGGGGACAGCAGAGGTTCCGAACAGAATGGCTAACTTTCCAGGGTGATGTTTGAGACAGGTTCACGTCATCTTCTCCGTAGTTGTAAGAGAGTATCCAGTCAAGTCTGCCCACAAATTAGTCAAGGAAACATATTTAGGGCTCTGTGGTACCAACAAATGGGACTTCTGCTCCTCTTATATTTTAATGTGTTGGGCTTGATTTAGAAAATAGGCAGGACTTTTAGGAAGATGATCATCTGGGTTGTTCTTCAGTCAGAATTAAGTCAAGGAGCTCACAGTGATTTGTTTTCTCCAAGAAACAGTGGGATAAACTGCAGAGAACATCAGTCTTCTCAGGTTAACATACAATGGTTTTGGTGACAAACTTCTGGTGCCAGTGAGTTTGGTTGCATGTGCCACTTCTCAATATTATGATTTCTTCCCAGCTGTTGATGTGCACCTATGATTACACCGAGGAAATGACCACAGCACATGCTAGCACGTGGGTCCGGTCCAAAAGAATAAAAAGGCCAGGCTGCCCAACTCATATTTCTTCTGTTTCCATGCCACATTGAAGTTGAAATTCTGACTGAGTGCAAACTTATCTTCACTTTATCTATTTAAAATCCTTTCTTTTGGTTTGTCTGGTTTCACCGCATCTGTGTAGAAATTTTGAAACGAGGATTTGCCATCTTCTTTTCACTTCTCAAAAACACATAAATTAGCTTTTCCCAGCATATTAACTTAAAGCTTGAAGGCCTGTTTTCTTACAGGTACTGTTGATATGATTACAACAGTAGCTTTTCATTTGGTAGATTTTCTGATGCAGGTTCAATTTCAGAAAATATTCTAGTCATCATCCATAGCGCATTTCATCCTGTGAAGACTCCCGTTGTCAAATGCACTGTACTTGGGAGCAAGGAGTAGCCATTGGTTTTTTTGTGTTTCTACTTTCTGAAGGGGAATGTTGCAGCATCATCCACAATGTCTCACTCTTCATGAGTCCCAGAGTCCTGAGAGAGGAGCTGTGTCTTCTGGCATGAAAGCACTTTAAATTGGATATACTCTTCCAAATTCACAACACACAGTTTGGGCGTTTTCTTAAGCCAAAAAGGTACCAAGCGTTTCCCGCTGGTTTTAACAGTTTGTCAATATAAGGGGAATGTTTTGTTACTAGTATTTGATGCGGATTAAAAGGAGTGAAAATACCAAAAAATGCATTAGTTAGGTTTCAGTAAAAATGAATGCAGATCCTTTTCTTTTTTTTTTTAAATCCAAACTGATTGTGGCTAGTGACATCTTTCCAAACATCCTCTTGGTGGCTTTATGGCTTTTGTTGTCCCGTTTTCAGCAATAATCATTGCCATCCATCATTGAGATTATGTTTAGGCTTCAAGCTCAGACTAGCTTTGATCACTCAATTTCCAAATACAGGCCATTGGACATAAATTTGACGTCCATGTATTTCTGAATTTTTTTCCAATAACTTTCAAGGGGAAGCTGGCAATTTTGGTAACGGTCATGTTTAGTGCAGTCCTCTCCGCGTCATCCTCTGCATGCACCAATAAATAGATTTACACTAAATCTTGATACCTTCTGCTTTAATATGCATTTTTTTCTCTATTGAAGATGAAGAGGGCTCTGCAATATGCTGAGCACTTTTTTTCTCTCAAGATAATGAACATCAAGGCTCACAAACTGATGAATCCTTCAACAGTGCAGATCAACTCCACTCTTCTCAACAATGGCTTTAACATGTCAGGTTTTAAACCAGGTTGGCTTTACTGATATGGTGTGAAACTTTGCACACTTTGTCTCCTCAGCCCACTTGATAGGAAGCTTTTTCGAAACATATGCAGCACGCAGACAGGGGTTAATTGAAACTTTGCAGCTTTTGATAAACTGTTTCACTGTTTCACATTAAGCTCATCATGACATCTCCATTTTCCACAGCAGGTACCCCTTCACATAGAGACATTCTTTCTTGACCTCCCAATCATCATCAAGCCCCTGCGAACAGTGCAAGAAGGAAAATACCGTACCTGTGAGTGTTCAAGGACCGGCGAGATTCCACCTGTTCTTTGCCTGCATCAGAGTCTCTTGAGGACTTGCTGGCATTGCTTTCTTCTCTGGGAGGTGACTGTTGTGGTTTCACCCTCCTTGGTTCAAACTTTCTCAGGGGAACTGCATTTGACTGGAAACGCTTCTTTCTGATAGAAAAAAAAGTGTTCACATTGCCCTGCCAGGCAGGGTCACCTTGGCGAGGCCTGGGTCTCACATGTGGAGGAATTCTGAGCCTCATGAGAGACTGTCTGCCCTTAATCAGGTAACTTTTATCCCTGAGAGACAACGGTTTACCACCAAATGGCCTGGGAATACTAAGCAGCTGAGGTCGCTCTCTACGGGGGTATTTTGGAATGCCATGCTCCATTGCAGGGTTTGAGGTGGGCATGCTGATGTCAGATATTCCCCTCTTGCGGGGTCCTGCCACTTGCCTCTCCTGAGGGTTTCTATGGTAGGAGGTTGATGGTGACGGGCCTCCTTTCCATGAGGGGGTCCTGAAAGGGGGCGGGTGAGGGCCATCCTGTGCCCTTTCTCTGCTGTGGGACCTGCTTCCCTGCCTCTCCATCGGGCCACGCTGCCGCCTGGACTCTTGCTCAGATGACCACCTGCATATCCATCAAACAATACAGAAATCATTACAATGACAGATCCATTGTCATGTTAAGTGGGAGGTGGGACTTAAACTTTTATCTTATCTTTAATCTTGCAGCCCCTTCATAATGCCATGACAGGAGGAAACAGGTAGGAGAAGTAAACTGACAGTGCAATTTAGGAAGTAACACTGGTTGAATGGCAAGGGAAACCACATTTAAATCAGACCCCCATTCCCCTCTACTAATTTAGGGTTGGGGCAGAGCTGACGTTATGATTATGACCCCTTTAACTAGGAGGACTGGGCCACCTCTTTCATAATTTTACCCAGCTGGGATTGCTGCTTGAATCGTGTACCTCTCTGGACATGAGCCCCTCCCATGCATCTCTCTTGGGCTCCTCTGTGACCCAGAGGGCCCATGTTCTCCATTGCGTGGATGAGAGAAAGCTCCAGCCTCATTCCATCTCTTCATGCCATGACCCGAGTGCTCATGGGGTCTTTCTCTGGGAGAGTAATTCCCACGAGGTTCTCGACTCCGCTGCTCCTGATGCTGAAAACCTGACTGCCTTTTGTGGCCTCTGAAAGACCCCTGAAAGGTTGATGCAGGCCCTGGCCTCCTGTCAGCTGGGTGGTTGCGAAAATGTCTCGGGGAGGGGGACCTGTGACCTGAGGGGTGGCCATGGAAAGGTGGGCCTCTCTGACTTGGAGATCCTTGTGAAGGACCACGAGAGGCTGGATGATGTGGGGCGTGAGGGGATCGATTTGGCCTAGTTGGAGAAGGTCTCCTCTGGTTATGGTGTGGTTCCATTTTGGGAGCGTACGAGTATGAGTCCTGATTCTGGGACCTCCAATGATTGAAACGTGGCTCCCTTTGCTCTCCCATCAGGGGAACTCTTCCCGCAACTGGTGGTCGTCCTCTACCTCTTGGCTCTCTCCAGTTTCCTCTATAGCCCGGGACATCTCTTGTACTTTTGGAGTTGGGGACGTAATTCCCCTCATTCGGTTTAATGCCATGACCATCCTCGTAAGGTCTAAAAGTACACAAACAAACAGAAAAAACAAAATGCCAGTTAAAACATTACTGTGTAAAAGCAAGGGCCAACTTTCAGCCCGAAGCCCTAGACAAAAGATGTACCCGTAAATAAAAACATGAAAGTATCCAGGTGCAAATTGACATACCAGTGATGAAAAAAACATTACCTGGGCTTTAAGCGTGGTGGTCCAAAATGTGGTCTAACCATCTCTGGATAGTAGTGAATAATCTATGGAAAAATAAAGGAACACTATTGGGTTTACTTAATCATACAATAAGCAGATAAGCTGTCATCTTCAACCAACCAAATCTTCAACATTTCAAAGTTAGAACGTGCAACTTTTTGATCCAGTAGATGTCGCCCTTGAGCACAAGTATGAAACCCAAAACAAACCGCTGTTTGGCAATACCTCTACCATACCGAAGCCTCTGCTCTCCGCCAACAACACACCTCCAACCCTCCTCCACTAAGTTTGCACGAAGGAGTTTAATGCGAGTGGCGGACAAAGTTGTCTGTGACCCGAGTTGCAATTGCCTGTGGCCTGCATTGTTGTGTTACTGCTCTTTAATTAGCTCGTAGCTTCACATTGCATGCAAATTTACACGGAATAACTGATCTAAAATGCATTGTAAACGGTCATGACTCAGAGAGATATTTAGAGAGGCTAGACTTGATTTCTGCTATATTTGTAAAATGTTGCACATTCTTTAAATGCTGAAAATATATTTTAGCCAACTGGGTAGATAATATATTAATAATAGTTTACTATCTGCTTGACAGTTGAGCGCAGCGAGTTAAAAAAATCTGTCTGGTATCAGCGTAAAGTACAATTTCTTTATCAGCCAAGGTTTAACAGTGATCAATGCCACCCACAGCAATACGAGAGCTGGTAATCAGAGATAAGAGATCAGTCAGTCTAACTCTAATCAGTACTTTCATTATCACCTTTTAAATGTTTGAATATGAACTGAAACTTAAGGAAATCAATAAGCCTGTGTAGTAGGGCTGGGCGATGCGGACCAAAACTCATATCTTGATATTAATTAGCTGAATGGCGATACTCGATATGTATTTTATTAACAGTGAAAACACATGGAAAATTAACTACCCGTTTGTGAATTTAAAAAGTAATATTATAAAATAAAAATGTTCCTTAAATACAGTAAAAGAAAGAGGAGGAGCCTATATCTTGTTTGAAAATATATCGATATATCTTAAAAACTTGATATATTTCCCAGCCCTACTGTGTAGGACAAAGTTAGATTTTCTTTAGTTTTGTTGTTGCCATGACTTTCAAAACAGGGGTCTCTGCTGTCAGGGTTGTGCCTTATTTAAAACATCAAAATGAGGTCCTGCTCGTTTTGACAAAGAAATGTTAGTTGTCTTGGGGAATAAGGTTGGCAATATTTAATCTACACTGACATGAGAAAGAAAATGCACAAAACCATAAACCCCGACTTAAACCATGACTTTTCCTGTGTCCAGTGTCGCTATTATCCCGAGTATCCCTATTAAAACTTTCATATTTAATTTACAACCATTTACAACTCTGTTCTTACACATTTACATTTAATCTTTCATATTTAATTTACAACCATTTACAACTCTGTTCTTACACATTTACATTTAATCTTCCATATTTAATCTTTCATATTTAAGACTAGTAATGCTTAGTTAAATCCTGGTTGTATATATTCACATTGTTAGTTTTTATATTTTTAGTACTTATTTACTTTGTATTTAATATTATATTATGTTTAGATTTGCTAACATTGTGTTTTTATACTCATTGTGTGTTTGGACAACCTGCTGCTGTTCTATTCTATGTCTAATATTTATTTTAAAAAACTCCAGACGTTGCACAGTCGTATCCACAAAACATAAGTTATTAGACACAATCAAAATCGAAAGTGCAACTTAAAACTTTAAAATACGCTTCTTTGTCCTATCCCATAATTCAAGAGAGGACAAAAAGAAGTTATACACAAAGCCAACAAGGGAGTTACATGTTGTAAATATTTGTAGACGTCGGGTTGAGTTTCAGGATCGAGCCTCCATGTTTGGTATCGACGGACAGCTCTTATAAAACAACATGAAGACTATTTATGAACTGGGGAAACCAAACAGCAAACGTCCCTTTCGTGTTACCAAGTATCTCAATATTCCGCTCAGGTTTATACTCGATGTTAAACACACGGATTTATAAATGCAGGTCGAGCTAACGCTAGCAGTAACCTTATCTTCTTATTACCACTTAGCTGGCCTGGGTATAAAGCTAGCGTTAGCATGACGCCACTACCAGAAAATGTCATTTACCTTGTGAGTCATTTGGGCACATTACCAACACTTTAAAAAAGGGTGTAACAACGACACATTAACGTCGACTATGAAGCAGTGTACTTGAATAATTCAGCTTGCTACTTACCAAAGACCAGACGTCGAAGTAGAGACAGACACGGTCGTTGCGCAGACCAGTGGAATGAGCTGAGTTTCGCGCATGCGTACAACCGTTTATAGAATGCCTTGTTCAGTGCAGTAATTCTCCACAGCGCCAGGGGGCGAGAGTTAGCGAATTATTCCGGATTACAAACATGAGGTCAAAGTGAGTGCAAGAGAGAGAGAGAGAGAGTACTAAATGGGCCAATACCAATATTTACAATATACTGTAATATTTACAGTCTATGGCCAATACTCTGTTCTACTAAAATTGATGTAACAAACTGAAATGTACGCAGTTGTATTCAACAAACCTCTAGCATTCAATAATAATAATTTATCTGCTTTATCTGGTCTCATGCACTACATCACTTTATTCTATCCTTTCTATATCAGTATTCATACAGTTCTGGTTACTTTATTCCTGATGTTTCTTATCCATCATTGCACTACGGTCACTTTATTTATCTAATTTTTACAGTTATATTGTTTATATTAGTTCTCTTGTTCCATTATTCACCATGCACCTTATAACTTATCATTTAGTATTTAGTATTTAGCCTACTTGCACATACCTCTGTATATATATATATTTATTTCTCGTTTACTGCACATAGTTCTGTTTACATCTGGTCACTACTGCACATAGTTCTGGTTACAAGTTGTATTTAAATTGACACTTTATATTTAGGTTAAAATGTTTCGTTTACTTGCACTGTTGTTAATTTACTGCACTTTGTGCCTTTGAATTGCCCCCCGGGGACAAATAACGTTTTTTGAATTGAATTTGAATTTGAATTTGAATTCACGTTCAAAATATTCAGGTAAGATGCAGGTTGTTAAGAAAAATCCAAAACCACGCCACTTTGCTGTGTACGTTTTGAACTCCCAGACAGTCACAAGTCGTCACCAGTTCCCTCAAATATGTTTTCATGTGTTGATAAGCTACTAAATGACTGATATACATACACTTCATTCATACATTTAAATGCAAAACCATGTATATCAAAAATTAAGTATAAGTAAAACAGGTTGACTGCTTTAAATGCTTAAAAAAACTCATGACACACAAACAAAATTCCTAGTTTGACAGTTTATTGTTTTGGGTAAAATGACCATGCTTACCATGCACATTGTCTACAACAATTACATAACTTGGAGGAAAGCGAACTGTTATGTTATATGGGTATGAGCAAAGTAAATACTTTTGTAGTATGTCTTTATACTCATTTGCATTTAGTTCAACCTCGCCTCTGTGCAAAAAAGCAGCATTAAAGTAATTGAAACACCAAAATATGCATGATGCACATCCTAACTTTGGAATACTGTATTTTTCTGTATGGCTACTTCACTTCAGACAGTAAAAAAGTCTCTGGAGGCTATTTATTGTCTGAAGAACATCATTCTAAATATACAAGCTTTTGGTGTTATTGTTCACAGCATGGCAATGATGCATTCAAAACCAAGGTTCAAGTATAACAGGTCAACTACTCACAATAATCCTAGTGGCCAAACAGGAAGGACTAAAAACAGGGTCAGAAAACAGTGAAATGGCTTGCTCATAAATCCAGTCTCCCATAAGGCATCTCTACTGAAATGACACGTATACATAACACACAAAAGTACATTTTCAATTATTAATTAACTCCTAAATTACTCACAAAATAAAGCAGCCCAATACAGGACCGCACAGTACTACAGGATGAGAATAGATACTTGCACAGAGTCTTTATAGCTACAGGAACCAGTTGTTGATTGTTAAGGAAACACTCCCACCCCATTGCATTTCAGTCCTACATATAAATAGATTGCTAGATATCTGCTGATTGGAATCTATGGAGGTCCATGGATTAATGCATCCGCTAGTGCTTTGCCTTGGGAACCATTAACCCAACAAGGCACAACTACAAAAAAAAACACATTTCAATCACATGAATTTGCTCAGCTTTCAGTATGTTCATTATTAGAAATCAATTTAAACAATAAAATCATTAGTCAAATGGGGAACTATACAGTGAAATTAAAATATTATCAATGCAATAACTGTATTTGCAAATATGTGATTAGGGATTCATTTAAATCTGCAGCAAACACATGATATTCTAGCATAATTTGTACTGATGGCATGGCTTTTTAAAATGCGGCAAAACATTCAAGTTGGCATCTAGAATCAGTTTTCTTGCTCGCGTGCAGTTAGAAGTCTCTGTAACAGAACATTAAAGATTAAAGGGAAAGGGCTCATTGCTGTTAAGTCCAAACTTTTCACAATTAATTTATGGGACCTATTGCTGGATAAGGAATACTTAAGGACTGCAGTGGTCTTGGATTTCTGCTGGGTTTGGTTTGCCAGATAAATCCATCACATCCTCCCCAAATCAATCATCACTACATGCACAGAGGACATTACCTAAGAAAAAAAAAATGCAATGCTACTAGAAATATAAAGTCATGCCTTTCCCAGTCACTGAATTTGATTTAAAGGCTTGAGAGGGCATGTGGAAAAGCAGAGGTGCAATGCAGACATCAATACATTGAGCAGGTTTTATCACTCTAGTCCTCAGACTTAAATGTTAGCTAGTGAGGATACTGTGCAGGGAAAGTAAGAAATTCTTATGTTACCATACATAAGCAGTACAGTGTTGCATTGTATTTATTCAAAACCCTGATATATTTCTTTGTGTATTTATATCGTATATGCACACTCTTCCAGAGCCTCTTGCACATGTGCTCATTTTTCCACACACCTTTGTCCTTAACACAACTATAGGTTTAACAAAGTAATGCTTTCAAATTGTCAATTGCTATGTTGTTAGAATATAGGAGATGTCTTGTTTATAGCAAGTTATGTTTTAGTCAATTTCTATGGCTCTATTCCCTTATATTTCTTGACACATGGGCACACACAAAATGTGAGTTTGTGTGTGTGACAGAAAGAGAGAAGAGAGAAAAAAGATAAGCGAGAGAAGAAGAAACAGAGAGGGATTCATTGACTACTTGATGCTAAGTTTATTCGAGGATGGAGGAGCCAGCCCAATGAGCTTTGAGTCTGACATGGGACTGACAACGCCTTCAATAAGGTTCTTGTTGCAGTCGCCCATGTTGCCGTCAGGGGACCGTTTCGGGTAGGTTACACCACCTGTCAGGTCTATCAGGTCTTCAAGTGCACGGGCGTTGCTCACACTGCCCGGATTGATTTCATTGACTGGTGAGAACTCTGGGATTGAGATGAGCTCCTCTCTTGAAGCCGGGCTGAAATACAAAGATAAAACAGCAATCGTATTTACCTCACATAGCGGCCAATATCCTCTGACATCACACTCAGGGAGGATAGCTTTAGTGCTGAAGTGTCTGATGTAACTAGGACAGAGATAATATAAGTTTACAACGGGTGCGTCTTGTGATAGTATCTGAAGGAGATTTAGGAGTCCCCTCAGGTGGAATGTTTAAATTGAGGTATTGTATAGGAGTATTGCCACATGTGGTTGTGTAACGTGATGTTTTATGACCCATGACGAAAAGCGGATGTTTGGATGCATATAAGCAATTGTCTCTGTGTGTTCGAGAGAGATCATTATTGGCTTCTTGATCCTCCTGGTCAGACGTGACCAGTGACTCTGTTTCTTGCTTAAATAAAATTATACTCTTTGAAAGCAAGTCAGTGTCAACAGCGAATTTCTTCATCATCAAACATATCAACAACAAGGAAATCCACATCAGTGCTATGTCGTACTGACTGTTATGTTGAAGATTTGTAGTTGACTATTTTGAATCTGTTATTTGTTAATGGAAACATGGAAGGACTCCAGAACATGTTTCATTATAATACAAAAAAAAGCTAAAACACTAACTAGCAGACCATTACCACTATAAACATAAACATCATAAAAAGGTAATGTAAGCATTCCAACACTTCCTAACTTACAGAAATATTAGACAGAAAACTGGACAATTGTTGTCTCTCTGATGCTTCCCAGTTGATCAGCAATTTACACAGTTAAACGGTGGTGGAAATGTCCAGGGATATCAGGCCATATTTCAAGGTAAGTAAAAAGCTAACTACACCAAACCACTAAAGCCAGCTAAAATTGCCATTAGCTAGGGATTTACACCATCTAGTGTGTTGTAACACTATCAAATGGTTATTTTAGGAGTGAAATACTTCATAGCCAACTGTAATATTAGATAGGAAGTGGCTGAATGCTAACAGACAGAGGTCAGATGACATCCCAATCCTACTTCTTTTAGTTTCTGATCAACATGAAACCAGTGAAATTACAACAAATTAAAGACTCTGAACATAGATTTAAGATGAATTCCAAAAAAAATCACTTGAGTACTATTCTTGACTCATAGGATTGTTACTGTGGTTCTGCTTTTGATTCTTTCGTTACCAGTGTAAATTTCATCCTGTGGACGTTAACGTTTGCAAACTCATTCAACTGAAACTCAACCTTTTTGACCTTTTAGGTCGCTACCTAAGCATTATTTCGAACACCTTACATCATCTGTTGGGAATAGAAAAGACTGCATGTACAATTAAAAAACAACAAAAAGTCACTAGCTAGCACTGAACCACTTACTAGCTAGAGTGACTCGTATGTTTTTTCTACTGCTATGTGGTGTAACTTTTAAACGCAGAGAGCAGGCTGTTATATTTAACATTTGTATGACTTCCACACTAATTATAACAGTACCACGCAATAACGACTTTTAACTTCCCGCTCTGAGCATGACGTCACAAGAAAATGGCTAGTGTAAATAGGTATTTGGTATCCTGTGTTAGTGTGGCGTTGTTACATAGTAGGCCTACTATAAAACAGTGTTACCTGATGACTCACCTGACGTCCATCGACTGCACCTCGTCAAAAGACCCCGCCCCCTTCACACTGAGTGGTTCGAGCTTGATGACCGGCAGGGGTGTCATAGAGGGTTTAATAACCTCCATCTGGGAGCCTCTCTTTGGTTTCCTCTCAGCTGTCACCACATGCAGGCTTTGTTGTTTGCTTACCTCAGCAGTAACATGGCTTCTTGTCAAGGCACTTCCTTCCCCCTTCACTGCTCCGTTCATCATACCTCCCTCCTTTGGGTTGACTGCTTTTGGCTTTATTGGCTCCTTATTTATTTGGTCTGGGGCTTTAACGTTAGCTCTGTGCTGCACGTTTACATTCATTTGCAACTCTCTTCCCTGCTGCTTGGTGACACATGATTTGCCATCTCTGTTTAGTTGGCTGACTTCATGGATCTGTTTGGTGTCAGGTCCCTTGTCAGGAACATTTTGTGTTGATGTCGCTGGATGAGTGTTGTTTTTCACTGGCATACTCTTCCGATTGTCCATCTTTGCTGCTGCTGCTGCTGCTATTGCTACTTTCTTGACCGGGGAACATTCCTTTGTGTTGTCTTGGACTGTGGCTGACTCCTTAACCTGAAACTCAACCTTTTTGATTGCTTGCTCATTCACCTGAGCAATACTTTGAACAGCCTTTACTTCACCTGTGGAGAATGGAAAAGACCACAGTGGGCTTCACTTTATTTGGACTGTCCAGTTAATAACTGAATTGAGTTGATTTGAGTCTGTTTTTGCTAACAGTTACCGTCAGACATTATCAGTGATTCAATCTTTTTGTATGTAAAACCCAAATGAGCTGAGAATTAACACTGAACAGTCCCAATAAAGTGTAAGCTCACACTGGCGCAGAGCAGCCCCTGAATGCATCTTCCAAGGACATTTTCAAGAGCAGCTAATTTTACAGTCAGCTCCCATGGTACTGCTCTACTGTAAAATCTGCCCAATCAGGAAGAGAAAGGTCCTTGGCTGCTGCTATATATTCTAGAAAACACTGTATAACCCAACCCAGACGTAAAATACATGTAAAATGTATGGCCTAAAGCACAAGCAAAAGAAATCTTGACTTTAAGCTGGACAAGGATCATACCTTTTTCGAAAGCCAAGGCATAAGGTCATAACAAGAAAAGAAAAAAAAGAAAAGAGGGAAATATTTGGAGACAGTACCTTGCTGAGTTGTCACACAAAGTAACCTTTAAAAAAAACTGCACATGCTCAAGAAAATCATACATGCCCTGTTTGCAATTTTCCAGCAGCAAGGCGTAAAGAGAGGGGCAAAGTGAGCAGGGACAGCAGGCAAACTTAAGTACTAGCGGGGCGACTTAATCAAATACTAACCTGTCGGCTTCGCCTCACCCTGCTCCTCCCTCTGCTTCAATGCAGAACAGAGACGATCAAGTTAATGTTTGATGTAATGAGGACACAAAACACAAAGTATGACCAACAATAGAATTTAATAAAGATGACGACAGAAAAACAGACTTTTAATAAATAAAACAAAAGGGTCTTGATCGAATGATCAGCTGGTGCTTAATGGCAGCAGGTTTACTGTATGAGAACAAAGGTGTCTCTTACAGTACCTTCAAGTCAGCTTCAGCCTTCCTTGTTCTCTTCATTATCTCCTCAATTCTCTGCAAAAGAACAGCAATATTTAATCACAATGTAAACTTTACAGAGGTTCAAAATGGAAACTTTATACAGAGAGGGCTTAGGCTGTCCTTTTTAAAGGTTTTTCATAATAACCTTTTTTCTTAGTTGTCTTTCCTCTTCTTCTTGTTGTGTCTGCAAGTCTCTGTCTTGCTGTTGACGCTTGGCCTCCTCATGAGTCTGGACTTTTGATTTTTCTTTCTGTTTTGTTAAAAAATAATTCTATTAGTGACCACACTGCAAGACAAAGTATCATTTAATGAAAGCCAATATGAGCAGCATGAAGACAATGATCTCCTACCTCTATGTCAGTCAGGATCTGTAGTTTCACCTCCTGCTCCTCCGCCTTTTGATTCCCTTCTTCTTGTTTCATCCTGTGAGGACCTTCCTCCATTTTCTCTCCTTCCTTTAATTGTTTAGCCTTCGCTTCCTGTGTGTTCTGCTCCTGTGTGAGTTGCTTCTTCAGCTGCTCTTCCCTGAGTCTGATTTGAAAGTACATATACATGTATTAAACATATTGTAAGGCTGTTTAATGCTGCCTTCGATATAATGAACAAACTCACTTTTGTTCTTCCTCTTGTTCCCGTTTTTTCTCCTCCAGTTCCTTCTGAGCCCGAGCTAGGCGCCGGCGCTCTGCCAGCAGCCGAGTGGCCTCCTCTGCATTTGTCGTGCCGGCTGCCATCTTTCCTGTGGACATGCCTGTTGTTGATTCTGTCACACATAGAAAGACTGGTGTAAGATCATACAAGTGTACTTAAACTAAATGTAGCTAGTATACAAATAGTCTAGTATCATCTGCATAAGGTTGACCTTCTTTCTTGTCTCCATCCAGAGTACTACTTTCTGTCTTCTTCTCTGATTGATCAACTTTTGAAGACATGTTGTCCTTTCTGTCAGTTGAGCGACTTTTCTCAAATGTGTCAACTTTTAGCTGCTTGTCAAAAGTTTCTCCTTTAGATGATCTGACGTCCACATTCTTCTCACCTTGAGGCGTGGTTGTTCCATTCATTTCACAATTTTTCTTCACTGCAGTCTCAGTTTTGGATTGTTCACCGTGTTTTTCTGTCTTCTTGTCTTTTGCATTCCTGTCATCAGTTGACAGGTTTGAACGATGTCTTGTAGGAGAGTAATGGTACTGATGTGCGTTGCTAGGAGACTGGGTGCGCATTCTAGATGCAAGCCTGCACACAGATGGAGACGTTTTACATCAGTATGAAGCAGTCAGTGATAGGAAGGACCGTAGCAATATGCGACAACCGCAATGTTTAACTGCCTTTAAGTTTTATCCTTAAGAAAAATCTTACCTGGAGGTAGTGGGGGAACCCAAGTACTTGGTGACGCTAGCAGGAGATTCAGATCTCCTCACAGGTGAGCCACATCCTGGGGATGCAGTTCTTCTCTCTCTGCGGAGCCGCTCTTTCTGCAAGAAAAGTCAAAGAGATTTGAGACACAATCTTTTTTCTCCGATCCATTCTGGTTTGATTCTTATGGGTGTTTTGTAATTTTTTTGGGCTTAAGGGTTTGTGCCTAATCTAACCTTCGGGGTATTGGGGGTGGACTGAGAGCCTCCCTGAAGTCCAGCTCTGCTGTGATCTGCAGGATTCACCGAGCTGCAGAAAGGTGACCTGTGAGGGCTGCAGGGTGCTGCATGATGACAAACATGATGCTTATCAAATCAGATAATGGCAGATAACAAGTGAAACAGGGCTATTAATACAGAAGCCAGGGCGGAGGCTGACTGGAGAGCGTGTGCTGCAACCAACTGATGCTTACAGACTTGCTTTTGCTGCCAAAGTCAGTTGGCAGACATAATGCTGGGAAAGACAATTTAATCTGATGGTGTGTTGTAATTTAAGGCCACAGTCTTACAATTCACGTATTGATTTTGGTTCTGATTCAGCCGAAAAGAGCTGAATGATCGCCCAGTATGAGATCAGGCCCGAGTGACAGATAGTGAGCTCATCGTTGTCTTTCTTCTGCCAGTATTCAGCCGTCATGGTGTGTGTTAATGCCATGCTAGGCATTATTAGGCAGGCATTCATCCTGAGTCTGTAATCTGTTCAGTGGGATTCAAGCACACACAGGCCAGAATTGCGGCTGCTAACAATAACACTATTCACAACAATTTCCCCCTGACACAACCAAAAACAAAAACAGCAAATGAAAACACTCAGGAGACCCGAACTAACAATCTAAAAGAAAATCCCTCAACGTCGGATGCGTCGTACAACACAAGGAGCAATCTTCTCGCTGTCTCTCGTAACTTCGGTTCCATCTGTCACCATCTGTAAAGAGTAATCTCTAAAGAGCACCGCCTTCTCACTGCGATGCCTGTATCTGTTTCTATTTTAGTGCACATTTTTCTATTCTAGGTCATGGGCGACTAATCTCCAAAACCATCCATCACCACTTAGCTGCTTTCATTTTGAAATCAAAACCCTCTTAAAAAAAGAGGAAAAAAGATGTCTAGAAACGGTGAAAGAGAAACCCCAATGATGATTAAGAATTTCCAGTCAAACATGTTCTGTAGCTTGTCTGTAATCACTGAAAGATTACTCATCTGGAGAAACTAATCCCACAGTTGATTTAGAGGGAAATTTGAACGAGCATGACACAAACAGAAAGTCGTCATGAATTAAGCAAACACATGACATAGGAATAGGCTGATGAATTAATGGAGGAAATAGGTCTCTGCAGACAGGATACAGTCCATGAATTAGCCAATCTTTTCCTTATTGTCTTTTTTTCTCCTGCATGGAGGCTCATGCAGTCATGCTGCAGAGTTTGGGACGACAATGGATGTTTCGTGCCTGGCTGGGGGACAGCACTCAGTGTTCCTTCTCTTTTTTTTTTTTCCTTCTCTCACGAATAGTTCCCTCTCTCTCAGTTTCTCTGGGCTACTAACTCACCGAAGCCCTTGTTTAGGTTTTTTTAAATGGTCTTTTAAGAGATTGACTGGTTCAGGCCTAATTTTGTTGTACTGATTTTCCAACCAACTTTATCTTGTTACATTTTTTTATTTTAAGAATTAGACATAACAAAGAAAGAATAATGTGTTCCGTCAGGTTTATCAGGTAGATAAAAAATAATTTAGCTTCATTTAGCGTTTTTGGACAAATGCCTTGATTTAAGTCAGTCAAAGCTCCTCTACTATTTACATCAAAAGCATCAGAGAACGAACGCAGCAAACACACCAGAGTCTAGTTTACATAAGCCCCTTTTACATTGCAAGTTCAAGGAAAGACTTTGGTGACCCTGTTACACCTGATCTGCGATGTAAATGTCACGAAGGGAGGAAATGGTGGGGCAAAGTCATTCTGCATGAGCCGGCATTTGAGGTAGTAAAAGAGGCATAACAGTGAAACCATGTAAAACATCAGAGCTGAATGGGCGGAACAATGCTGTGTGTGTGTATGTGGGTTTGTGTGCATGTGAAGCCCTAGTTTTTTGGTTTTCATTTTGTTTTTTCTCGTGCATCCACAACTCTGTAAAGTACGGTGAAGTCACACACTGGGACACCAATAGTACACCATGGCTTATTCAATTAAAAAGGACAAAGTATTACAAAGATGTAATACAGCAGATTCACAATGTAAAAGGGGCTATAGAGATGTCTTTGCATAAATACATTGTATCTTACTTGCACAATAAAAAAAGAGCAGCCTGACAAACATGCGTTACAGGAAGAACACATTTGCCTTTGGCCCACCCAAAGGTAAACACACAGACATGGCAACTGTTGGATGAACAGGAGGGGGAGATACATTTGGGAGGGCAAAGTAGGGAGGGGGGGGGATCTTAACTTTACCGGATTCGCTCGCAGCAGGAAGGGGGGAGGCAATGCCATGGGAAAAGGCGGAGGCAGCAGAGAAAGGGAGTGGGGCATTCTCACTGTCACCTAAAGGCAGCGGGCGGAGCAGAGCAGAGCAGACAGAGCATTATGATCAGTTTCACTGAGCAGTTCCTCATCCAGCTGTAGAGACGTGGATGGGAGTTAACATACCAGCAGGGATGTAATGACACTGTTGTTACTTTGGTCTGATTTAAAGCCATGATGTGTACGTTTTTTAAATGTTCATCTGTTAAGACTTCTCTGTTGGTGGTATCAAATAGGTAACGCAACAAGAAAGTAGTGCACTCTGAAGATTTATGCTTTATGTTTGCATTTAAATTTTTCGTATGAGTTCAAATGTTTAGCTTTGTGACACAAAGACACCAGTGCAGATGTGTAACTCCATCCTGTCTCTTTTGGAAACCAGGAACAAATGTCTGCTCATGCGTACTTCAGCAGCCAGGCTGTCGGCAATGATCAGGCCAAGAGAAGGCTCTTTCCAACTCACTCACTCACTCACTCACTCACACATTCAAACAACACTATAGCATACATTTAGTGTCACTTGTCTCATAGAAACACAACACGTTTTCCATTTCAAGATTCTTCTCACTTTCAGAATATTACCATTTAAACATTCTCCCATCCATGCTTATTTTATCCAACATGATCTGTATTTACATCTGTGAGATCTGCCCTGACCTGCTCCTGGGGGGCAGCCTCTGCTCCAGCGTTTGGTCCTCTGCTCCAGCTGAAGGCTTCGCTCCATAGAGCGTTTCATCAGGGCTTCCAGACGCTCCTGAAAGACAACACAGCAGAGGGGACCTCTATTTGAACAATGTCGCTTAACAACTGTCTTTTTTTCTTTCTAATTATCATACATGCCCCGGGGGTCATGTTAGTGGCATGAAAGCATTTATGTAACGTGCATACACGAAGAAAAAGAATCTTGGATCAGACAGATCTGGAGAATTGTATTTTGTTAATTCAGCTGACCCTCTCCTCCTCGAGCTGCTGCCTCCTCTTCTCCTCCACGGCAGCTCTGCGGTGCTCCTCTTTCTGCCTCTGCTCCTCAAGACGCCTCCAGCGCTCCTCCACCGTGCGCTCATACTGCAGCCTGGCTCGGCGCTCCTTCTCCCTGATCAGCTGCTCCCTGGCCGCTGTAGGAGACAAATTCTGCTTCAGGTTACACGGAAAAATTGATTAATTGGAGCGTTGTTGTTGCTTGTGGCTATTCCTGCAGCGGGGTCATTTAGTGTTCAGGATGTACGACACAGAAAAAATAGAACTCCACTTTTTTCTTCTTTTCTTTTTTTACTTTTTTACAATTTTGCAACGATTGATAAAGCTTCTTACAGAGTGCTTTTTCCTCCGTGGTTTGGTAATATCTGTCAATTCTTGTCGCAAAACTCTAAATCTGTCATTATAAAGTAAACGTATGTCTGCTGTGATTTGGATTTTGCCTTCAATCTAGAGCCAAGACTATCAAGAAGACATAAATCCTTGTCATCATGAGGAAACTGCTGGAGCTGCATGATTTACTGTGAGAGGGAGACCTACTTTTGTGGATTATTGAACGTTACTGTCACATTCTCTGACGTGACTGAGCTCATCACATCCAAAAACCCAGTGAACTCAAAGTAAATTGTCTACTGGCTGGCAGAGCTCTTCCATAACCAATTAAACTGTAGAAAGAAAAAGCCAGCACAGAAAACTTTGGACTGGAAAACAACGCAGCAGGAAGCCTTTTTATTCCCCCCCCCTCCCCCCCTCCCCTCCCCTTGCCAAAAGAACAGGATATAACTTACCCAGGCTCCTCTCCCTCTCCTCACGTCTCTCTTTGGCTAATCGCATCCTGTCGTCAGTCTTCATATAACCCTCCACAACTGAAAGATGAACCAAGATGTTAAAGAAAAAAGGAAGTGGCAGTGCAGGGAAATTCCAGGAGAAAAAGCTAAACTGCATCATAGAAGAAAACATGGACCTACTTAGTTTACCTGCATGGTTGTTGTTGATGTGTGAAGGGGAGGCGTGTCCATTTATGTATGGCTTCTTCTCTGTGTTAGACGGAGCTGAGATCACCATTACAGAAGGATAAAGAGAAGGATAAAGAGGAATGACATCAGCACCTCAGTACTGACCTGTAGTACCGCTTTGTAACCAGAAGAGGGCAACATATCTGCAGCTCCGTGTTAAATGCATTGTGTTGCAAAATGCCAAGTACAGTAGCCCCATGCCAAGGGCAAACTGCAGCAATATGCGGGAGAGGGGGAGGAAACTGTCCTTGACAGAAGAGACTGAGCACATGCTGAGTGTCTCGTTTAGTTATTTCTGCTGTCACCATCTTCTGAACACAGTGACAACAGAGCAGCCCTGAAACACATTTTCATTATATTTACAGGCCCATTACTTCATCATATTATGTGTCTAAATTTGCAATAATCCAAACCACTGTGGTGTTAGTGATTTTTTCATTATCCTGATGAAAGTGTGACAGACCCAGAGGAGGATTACTCACTAAGTTTTCCGGTTCGGACTGGAGAGCTGTGACCATTAGTCGGAGATCTCTTCTCCGGAAGTAGAGCAATGGATGGTGGTGCCATTTTTTCTCCTATGATGCACAAAACAAATCAAAGACTACTCAGGGTGTTTGACCTAACATGGAATCTAACATTCCCAACCCCGACATCACAAATCCCAATGGTTTAATTTGGTGGGAATGGAGCAGTTTGCTGGTGTATAGCCCGGAGCTATAACTGCAGGAAGTATGTTTGGGTTAATGCACAACCCATCATGTTTTAACTCTATTGAGTTTACTCAGATGGATTTAGACACAAATTAGACACATTACATAGGGATAATGTGCAACATGTGATATCATTTTAGTGTATATACTATTATAAAGAATATATAGTTTAACAAATCTGAAACATCAACTAATTATGTAAACCACATAAACATTATTGAGAGAACCTTATCTTAGGAACAGCTCCTCGTTAGTCATGCTACCGAAGATAAAAAGTTTAATTCCACAGAGTCTATTGATGAATATGTACATTTTAATTTGCTTATTTGCCAACATGTTAATTTGCTTCTCCTGATTAACTGAATTACTCTCTTTTCTGTCTGGGATTAGATTCTGACTTCATATGGTTTGAAGGAGTGATGCTGCCATTTCTTCCACTTACTTCACAATGCACATACTGTGCATGTGCATAATACTTAACTGGTAACATTTATCCTTGTCAATCACAGCACTTCATTGATTTTCTTCAGTGGCGACACTGGTAGTCTAACAAACTCAGGTACATTTGCCTTGGCTTTTGAGGGAAAAAGCCAACACTCTGTATTACTTCTATAACTTCATACTTCTGTATCTTACAGAGCTGTCCAGTCATAACTGTGAAAATACATGCTGCAAAAGAGTATTATGTTTTTTTTTGTTTTTTTTTTAAAACTGGTAATCTGCTTTAAAGACAACATTAATTATTTAAAGAAAATTTGGTCCCGGATTTTTTTGAATCTTCGCAAAATAATCGAAAAGTCTCAAAATTTCTCCAGTGTTCCCCCGAGCATCTTTTTGCCCGACAACAGTCTGTCCTGTTTGGAATCAGTGTTCAAGTGTCAGGGGCTGATCCAGACCCTCGCAAGGGGTGGCCTGTCGCCCCATGGAATCTGATTAGTAACTACATGTGCCACCCAAATATCCTAAAGTTCCGAACTATAATTGGCTATTTGCCTTGTCAGACACGGATCTAATGTTAAAATCAGCTTTTTGGGCAGTGATGCAACAGGCTGCTGGTAGCATCCTTTGCATTTCAATGTGGAAAATGTTCCTCTGTTAGAATTTTAAATTGTCACTTTGAGATTTTTATGTTCCCATTTATGTTGTGTTACTTTTAAACATAACAATAATATATAAAATCTGTTATAATTCTTTAATGTTAGTTAAAGTAAATTGTTTGGATTGAAATGGTAAATAAATGCTCTAGATTTGTGTTCGGACTTCATGCCAAGTCTCTCCCCCCCCCCCCCCCCCACCCTCTCAAAACAGTCTGGATCCACCCCTGCCTTGTTTGACTTTGAGCATCTCATTAGATCATTTTAGACCACAGTGACTCAACTGTATCAAACATGATTATTGACCTGTAGGGAAATCTCCCCTCTGTCAGGGCGTGGAGGACAGCCCATAAATAGGCCCACAGTGCTCTAGAGACAATGACCCTGCAGTCTTCAGGCCCAAATATTCTTCACAAACTGGGTTTCTTTCAGATGATACAGTGTAATCCACGTGTCTGTGCTGTGTCACAGGCATCATCCTCTCCATCCACTGAACCGTTTTATCAGATTGAGTTGCGTCATCACTAAGAGAAAATAAGATGCATTTATAGCAACAGAACCTGAATATGCTTTGAAGTGACTTGACACTAATCGTTAGCCCAAAAGGAAAAGGTAAACGGCACAATGACAAACGATAGAAACACACAAAGGCACCCAGTTTTCTATTTCTCACTTTTTTTTTTTTCTCTTGGCAATGTTAACGTTAAGGGTCAGTGATTTAGGGTTATTGCAAGAAGAAGAAAAAAAGATCACTCCATATGTCTGAGGTCTTAGAGACGTGCGTTTAACGAGGTGGCACATTGATAAACAAAACAGAGAAGCCGGACCGCGCAGAGCAGCATCATGCACAGTGGAAAAGTCAGTTGCGTCATTCATGTGTCTGCGTTAAAGCGCGGCGCTAGAACAAAAAAAAAAAAAAAAAAAAACACATAACAGTTATCATCATGATACCAACATTACAAACCCCAAACAAAAGCTTACCTGTAATTGCGTTAGGTGATGTGATTGTTTTCGCCATGGTTGCTGTCACAGGCTGCATTTCAACTGGATGGACGGACGCGCATTCACCCAAAACACTCTGCGGTGATGTCAATGCAGCACAGGTATCCGTTTTCCCCCACAGCAGCAGAAAGGAAGGACATCCACGGCGTATTTAAACACAATCGTATGCCACTCAAGCCGAGAGCATGGAGGTCTTGGTAAAAGGCTGGAGGGTGATATGTAGGAGAGGAGAGCTTTGAGTGGATGGAGGAGAGATGCAGAGAGAGAGAGAGAGAGAGAGAGATGCAGAGACTGGAGCAGAGAGGATGATAATGCGCACACACAATCGAGTTTACTATCGAGCGAGCACACTGTGCGTCGCAGCGTAAAGCCTGCCCTGTTATGACCACACCACCGGCAGATGGAGGCGTTTTACTCTATTCACAGAGCTCAACCAAACACAATTACATTTCCTTTATTCTGTCTTGGATATACAAGCTGTCTCCTACCTATCATGTTACAAGAAAGGGGTTGGAAAGCATAAACTAGCTGCTGTTTCACACATGATGTTCAAAGGCTGACAAATCGTTTGTTAAAAGAACACAGTTTGCACATAAGGACAAGATCAGCAAAGAGATAAGAGCTTTGTCCAGAGGGGGGCGCTAAAACTGAGCGTTCCTCACAGGAATGTATACACTTTTATTTTAAAAAAAGGACTCTTGACTTGTACAAATATGGGTTAGTGCAACACACAGAGATCTGGACCCGACACCAGAATATCCTTTCCATGATAGCATGTAGAGAGCGTTGCATATTTTCATTATTTCAACAGCTTCTATCAAAATACAATATCTCAAATGTGTTTAAAACCTTTGCAGTGCTGGTGGTTCCTTTAGAGCGCTAGAGCAGCAACATCAAAAAATGCTCAGGGCCCCAATATCCTCCTTATTCTTCTAACTCTGTGCACTGAGTGTATCTAACTCTGTCTGCAAGTGCCCATCAACTGAAGTGCTTTCCTAAAATTGTTGCCCTTAGTCACAAAAAAACAACTCTTGTGTCTCGTGTTGAAATATTTCCTACTCCAGTTTTACTTTGGGTCAGATGGTAAATTTGAGCTCCTTCTCCCTTAGAGGAGATTTAGATTAGCAATGACAAAATCCATCAGAATGAAAAATTCTTCTATAACTCAGGCCATCAAAATACTACATTTGGTAGATCTGTATAGTATTTCTCTGTTTACTTCTGTGAGTTGATGATGGTTTTTAATGCCGGTCTTTCTTACTTTCTGTGTTCACTTGATGCATTCCTGTTTTTATTTATTCTAACTGAGTCTCTGTTTTTTTCTCTGTTTTCTCGACTTTGAAGGTGTTAATTGTCATCCCAGTTATGCAGGTACAAATGTCTGAAAATATTTTGCTAGGAGGCTCCATTAAAAACAAAAATAAATATTTGACCATATGATTAATTAAAACAGAATAACAGGAGTAATAAAAATATCAATAGGAAAGTTGTGACAATGTGTACATGACAAAAATGTAGAATAGAATAGAATAGAATTACTTTATTGATCCCAAACTGGGAAATTGTGGCGTTACAGCAGCAGGTTGTCCAACACACAATATTAGTAAAAAACACAATGTTAGCAAATCTAAACATAATATAATATTAAATACAAAGTAAATAAGCACTAAAAGATATCAAAAATAAAAATGTGAATATATACAACCAGGATTTAACTAAGTATTACTAGTCTTAAATAGGAAGATTAAATGTAAATGTGCAAAAAAAATGGTTGTAAATTGACATAGGTTAAAGTAGAATAACAAATAATAAAGAATAAAGAATATGTAGAAATATACAGAAAATAAAAAGGCAAAAATATCATCTCTGAGTGAGTATTGTACAGAGTAGACCATAATGCACTAGTGATGTTTATGACAACTATTTTTTTTTTTGTTGGTGCATTTGTTGTGACACTTCGTGACACTAGGAGAAGATTTGGCAGCAGCGTGCTCTCCGCCGTTTTTTTCATACCGTAGAAGAAGAATAAGAGCGGAGCCGGAAGGACAGACCCTGACAGAAGGACGGGAGCTGTGTGTTTGCTGGACTGTTGTGAGCTAGCTGTGGAAAGATGCTGTCCAATATCTCCAATGTGCTGAGAGCTGGCGTTCAGAGAAATGTAAGTACACTGAAATGAAACTATGGACGTCGTTAGCCCAACGCTTCGTGACAGTGTGGGTGTGAAACCTCCTGTGTGGACACAAAACAACACTCACATCGCTGTTCTGACCTTGTGAGGCCCAATGATAGCTTTTGGCTAACTCAGCTAAAGTCTGCAAAAAATAGCTAAATACTTTTTGACAGCTTCAGTGTTGTACTTAGTGTAACCCCAGTAAATGTAATAATGTTCCAAAAACTAGGCTGCTTATCATCAGTTCTGTAAAATAATGATTAATTTCCTTAAAACATTTTTTTAAATTTCTTTTTCTTTTTTTTATTTCTAACATTTTTACCTGATGTCCATTCTGGTTTATTTTCTGCTAAATTGAAGTAGATAATTTTAAATAATTATTCAAACATTTAAAAACTTTTTTTCAATTTTTTTTTTTTTGCATATTCCCAAATTAAATAAAAGAAAACTTAGTATTGTCATTGTTTCCTAAATCAGCTGCTCAGATTATCAAATCAAAAGGTAGGAGGTCCTATACGGTGACATTTTAATTTTTATTATATTAGTCTATATTATATAACATTTCATTATATTACACTATATTGCTCATATTACACTATAATATATTATATAACTGCACTCTACATTACTGTGGTACAACACTGCCTCTCTTCTCTGCTGTTTACATTACTTGCTGTTATTTGTCATACCAAGTCACTTTAATCATCACTTGTCACTTTATCTTGTCATTCTCTGCAAATACTGTCACAACTCCCCCCAGTTAACTTCATCATTCATTTTGTGCTTGTATATACCCCCTATACAGACAGATTTAAAAATACTTTTTTACCTACTGCAATTGGACTTTATAACAACTCCCCTTTAAGTGAGGACAGAAGACATTTAAACTTTTAGACTTTAGCCTGAGTTGCATATCTCAAACTGTATTGTGGGCTTTTTTGTATGGGTTGATATGTATGTATATATGTGTTGTGTGTTTGTATGTATGCTGGCTGCTGGAACACTTAAATTTCCCTGCTGGGATGAATAAAGTATATCTTATCTTATATTTTTATTTATCTTATCTATTCTGTTTAATGTGTATTTTTGAGCTTTCTTGTCTGTGCTGCTGCAACGCCCGAATTTCCCCTCTGGGGATCAATAAAGTATTATCTTATCCTAAATAGACCTGTCAGGGATCTAACTGTATCCAAAAGTAGGTAAAGCCACCAATGTTGGGCAACATGCATTTCAAAACTGTCTTCGGCATCTTCCTCTTAGTTTGCAGCTCTTATTATGAGCACACTTCTCTGGAGATCCTGAGATTCCCTAACAAGATGTTGAATAATTAAATAGAATAGAATGTCTTTATTGTCATTATACAATTGTACAACAAAATTATTTGGCTTCACCTTAAAGTGCACACACATACAAGCATCCACAGCTAAAAACAACAAAAGAAGAAAAATTTAAAAAAAAGGAACTCTGATTCAGGTAAGATGGGCAATGTATGGTAGGAGTTATTTACAGGTAGTAGCATAACAGAATATAAATAAATATTGCACAGTATGAAATAGGGTGATAGTTGAAGTATACCATATCACAACTTCAAAGTCCAGCTAATGTTTGTCTGTTGAGCTGCACTTATAAAGAGAGAAACTTGTGAGGAATGTCTGATGTAAATTATTATTATTGTTTACGGCATGGTTCTAATTTACATGTGGGCTGCTGTGAAAAAAAAACGTTTTGTGTGTTAACGCATTTTGAGTTTGACCAGCACCTTTGACTGTGATCCTTCAGAAGCGGTGTCAGTTTCTGGTCTGTGGGTTAAAAAGACATTATTTCACTTAACTGTGGAAGGTGTTAGGTCTAGGCATCCATATCTTTCTCTTTTCTTTCTTTTTTTTTTTTCCATATCTTGCAGCAAGTATCCAACCTCACTTCTCTCTTGGTCTGGATTTAACGTAGTAACCCAGCATCTACAGTATATCCTCTCACATAGTAATATTTCAAACCCGGGCTGATGTGATGAAGGCTTGTGTCTAATATTTGTTAAATCTACTTTTCGTCCATGCTAGGGTGCCGCAGTGGTCATTTCAGCACGCACGTATGCTGACTTCACAGCCCAGGCTACATTTGAAATAAAGGTAAGCTTCACACGCTGACTTTTATTTTCCATTTAAGTGTTCTCACTTGATAGTTTCTGAGTTACTGTGTTTTTGTTCTTCGCTCTAGAAATGTGACATCCACAAGTTCGATGAGGCCCCGGCCACTGAGGTGGTTATGACCCGTGAGGAGGGTCTGCAGTATTACCGCACCATGCAGACTATGAGGCGTATGGAACTGAAGGCTGATCAGCTGTATAAGCAGAAAATCATCAGAGGATTCTGCCACTTATATGACGGCCAGGTAAGGTGCACTATTACTTTCCCCAAACTGTACTTACAAGTCAGTAGAATTCACCTCAGTAACAATGATTTCTGTGCTCTGCGAAAAACATTAAGCAGCATAAAAGTCTATAATACTCCTACTATTGGAAAGATCTCTTTAAAATATGTGCAACGCAAACTCCTTAACTCTATCCTGAGTTTCACATGGTACACTTGTAGTCCATTAAGGCACGTCTCCACACACGATTGATCAAGTCAACTGTTGTATGTCCTCGTAGGAAGCCTGTGCGGTGGGTATTGAAGCAGCCATTAATTTGTCCGACCACCTGATCACCGCGTACCGTGCCCACGGCTACACCTACACCAGAGGAGGGACCGTGAAGGAGATCATGGCTGAGCTCACCGGTGAGTCGGCATCACTGAGACATTGTGACATGTTCCCGACAACGTTTGCTTTGGATATTCATCCATTATTCTGTCATTCTCTCACTTCAGTTTTCAATCCATTTATGCATAGTTTGTTTTTGAATTTACAGGCAGAAGAGGAGGTATTGCAAAGGGTAAAGGAGGCTCTATGCACATGTACTGTAAAAACTTCTATGGAGGAAACGGAATTGTCGGAGCTCAGGTATGTCACCAGAGTCCATTCGCAGGCTGTTGAAACCGTATTGGTTAATTTACCACATGTCCTGTGTCGTTTTATCACATTCTCTAAAAACGTATGATTCAGTCATTTTGTTTGGCTGTTTAAGAAAGACTGATTTAAAAAAAACAAAAAAACATAGTAATCTGTATTCAGATATTGTGGGTTTCATGTAAACATGTCCTACCTGTATGCTGCCGGTGTGCTGTTGTGGAAATAAAGAACAAAGGAAGATGTCAGAACAAAATAAAGAGCTTCAAGAAATTCTTAACTTTCGAACGTCTGTATTCCTAATGTCATTTTCAATCCCTGAACTCAAGGCATAACTCAGACTTTTGACCTATACATTATGTGTTTGTGCCTAACAAAATAGAAAGCAGGAACGAACAGAGAGGCAAATAACATTCCACAGTGATTAGCAAACAGGTTGGACTGACCTTCAAAGCAGCCCAGGAATAGACAATGTTCTGTCAGTGATTAATAATTAATACATTTAGAAAGTATTAAAGGTTATTTATTGTCAGATCGGGCAGCTGGTTTCATATTGCTGCATCCAGGAGACTCGCATACAAGATGATATTCCAAGTTATTAGCTGTAAAACTTGGCTGAATTACATCTAATTAACCAGGTTGTTGTGTATAATGCTATCACTTGAAAACAAAATAATTGTTGTGACTGTTGTTGTTTGTGTGGCTTTACTTGTATTGATGGATCATTACATTTTACTGTAACAGAGGTGGGATGTCTGTATATTAAATTAGGACTTTATACATACGAATAAGAGATGATGTAACGTCAGACATTTCTGTGTTCTCCTCAGGTTCCCCTGGGTGCTGGTGTGGCTCTGGCCTGTCAGTATATGGGCAACAATGAGGTGTCTGTCTCTCTCTATGGTGACGGTGCTGCCAACCAGGTAGGTCACACAAATCACTCAAAACATTTTTTCTTGTAAATAAGCTTGGCTGCATACTAAACACTTTAAAAACAGAGACACATTGTTTGCCATAAGGGTTGAAAATGGAACCACTGCTCAAATACACTCTCTAAAATATTAATATAAAGTAGTGTATCAGTTACTTTATACCGCGACTGTAAGGCAAGAAATGTAAAAATGAAGTAAAATCAGATGTTTGTGTTACTTTGGGACAATGCTTTGTGTTTCGCAGGGTCAGATTTTTGAAACCTACAACATGGCTGCACTTTGGAAGCTGCCTGCCATCTTCATCTGTGAGAACAACAGGTACGGCATGGGCACATCAGTGGAGCGATCTGCAGCCAGCACAGACTACTACAAGAGAGGAGACTACATTCCTGGTCTCAGGGTACTGCCCTTACCTTACTCATGTCTTCAGACATATTGATAAATGTGTCAGTTTAAAAACATCATCTGTTGTGACAATACCATCAAAATGATTTGGTACAAAGGGGGCTTCTAATTGATCATGTATATCATATCTATCTTTAGTCCAATCATTGATTCAGTACCACATACAAAGAGAAGCTTTAAGCGCTCTTCTTTAAACCTTTTAATAAAATATATTAAGAGGGTTATTTGGTTGTTTTTAGATGGTAAGATATACTTAATTGTCCTGGAGAGGAATTTTGCCTTGGCAGTCGGGCAAAAGGAACATACAGCTCAGTGCAACTTGGTTTACTCATGATTTGAGGTGCAATCTGACAACAGACCCTTCACAAATGGACTGAAAGAAGGGATGGCTGTTCCTTCCTCCCAATCATTTTCACAGCTGTTTTTGCCACATTGTTGATCTTTTATTTCGTTTGTGCACACACCAAAAAAGTCTGTTTGTGTAGAAAGTGTAGTTTCTGAAGAGAGGGGATGAAGTCGACACAAAATTGACAACAAACAAATTGGTTACCGTGGCAGCACTAGACCCGCCCCCTGCCAGCAGAGCAGTGCCACAGTAGGCACATGGATTGAAATTAAACTGCTGTTTCTTTCCCTTTAACAAATAATTGATAATAATTCTGCATTTGTTTAAAATGAATTCCTGAAATAAAATAATTCCGTTCTGCTCTCAGGTTGATGGGATGGATGTTCTGTGTGTTCGGGAAGCCACCAGGTTTGCAGCTGATTACTGCCGATCTGGAAAGGTGAGTTAAACAGGTGGACTGATCTTGAGCAGGAAACATGGTAGTCCTTCTCTCGGCTAAATTAAGTTTGCTCTTCCTTTCATCAGGGTCCCGTTCTCATGGAACTTCAGACCTACCGCTATCATGGACACAGTATGAGCGACCCTGGCGTCAGGTAAGCGATCACAGTGCCTGATATTTGTGTATTAACATCATTCATAACTCTTTAACTGAATGTCTTTTAGATCCTTTTATTGAATAATTGATTTGTTCTTTATTATTGTAATTATTTTTAACAATAACCTGACCTACTGATGTTATCCTCACTGTGCTGCTGCCCCTTGCTTTTGCCACTGTAGAAGTAGCAGTGTTCATGCACTCTTCTTCCCGCTGTAGTGGCTTTTCAAAGCTCTTACCACAGCTCAAGGATGGACTGAACACAAACAGTAATACTACTTATGACTCTAGCAGACAAATGCCTGGCTTTAATAACACAGCAGGAAATCCTGAGCGTGCTGATAAAACTGTAATCTTAACACTTATCACAGCAAACGTACTTACATTTTCTTCTGTTGATTGGTTTGCATAAGGACCCTTCATGAACTATCAGAATAATCAGTGTTTAGTTGAATTCATGTAATTTTGGTAATCAAGTTTTTCCAAATTCTGAAATGGTGTCAGCTCTACAAAATGATTGCCTTAGTGCATCCCTACAACCTCCCTGCACCAATCTCTCCCCTCTCAGCTACCGCACACGTGAGGAGATCCAGGAGGTCCGCGGTAAGAGTGACCCCATCTCCTTGCTGAAAGACCGCATGCTCAGCAACAACATGGCCAGCGTGGAGGAGCTCAAGGTAAACAATGTTTTTTCGTTTGTAGAAATAAGAAATGTAAATTCTGCGATGGGAAAACATCCGCAGGGGAGAAAAAAAACCTTCCTGAAACATCCACAGCGTTTTGTTTTTTCTTCTTTAAAGGCGACTCATCCAAGAGAATAGTTTATCTGAAACTTCAGCACTTCCATTAATTTAATTTTTTTATTTTGAATTTTTCCACCATATTTCTCAGTATCATACCTGCAGCTGATTCACACACAGGACTGCAGTGTATCGTTAAAACACAGAGGAGTGCTAGAACTGCTGGATTTGGCTGATTTCTCATCAGACTTTGTCCAGCTGAAAGCCTTCAGTAGACATATTCTAGATAAGAAGCCAGGAAGCACAAGGACTCCTTAAAGTTTATGTCTGCAGTTTGGTGTTGTTGGACCAAATCCCAATCTCCACACCGAAGCCTAAACAGTCACTTTAATGACGTCAGGTGTGCAGTGTGTGAGTCTGTGAGACTTTCATAGCATCAAACGCGTCATGGAATCAAGATTCATCACTAAATAACGAAAAATAAAAGCACCACTTCCTTAGTGTATGTTTTGTCTTTCATGACAGTATTTAAAAGTATAAAAGTCAGAAAGACATTAATGTTTATGATCTGCAAAAATGACACTAATGCAATTCTATAACTCTACAAATGTAGCTAAAAATAACCACAAAAGTAATTCAAATATGTTGACACCTACATACTCGCCACGTTAATTCTTTCTTCACTTTTCTGCATTTTTTTGGTTCTGCTTTTTACTTTTTTTAAAATCACTTCAATAATAAGCATGATTATTTGTTTACATCCAGTACAAGGCTGGACAATCATATCCTTTCCATCACCAAGTGGACAGGAAATTCTGCAAAAATGCAGACTCATGTTGTTTTGTGTTGCAAAGTCTACATCAGAACTTGCAGGCACTTAATAATTTGGCACTTAATAAAAAGCACTAAGCACTCACACTCCTACCGGGAAAGTATTTCAAAGTCTGTGAACCTGTGAGTGTGGAGTTTGGGATTTGGCCTTAGTGTCCAGTTGAATAACAAATAGGCAGTAGTTTAATTTGTAATACCTCCTCTTTATCTGTTATGTACGGCGTGTTTTTTTAATGCAAAATGTGTCCAAGTTTTCTAAATTCCTTCAAATCTCCTTAACATACTGAAGTTTCTCCCCCTAATGTTATCTCTGTTCTATGTGAGCAGCACTGCTGTTTGATGATGCCTCACAGCAAATCTCAGTTCTGATCCGTCCTACATGTGTTGTTTCTGTAGGAGATCGACGTGGAGGTGAGGAAGGAGATTGAGGATGCAGCTCTGTTTGCCACCACAGATCCCGAGCCCCCGCTGGAAGACCTCTGCAACCACATCTTTCACAACGACCAACCCCTGGAGGTGCGCGGCACGAACCCGTGGACTAAGCTGAAGTCTGTTAGCTAAATTATTTTTCATTAACCAATCTCACCCTCTTCAAATGAAATGTCCAGACCCGGCCATCATATATAGATACGCACACATCAAAAAATGCACCACAAACGAATGCCTCAGACCCCGAGCTTGAATCATCAACTAAACAAATAAGGTGCTGTACATTTCAACAGCAGGGACCACATTCACAAACACGTTCTGAGAATAAAACAAACAATATGACACTAATATATTAAAACTATTTATACTTAAAATTGGCCTTATAATTGTTTCCCATTAGCCCTTTCTAGGGTTTCTAAGTCAACCTTCAGAAGAGCCATTTACTGCCACTTTGTAAAAACTGCTTCCACAGTCCTGCAACATCATTTCTGCACTAAATATCACAGGAACAGTCTTTAATGAGGGAAATGTAAATCATGGCTCTAGTTTTAAAAAATCAATACACGTATCTGTCATAGATCTGCATTAATGTTATTTAATCCATTTTCATATTGATATTAAAGTCTGCAGAGAATATCAAACGATTGGTAAACATATTCCTAACGTCATATTATCTTAACATGAAGCACTTGTCTTGTTTTATCTTCAGACTGTTTTGTGAATTTGGCCCCAGCTCAATACGTTACATCATTTCTTCATTTCTTGTTTGATGATTTTCTCCGGTCACTAATGAGGCATGATCGAGATGAAAATGTGGCCACGTCCATCTGTCACTGTCCTCCATTAAAAAAAATAAAATAAAAGTCTTTGTACTCTTTATGCTGAAGTGTACATGATGAACTATTAATTTTGAGTGACCTGGTTTCTGTCTTGATTTTATTAACCCCCTGTTACAAAGACGACATAAAAGGCAGCAGGGTAAACACTCATATCTTTTTCTTTCAGTATGTTTGTATGTAAGGGATGTTAATGAACACCAAGGGAAACGTTTAAAATGTTTAATTTATCTCGCCAAACCAAACATGTGCCTGGCAGATCTCATGATGTTTTAGATTTAGAGGATGAATGTGAAGTTTTATGTTTGTGTCACACTCCAAGCTGAGCAGGTGATTCTGTGCATCTAAAAGTCAGCTGTTTTTTTTTTGTTTTTGTTTTTAGAGATGTGTTCAGACTGAGTTTAGAATCATTCAGTTAGTTTGCAGATACTCAGGTGCTCGGGTGCCTTTCTTTAAAAGTTTCATGTTTGAAGCTTTCACTGCTCATCTCTTCATCTGGAGAAGCTCTTTTTTCAGTTGTGTAAGGATGTTAATTATCCTAAATATTCTATGTCAAAGTAAACACAAGCTGAACCATCTTCACCCTAAAATAACGCTGCATTAAAACATTTTGACTTTTGGTCAATGGATTTATCTGCTCAGCTTCACGTTTCCAAATCTAAGAGGGATGTCGGGTTAAGTGTTGACGGTGCAGCAAAGCGAGCGTCCGTAGCTTGATGTGCAAGCTGATCTGTGATCTTTCCACACATCAGCAGTGGGACATTATTTGCTACAATACAGGGACATGAACATTTTTAATTTCAGTCTGTTACTTTTTGTCAAATAATTCAGAACATTGTGAAAAGATGAGCTACTGTAAGAACTCTGTCTTCTAAGTATCCATATTAATTAAAGTAACAGTTCAGATTACTCTTCGGTAATATAAGATAATAAGATGTGAGAAGTATGCGACAGAAGACGGACTCAAATTTAAAATGTCGATACCTGTCTTGGTACAAGTGAAAAGGCTGCAGTGCACTTTTTTGTTGTAGTGAACTGTTACATTGAGGTTGGCGGGTGAAGAATAGAAACGCTCCATGGAAACATTTTATGTCGGATGTGTGCGTCATTGTAATAAAAATACTGTAAAGTTCTTGATTTGTGGACTCATTTTTTAATGTGTAGACGCAGGATAAAAAACGTAAACCTTGTACTTTATTGTAATCGATGCTATCATCGGTTGTTTTTCAAGTATTTGTTCTCTTACATGTATGTGGGACCATACCAGCAGAGATACCAGCAGAACACACCTTGATATGATATGTTCCTTTTCTTTTTGTTGCTGATTGCTGCCAATAGGTTTTAGTTGGTGAAGGTCCCATGTCGAGGGTCAATTTAAATCTGACGTGATAACATTTGTTTGATGGGTCTGGATCAAGCGGAGACACATAACTAAACTAAAAAAATGTAGCATCCTTACATTTTTAATAACACCATGCAGCACTGACCTAAAGTTCCTCACTCTCAAAACCCAGCATACAGTGGATCAATCTTCAATAGACTTTAATTTGTCTTGCATATACTATATGCTTTCAATGTTTATCCTAAAAACTATTTAAATATGTGTATATCTGTATTGATCAGTGTGAACATACATTTGGCAGGTGATACAAATCTTAATTCCAATATCAGGAAGCTTCTGAATTACTAAATATGCAGAATTAAATGTATAGCTAAAAAAAAGAGAATTCATGTAAACCATAGAGAGAGAGCTGAATACAGTATCTACACAGGCAGGCCTGCCCACAGAAATGTCTGGGCCCCTGAAATGCCCGGTGAATGGGCCCTCCCAGCATATGATTAAAATCAACATATGCACATTCGATGAGTTAGTGTTAGCGCTAGCCTCCTGGCTCACATTAGCTCCCTCTGGGCCGGCTTACATTGGTAACGTTATCAACGAATTATTTTAAGAAGAGGGGGTTTACATTTTAAAACAGGGTACATTTTCCTGAAGCAACAATACATTAAATGTGTGTAGCCTATTTGTTGCCTTAAGAGGTAAGGTGAATGTAAAGGTGTAAATATTTTGGTCATTGTTGCTTAAAATTAGGATGGACCATGTTTTCGCTAAACCTCCATGGGCCCTCCCCATTGCGACTTGGCCCCAGAAAGCTTTCCCCTTCATCCCTATGACTGTACACAGGTGAGTGTGAGCAGGGTGGACTGGACCAGGACTTGGACCAGGACTTGGACCAGGGTCATTCCTGTGCTTCAGTTTGATCAGAATATGAAGATCAAATATAATAAACATAAATAGATACAGGCCTCCTCCATTGCAGCTCCGCCCCTCTGGAACTCTCTCCCTAAAAACATCAGAGACTCCCCCCCCACAGAAATCCCTAAAAACTCACCTTTTCATCACCGCCTACAACCACTGACTCTCATCCTCTTCCCTCGACACTACTTCTATTTTGTATTGTTCTCTTAGTTTTTGCTTTGTTTTTTGTTGTTTCCTGTCAAAGCGTCTTTGAGTATTTAGAAAAGCGCTATATAAATCTAATTTATTATTATCATTATTACTGCAGATAGAGTTAAGTCAAATACACACACACAGATAGAGAATAGAACGTTCCTGTGTTCAGTTCAATGTGCACATTTCAACTGTTTATGTCTCCAAGCTACTCAGTTGTCGTTTTGGCACTTTCGTTGTTTCCTCAGCAAACTGGGAGCCAGTATCAACAGGAGAACCCTGATGGCTTCTCCGACAACTTCCATTTTTTGGAAATTAATCTGGCTGAAAGATTAGAGCTTACAAAATGAGCAGACAAACTGAGCACTGCATGTAAAGCTCATACTGAAGCCGGTATGGAGAAACTCGGTCTCCCCATTCAGGAAATGTTCCTGCCTAAACCTCGTCCATCAATTTCTCCAAGAAGAAGTTATAGATATTCTGGGAGAGGACGGACTGACAACAACTCATTTTTTGGAAGGATCTGATTGGGTTGTGGAGAAGATTGATAGGAACTTGATTCTGGTTTTACATTACGCTCAATGTGAAGACGAAAAAATTGACACACTACACTTAAAACAAGAACAAGTTAGACAAGGGTGGCTCAAACACAAAAAACTAAACACTGTGATGTACAGGCACAGATATATATTAAAATGTTCCAACAAATAAAACACATGAAGAGTGTAAAGATGCTGAAGATAAATATTGTTATGAATCAGGGGAGGATGTGGATTGGGAACTTAAACACTGATGATAAATAATAACACATTTCCCGTACACAGTGTGTGTTTTTTCCTGCCTTCACCTGCACAACTGATAGAAAAGGTATGTTGAATTATATTTATTTATGTACATTAGGTTTCTTTACTTGAATATTTCTTATCTTGGTAATTTCTTATCTTACTTACTTTGAATATTTATGTTTTATATTTATATTTACTTTTTATTTTTATTAATATTATAGTTTTGGGTTTTTTGATCCTTTAACCACTTGTTTCTATTTCTTTTACTGCTCTTACTTTCTTATTGCTGTGATCTTTTTATTTTTTCAGCTCTTTTAGTTTCTTACATATTTTTAAATCTTTGGTTCCTCTTGGTCTCAGCTCGTGTTGTTGGGTTCTTATGATGGTTCTTATCATGGTTCTTGTGATGGTCGGGTTATATATGTCTGTTGGGTATCGTGCACTTTGGGTTCTTTTCTGTTGAATTGTATTTAATTATTTTTAGTATTTTGCATTTGTTATGTTCTTGCTTTTGTTTATGTTCTTCTGTGTTTGGTTTAGTTTGCTTTGTTCTTGTTTGTCAAAGCACTTTGTAAACCTGTGTTTTTAAAAGGGGCTATATAAATAAAGTTATTATTATTATTATTTTTTTTTTTTAGAATATTATATTTAAGGGAATTATTGGTTTTAAATCAGGGGGAATATGTGTTAGAGGACTGAGCTAATTACCTCCGGGAGATGGCAGTAATGCAACAAATAGGACGCCAGCTGCATGACGAAGAAGAGGAGCAGAAGGAAGAAGGGCTCTTCAAAAATCCTGCCAGCAACCTGAAACGCACTGCCAGTCTGTGTGGCTTCGTCCTCTCTCCGCTTCACAGCCTCATGAACTTTCTGTCCCACCATACAACCATGAAGAAGACGCTTTCTTTGTGTTCGCCGTGTGCCGCTGTCCTCCTTCTCCTCTTCCTCTCCTGCACAGTCACATCTGCAGAGGAAGTGAAAAACTCCCAGTGTCACAACTACGCGGGAGGACACGTCTATCCCGGGGAGGCTTTCCGTGTTCCTGTGTCTGACCATTCCCTGCACCTCAGCAAAGCCAAGAGTGAGTTTTGTGTCCTGGTGTTTCACCCCGGGGGGCGCCAAATTACCTTTTGCATGTTTAAACTCAAGTGCGCTGTGATTTGCTTTTTAGCACCAAACATAGCAGCTGCTGCAGGGAATGCACTGTGTGTGTGTGTGTGTGTGTGTGTGTGTGTGTGTGTGTGTGTGTGTGTGTGTGCGCGCGCGCGTGCAGCTACTGTTGATATGTGAGGACTACTTTGATCCACAGTTTATAGCTTAACAGGTCATTCAACTTTTAATCAGATGATGTTTGTAGGACACGTCACTCTATTAGATCCATAGTTAGTATCCCTCCGCCCCTTTAACGCATGACAGTGTAGTCCCAGGTCATGACACTACAGAGGGTTGGAGAAAATAACAGGTCTTAAAATTAGCTAATCTAAACATTACAGTCTCGTTAATTGTGTTTCCCCTGTGTTGCTTTACTGATGGATGTTTTTAGAGGGACCCCCCCCCCAATCCACAGTTTGCAAGTGTTTATATTTCTATAAAGTTTATGTTGTGCTCCTGCACATTTGGGCTTCCCTTTTGTTTGCATTTGCATTTTGTAATGTGAGATGTCAAAAAACTGCACCAGAAAGAACGCAGAATTATTTATCACATCATGAGTAACACAGGGCCTTGTTATTATCTCCATAGACAAACACACACACACACACACACACACACACACACCCACACCCACACACACACACACACACACACACACACACACCCACACAAAATGCAGAGTTCACACAAAGTAGTCAGTAGGAGTGTACAACTGAGTAATTAAAGAGACGAGCATGTGATGAACCTGAGGAAAGGTGTTGCTCCCTCACACAATGAAGTGACACTAAAGTTCTTTTCAGTACGCCATGGTTGACGACCGGCACCTGAGAACATCGGTTGGCTGTTGGCGGGATACCTTGTTGGTCATTTCATTGAAGAGATGATTTGAGATGAGGGATGTCAAGTACTAATGCAAATATGGCATTTAAATAATATAAATATTTGCATTGATGTAAAGTGTGAAATCAAATGTTATGAGAATATTATTTTCCAGTTATTTCCAATAAAAACACAAAGCAACATTTTAGCCCTCAGTTTAAATTCATAGTCCTGAATCCTTGTAAAACATGCTCTCTTTGTCATTTTAAAGCCAAAGGCTGCAGTTTTTTTGCTTGAATCATTTTGCTGAAATACACTGATGACATTCAGTCTTGTGCATGTCATCGATGTAAGAAATGTCTGTTTTTCTCCTTCAGTTTCAAAGCCTGCACCACACTGGGAGGGAACAGCCGTCATCAACGGGGAATTCAAAGAGGCGAAGCTGTCGGACTACAAAGGCAAATATCTGGTCTTTTTCTTCTACCCGCTGGACTTGTGCGTAACATCCGAGACACACTACACCGTCATTTGATCTGCAAAGCTGGGAGTGCTGCACATCAGACTGTTGTTTTCTAAACTGTGTTTTTTTTTTTTTCTGTCATTTTTTTAGCACATTTGTTTGTCCCACTGAGATCATTGCATTCAGCGACCGTGTGCACGAGTTTAAAGCCATTAACACAGAGGTGGTCGCCTGCTCTGTGGACTCCCAGTTCACCCACCTGGCCTGGTAAGAATACTGTGCCCATCACACTAACCACAAAATCACCAGGATATGAGATTTACAGAAATCTAATAGTGATCACAAAGATTCAAGGGGTGATGACGTTAGGGAGCTGTTGTTTTACAAAGAAGAAAATATATTTTATTAATCATGTGAGGGAAAATTCATTTTTAAACTTATGAGCATGCTGCATACATATAGACTGAAAATACACACACGTGCACAAACAGGATCCTATGAACATGCATTAATAGAGAGATGTCTGAGTGAGGGGCTGCCCACAGTGAGGGCTCATGAGCTGGGGGTGCCTTGGTGACTTGCTCAATGGCTTACCGTCCGCGCTCAGGAAGTGAACTGGCTCCTCAGCTACTAGACCAAATTTCCAGACTTGTTCCGCACTGGGATTTCGAACCGGCAACGCACCTTGTTCCCAACCCAAGTCCCTAAAGACTGAGCTCCTGCCCCCTCAGTGGCTTTTTTTATTTTGTGATCTTGTTTTGTTCTTTTTATGTTTACAACATTTCTTGTCATGAACAGGATAAACACACCCAGGAAAGAGGGCGGACTTGGACCAATGAAAATCCCTCTGTTGTCTGACCTTAGTCACCAGATTTCTAAAGACTATGGAGTCTACCTGGAGGACCAGGGTCACACGCTGAGGTACTGTCTCACTTCTATATTTATGGCCACTCTCAAGGGTTTATAGACAAAGAACAAAGAGACACGTGTCTGGTTATCCAACACTGTTCTGTCACTCTGAGGTAGTTTTAGAAGTGAATGAAATGTTACAGGAGCAGGTATGAAGACGTGTAGTCTGATAGCATGTGATGTTTCAATCATTTATATCAGTGTGCTTCATAACTGTGTAAGTGGCATCCATGAATCAACAGTAAACAACTAACACCTGTCTCTCTCAGGGGACTCTTCATCATTGACAACAAAGGCATCCTGAGACAGATCACCATGAACGATCTTCCAGTGGGACGATCTGTGGATGAGACTCTGCGGCTGGTGCAGGCCTTCCAGTACACCGACAAACATGGAGAAGGTACACAAAGCCCATTAAGACAAATTGATATTCAATGCACAGGTTGATTCAAAGTAGCGATGTAAATCAATTCATTTTTATGGCTATAATGGAATAATGGCTTTTAAAATTCTGTCATTTATCTTACAGTGTGTCCCGCAGGATGGAAGCCAGGCAGCGACACAGTGAGTGATATTTTTTAGTACTGGTAGTAGTAGTGGTAGTACAAAAAACTGTTTCTATACCACAAGCTGTCTTAAGCCCCTTTCACCCAGACAGCCTGCCCTCATGGTGCACGAAGCAACAGAGTCTGACACTATGGTGACAGTTTTTTATATCAGTGCAGAATGTAATTGGATGTCTTCACGGTATCAAGCAATGTGTTGAAAACCTCTGACTTGCAAGCGAGAAAAAAAAAGTGTGAAACAGCCTCATTACGTGCATTAACATCGTACCTGTCGCATGGGGGGGCCATGGATATTAAAGTTATCACCCCCCCCCCTTCCTGTCACTTGTGAGTTTTCCTGAATAGCACTGACTGTGTCACACATCCGCTCAGTCGGATTTCTTGCTCACGTTTTACTTCAAGGCTGACGAGAAAAAGTACAGATGAAGTCAGGGTGAAAAACTCAGCCACTAAGTTTCACCAATGCAGCTCACCCTGAACATTTCAGACACATTTTTTGTGCATGTGGGAAAGGGGCTTAAATCTGTTTTGTGGTAAAGAATCTTGCTTTTAAATAAAGGTCATATTATTTAATGTGTAACAGTGATAGGTGTCCTACAGGACTATTTTTAAGAGCATGGATGTTCATTGGCTTAGTTTGTAGAATACTGTGGTATCATTTCGTGTCACATTTGTTTCTACTTATCACACTAAATGTGTTCTAATTAAACTGTGTCCTTTCCACAGATCATTCCCGACCCTTCAGGCAAGCTGAAGTATTTTGATAAATTGAACTGAAATGTGTTTCCGTCTTCCAAGCCTGTGAAATCCAAATAAAATGAAAGTACAAATAAAAAGTGTTTTCCAAAGAAGCTGTCTGTTTGATCCATTACATTTATCTGATTGCCTGCGTCACATGAGGAGGGAGCAGCTGTTAGTGGTGTGAAATCACCCAGTCGCAGCCAGATGCTGTCTAGCAAGAACAGATGAAAAAAAAGAGTCAAATAAAGAATCATTTTTATAGTACTTGCTGTACCTGTGATGGTGTCTGCTATGAAACAACATGTTTGAAAGTAGCCTAAGGTTCTGAACAGTCAGGTAGGACAACTTCCCTGAGTGTTTACCCAAATAACAAAATAAGTGGTCTGAGAAGAAGGTGTAAATTCTGGGTAACAAAGTGTAATAAATATAAACATCACAAATTGGTAACATCAAATTCCCGTTTCTTCCTAATTGTCAAAGAAACAAGAAAAAAAGGGTTGCTGAGGTGACACATGATAACACTATCTTTATAACAAATAAGTTGGAGTTATTCTAGGGGGGAAAAGATGTGCATTTTTTAAAGATACACAAATGTTATAGGAGGTATAAAGAAATCAGCATGGTTCATGAATGACTGCCAATAAACTTACTAAGGTCAATGTGTGTTACAATTCTGCACTAAAGCATATGTGAGTCCTACAAACTGATTTTTACTGTATGTTGTTTTGTATTGCTGTAGATGTTTAATGTGCCAGTTTTGATTTATTTACCTAATTTAAAGTCAGCACAGTTGTCCACCATGGTTCTTTAAATCATCATATCTCCCCCTGTCCTCTGAGAGCTAATACAACTAGTGTTAACGTGTGTATTTGAATGCATCTTCACTGACCCCTTGTGGTTGGATCTCACTTGGCTGCTCTACAAATGAAAACAAAACCTCAATCATTAGCCTATCAAAACATCAACCCAAGAAAAAGCTTGCTAGGATGTGATAAGCTGACTCAGGACACATGTTAACACCATAGACTGTGTAAACATGACCAAAGTGTTGGCCAAGTTGTTTATTTACCCAAAAAAGAAGATCTTTTTTTTTTTAAACCAAAACAGGATTACTTGATTCTTCATTCAGAAAAAGTTACTATAAAGAATTATCACTATATTTTAAGATACAAAAATACTTTGATTAAAACGTCAATTTTTCAAAAATGATATCCAAAGCTGGTTGTTAACTACAAATTCACAAGTTAAGAGTACAATAATTGCTTGAGAAATAATAGTATTGGTATAAAGTTGAAGAAATACTCAAGTAAATGAACTCAATTGCCACACTTTAAAAAAACAATTTCCTTATTTGGCCCTGCAAACACAGCAGAAGTACACCCAGAATGTCATGAAAGTCATGAGTCAGGTTTGTGTTTTGTTTGTCCAAAATTTGCTCCGAGGAACGTCAGCAAAACCGATCTGCATCAAGCCTGTTTAGCGAGTGAAACTAGAAACTACCTCAATTTAGAGTTCCTTAAAGACATGCTGTCATTTGACAAACAAACAGTTAAGCAACAGTGTGTCCATGACTGTCACCAGTTTGTGTCTTTCCTTCTAGCTCTGTGCAAGGCCATTTGACCAACTCTCAAACAGTTGTCAGAAAAAAGCTTTTAATCATTACACCAGAACATGTCGTCACATCACAGACTTACAGGAGTTGATCCATCACCTGCTCACTCCATCTCATATTACTTGTTCACTTTTAATTGAGGTACGACCAAGTAACTATGTCTATGTTTAGACGGGCCTATGAGTAATCAAGTTCACCCAGTCTACTTCCTGTGAATGATCTGTCTCATTGTACCTCAGGGTTTTATAATGTCTGTCTATGAGCCAACCTTTTGTTTCAGTTTTTATTTCTGTATGTTGTGCATTGTTGATGTAAAGCACTTACCTTTGTCTGTGAAAAGTGGTATACAGATCAAGTTTATTTACTTACTACTAACTTACAAACCAATAACTACTTCTGAGGTCATTTAAAGGTTGATAAAAATTTTATTTGTCTGATTTAAGTATTGCAAACAGGGGTTTGATTGTTTCTGCATTTGAGCAAAGCAGAAACAAGTGTGACCTCTTCAATTACAACTAATGTTAGTAGCTGTGTAGATTTTTAAGACATAGCAGCTTTCAGAATAGCATGTTTCAAACATAGAGGAAATCAAAATATAGTAAAGAAAATATCAGAAAAACATCAGTGATAAAAAAAACACTCATGAGTTCAAATGCTGGTTAATCATTACTAACCTCTGAAAAACACTGTGTTCACTGGCTGAGTTCTTTTCCAGGTCTGGTTAATGTGTATCTTTTCAACAACATTCAAATGAGGTACAGTGATCCACACAAAGATAAGGTGTGATCAGGAGAGAGAGAGAGAGAGAGGAAGAAACAGGATGCAAAGAGCGGTGTGACCATTTATGGAACTTTGAATATGCAAGGCTCCTCCAGAGACATATAAAAGGGAAGCTCCTGAAGCTGCTGCACCATTCTGTACGAGACGTCCGATGCAAAGTCTTTTTTTACTGGTTTTCTACGTTCATAGTCGGGGGATGAACTCCTGAGGAGCGAATGACGAAACACATTTTGCTTTTATTCACATTCAGAGGATTAGTAAGCAAAGGTAAAAAGGGTAAAAAAAGAAAATGGCCAATTTTATATTACGGAAAGCCAAACCCAACGATGTGCCGGATATCCTGCGACTCATAAAGGTAGGCCAAGGGTTAAAAAAAAAGTTTTGGTGACTTGTACAAAAAAATAATTTACCATTGGTGAACATTTTGTTGTTGCTGTTGTTGTGCTGAACTGTCTATATTGGTATCATGATTCATTGGCTTTCTTGTATCTTTGGCTTTGTCTTGAAGGAACTTGCTAAATTTGAAGAGATGGAGGAGAAGGTGCTGTTGACAGAAAAAGGTGCTTAACATACTTTACATTTCATCCATATTTACCTGGTTATAAAGAAACAAGTTATCATAATGCATACATTCTTATAAAGTCGATGTCCCACTTGTAGATTTACTTGAAGACGGCTTTGGGGATCATCCGTTCTACCACTGCCTGGTTGCTGAAGTCCCCAAAGAGCAGAGCTCAGAGGGTATAACTTTCTCTTTCACAAAACTTTTTTTACGTTCAAGGGCCGCATTTCTGTAAATCAGTTTACCCTCTAACTCTGACCTTTAACTGGTGGCGTTTTCTTCCAGGTAACACTGTGATTGCCTTCGCCATGTACTACTTCACTTATGACCCTTGGATTGGAAAGCTGCTCTATCTTGAAGACTTCTTTGTCATGCAGGAGTTTCGAGGTGAGTTAGTCCTTGGTATATGATGGCAATAAAGATTAATTACTTACAGAAAAAAAAGGGTTTGTGGTCCATTTTCACCCAACTTCTCATAAACCAACTGTTTTTGATCATTTGATCTTTGACCAGGTCTCGGCATTGGTTCCCAAATCCTGAAGGTCTTGAGTGAGGTACGTTTTCCATTAATCTTTCTCTAAACTTCACTTGAACATTTTTCAATACCCCTTGAGTCCTTGAATTGAATGTTTTGTTTGTTTTTTCCTTCCCTAGACTGCAGTGAAGACTCGCTGTAGCGGCATGCACTTCATCGTGGCAGAGAACAACACAAAGTCCATTGAGTTTTACAAGCGGCGAGGAGCAGCAGATCTTTCCTCCGAGGAGGGCTGGCGTCTCTATGAGATTGAAAAAGAGGATTTACTGAAAATGACCTCCAAATAGAGTTTCCTGCTTGTTGTACTGTCAGTGATCGTTACATGATAGTTCTGTTTTGCCACTGATTGGATATGGTAATCAACCCTAATAATGAATGGTTTCTTCTTTTAGTTCATTTGATGTTTAGAAAGACTTTGGCTAATCAAGATAAACACAAATTAAAGGAATTACAATATAGCTCTACTGCTGTTTTGTCTTTCATCTGAATCATTTTTACCTCATGTGGTTAAACATCTTCAAAAAAAATGAAAAAAGTCTAATAAGAAAAATAAACCTGATTTGATGTATTGGATTTTATTTTGACCTGTTTTTGATCTTGAAACCCGTTATTGGAAACCTGATCACCAAGTATTGGACACAATCAACACACACCTAATCACCATGGGGTAAAAAATGTTTTTAAATCTGCCATTATAATAATACCAAGAACTAATAGAGGACTTAGAGGGAATTAATTCTTGATTTTAGTATTAGTCTGTATGTGCCAGTGCTAAGTTTTCATTTGAGCTTAGAAAAGAAGTAAGATCAAACATGAAAATAACTCAAAAGTGGTGTATTGAAAATGGGGCTTCAGGGGCGCTGATGACCGATGTGGTCAGGTCATCCCACATGTAGGGGAGGCTTATTCCAGGCGGCCCAGGTTCAAGTATGACCTGTGGCTCCTTTCCTTACATGTTCTTACTCTCTCTCCCGATTCCCTACTCTATCCCCATGCAGTCCTATCTAAATAAAGGCAATATCCAAAAATAAATTTAAAAAAAAAAGAAAAAGAAAATGATGCTTTTATTAAATTAAAAGTGTGATAGTAGATATAACTTAAAATATCATACAAAGCATGGTCTCTGAGAGTGTGGCTTTTGTATATGATCATAATAACTGATACAGCCAATTAGTATGTAAATAGCATTTTAACTGAAACTATTTAACAAACGTGCGTCCTGTAATGTGTGTAAAATTTATGAATTATTTGTAGCATAAATAAAAATATTGAATTTTAACAACCTGATAAATATTAAAAGTCAAAAGTATGAGGGCATTAAAATATTTGGAGACACTAGGTCCAAACTGTACCACAGCTACAGCTGGTGGGAAATAAGGGATATAGAATAGAATAGAATTACTTTATTGATCCCAAACTGGGAAATTGTGGCGTTATCCAACACACAATATGAGTAAAAAACAAATCTAAACATAATATAATATTAAATACAAAGTAAATAAGTACTAAAAATGTAAAAACTAAGAATGTGAATATATACAACCAGCATTTGTCTGTTGTTGTTGTTTTTTTGTTTACCTTATTCTTCCAACTTTTTTCAAAATGATGGTAAATTGGCTGTAAAGGCCAGTGTAATAAAGCTACCACACTACCTTTATCATTGCCTTTACTTGAGACATTTCCACGTGATTTTTAGTCAAAAAAAAAAGTTTTCCTGCAGGAACAACTCTTTTAATTCAAAATAGTTTAAACTGTTTAATTAAACATGTAAATGTGTAATGAGCATGACATTGACACTTTGTGCTTGTTTCAGTTGCCAGTTAAGTGGTTTGAAGGATGTTAGGGGATTTCTGTATGGAGGTCATAGTGTAAATATATATATATTTTTTAAAACCTTTACTACTGCTGATGTTTGGAGAAAACTGAAGAAGGACAAAGACCATCACTGGCTATCACAGCAGCCTTTGGGGGGGGGAGGGGGGGCATAAACTAATTAAACTGAACACTAACAGTGCACGTTTTTGACACACCGCGTTTTGCACCGCGGTGCCTCTTGTAGATTATGGCCTGTTTGGTGCCTGCCGGTGTGATTTCCACCACAACCCTTCCGCATTTTCCTGCTGCTCTCGGGCTGTGACGTGTCGTGCTGACGGCGGCCTCGGAGCTTGGAGGAGCGGGGGGCTGTAGCATGACAAGATCTGGCTCCAGACGTCCTCGCTTTGCTTTCAGCAGAGCTCCAGAAACAACCCCTAACCCCTCCTTCTCCGCTCCTCCGCGGCCCGCCCAAATAACACAAAATTCCCGACTGAATCCAGCCCGAGACTGGGGGAACCGGGCGGCCTGGGAAGCCGAAGAGCGCACGGAGGCCAACCCTGCAGCGTGAATCTGGTACGCGGACACATTTTCGCAGTTGGGACGCGCGTTTGCGAGGCTATGTCTGCATCTGTACGCCCCGGTTTGTCTTTGTTTTTGCATGCATGTGGTGTTTAATTTATTTCTTTATTCTCTCCTGAGAGGCCGCAGTGGGGTTGGGCCTTTTCTTTTTCTTTTCAGGGCCCTTAAACGGAGGCCGTAATTGTGGGGTGGGTGGGGGGGGGAGGATGTCTCCGGCCTATCCGGTTAGCACGCCAGCCTACCGAAAAGACGCGTAATTAGTCGCGATTAGGCCTTACGCGACTTGATATTGCGATCGATTCAAGCAGATGACGCGCAAGTTTTTCTTAATCAACTTGCAAAATTAACATTTCTCACCGGCGAAAGCGTAATAAAAGGATGGCGTTGGTGTTAGCATTCGTGCAGAGACGGAGCTAACAAAATGGCGGATGATGGAAAAACGATCATAGAGAATGTGTGTAGCCTCCTCCTGCTAACTGAAGCCCAAGTGTGGGAGCTTACGTAATCTTTCCATTTAGGTAATAGAGCTTTCTTATTGCTGCATTTGCTGTGTCTTTTTAATGGCCGTGAAAGTCGGACTTGTTTTTTTATTTTTTAATTTTTTTTTTTTATTAAGGTTTTAAGTCAGTTTTAAACCCAGTGGTCATTTGGAGACATGACCGCCTCATCAGGGTTTATTTTGAGGCTCTCAGTCCTGCATGAATGAGGAGCTAAGTCAAAGTCTGATCGTGCAGCTCATGTTTGACGTGTTGGTGGCATCTTAAAGCATTATCATGCGCCACATCTTCCAACACACCTTTTTGTCATGCCTTTGTTTTTTTTCACCTGGAGGAGGTAGGGAGGGGGAGAGGGAGAGGGGGAGGTGGTGGTTGGGATGGGGGGGGGGGGGATGGGACGGGACATGTAGTGGAAATTAAATGGCACCCTGGCCACATCGTCCACTCCACTGTTTACATCTCTGCAGCAGCCCAGCAGTGTGCGTGTTGGTGTGACAGAAACCCCAGTTCTTGTCGCAATGTTTATCTCCACGATAGAGGGTGATGATGATAACATGTGTGGTTAGTGTTTAGTGGTGGCTGTGGAGTAATGATGCAGGTGAAGCGATCATCACATCGGTCATTTCACTTACTGTCCTTTTGCCGCAGACTCAAGCTGCACCTGCAGAAATGCATCTACTTGTCACTACTTATTCCCCTCAGTTCTTTTAAATCCCCTCTTAAAACAGACTTTTACACACTTGTTTTCTTCTTAATGTCTTTTCTTACTGGTGTCACTATTTTTTTTAATTTTCTTTTACTTCTTACTGTTCTTTTATTTATGCTCTTATCGTAACTCCTCTTATGTTTTAACTTGGTTTATCTTACTTTGTCTATTTATGTTTCATATTTTCATACTTTTAATATAATAGTTTTTTTTTTTTTTTGATCCTTTAACCACTTGTTTCTATTTCTTTTTACTGCTCTTACTTTCTTATTGCTGTTATCTTTTTATTTTTAGTTTCTTACATATTTTTAAATCTTTGGTTCCTCTTGGTCTCAGCTCGTGTTGTTGGGTTCTTATGATGGTTCTTATCATGGTTCTTGTGATGGTCGGGTTATATATGTCTGTTGGGTATCGTGCACTTTGGGTTCTTTTCTGTTGAAATGTATTTAATTATTTTTAGTATTTTGCATTTGTTATGTTCTTGCTGTTGTTTATGTTCTTCTGTGTTTGGTTTAGTTTGCTTTGTTCTTGTTTGTCAAAGCATTTTATTATTATATATGCTTTTTTGTGTTTGAGTTGCTCCACTAGGGCTCCTTTTTGTTTTAAGTACAGCAAAGAATGCTGTAACAGTTTTTCTTTATAACATCAGCCTTGGTTCTTGACAGTTTTCATTTCTAAGTGAAGTGCAGAAAGGCCCAAAAGAAACCCACATTTTACTGCAAAAGGAGTGGACGGTAGTCATTTATGGATGGATGTGTGTATTAGCCGTTGGTGTTACGCTGAAGAATGGTTTATTCTTCTTAGTCGAATTCACTGTAGGTTTGTGTAGCCATGTTCATACGGAGAAACCTACGTTTGTAACCTGATGTGCACCTCCTCGAATATTTAACTGCTTGTCGTAATGATGCAAATGCAAGCCGTGTGATTGGACCGCTGGGTAGCATCATAGACAACATTTCCGGTATTGCTGCAGTTTTCAAAATTCTGCAGAAGGAACAACGCTATACAAGCCAGTATAATCAGCTGCTGCTCAATATTTATCAGCTCTCACTTCAACACAATACGCTGGGATTCAGTCGCCATGGTTTCTTGTACACAAACTGGCCGAGAATGTGGCGGAACCCTAAAACTGGCGATAACAAGCACAGAAATCAGACTACTGACAAGTGTTTGTCAGTTGAGTATTGCGGAGCTACGCAGACACATCAGTGCACAATTAGAATTGCAGATTGAATTCCCTTCAGCATAATGATAAAGTTGAAGTACAGTGTAGATTCTATGCAGAAGTATAAACAAGGCTTCATTCTAGTAGTCGTTGAGCAACACCAGGCCAGCAGTCCCTCCATCATGTGAGCTACATTACAATGTCAAATTAACAACACGCCATACTTTTGCTTCAACAAGTAGTGGGCAAAAATCTTATTGTATCTTTCAAAGGGCACAGCTGGGTATTTGGCTTTATTCTTAAAACACGTCTTTAAATCATGATCTATGGACGCATCATCGGATTTTGTTACTCTATGTAATTTCAAACAGTGAATGCACATGAATCTTGAGTTGGTTTATATTCTGTTGCTTGAGATTTAACGCATCCTGCACACAAAGCACAACAAGAAATACAACTTTACAGCATATCATTCCACCTTAATGCGGTCTGTACATTTGAGAAATTTGACTTTTTTTGTCCTGCTGCACATTGGGCCAGCCTCCAAGGAGAGGTTAAAACTCTTAAATGCAATTACTGTAATGTGTGAAGTATGTACTAACAAACTTGTTTAATGTGCTTTGATTATTGAGAAGAAATCAACCAAAAAGGAAATATATTAATTTGAGTGACTTTTTGCTTTCAAATGTTTTGGTCTCTTAGGATTTTCAAAACTCTACCATTTGCTTCCAGCTCTCCAGGAACAAATGCAGTGCGAGGACAATGGATGAGGATGTCACCAGGCTTGCCATACATTCAGAAGAGCCTAAAATAATATTGCACGGATCGGGTAATTAGCCAAGCTTTTATTCATATTTGTGGTTTTCTGATAGACATGGTTATAGTGGATATTTTTTAACTCTGATTCCTTAGATAGCCAGATATGTTTGATTGACGTAGGTTAAATGTTGTCCGAATGCACATAAAACAAACTGTTTCCATTGATGATCAAATGAGTGATCCCACTTTTTCCAGATGAGGGTGGTGCTGGCGGGCAGGAGTTTGTTGTGGAGCTTCAAGAGACTGTGTTGGTGTCTGAAGGGGAGGGGGAAGGCATGGCGGTTCACAGGTTTGCCCCAGATGAGCTTGTCATCCAGGATGCTGTGGAGGATGTGGTCTCTGAGTATGTGCACTGTGACGAGGACGAAGATGTCGCTGTGGAGACATGCGTAATGTCCCTGGAGGGTGAGGAGGAAGGCGTTGCCATGGGAGACATCCCTGAAGATGGAATGGACTCAGAGCAGCAGGATGATGACCAAGATGGCTGTGGAGATTATTTGATGATTTCCTGTAAGTTTACTGCCATTCTTGCTCGGGTTGGATTTAGATGAGATAGTGTTGTTCTGAAAAGCAACATATAGGACTAATTGTTTCTAAATGAGCAGGCATTCAAATCACACTCAAGTTGCTAAACCTGATCTTTGAAAGTGGTTTGAAGAGGTGTACTTTAGTTTTCACAGTAGATTTAAAATGTTAAAAATAGCCAAATGGTCAAGAGTATTGGTCTAATGAAAGAAGCTTTAGAGGGAAAAAAGGAAAATGTGTAACAAAAAAAGCATTACAATGAAGAGCTCTGTGCTGCTTAGAATCCTGGGTCTCCAAAACTTATTTTCAGATGTAAGAAAACAAGATTTATTTATTACAGACCCAAACATACGTCACAGCCCTTGTGTAAATGTATTTGTGTCTTCATGAAGCACACCCAGCTAAACTCAACGTTATTTATATCTCACCGTTGATCTTTAAAAACATGCAGCTCAAAGTGATTCACAAAGAAACTATAAAAAAAAAAGTAGTTGGTGAAAAAAGCTGCAAACTTTCTGATTCAGCTCATGCGTCCATGGTCTGTCTCCCCTGTCCTGATCCCCACAACTGAAGTCCAACTGAAATCATCCAGGTCATTCATGTTTTTGCGAGCTGAACTGCAGAATAAACGGAAATTCTGTTAATTCTGCAGTTCACCGCATTTTCCAAAAAGGAAATCAAAGAATGATTGAATGATATTTTTAATGTGACCAACAGATAAGTATTCGAGCTAGGTGAAAATATACTTCACACTACCACTTCATCAGCGTACAGTCATAGCTGCAGTTAGAAATGACTAATTCACCAGGTGCTGTATACTAAGCTGTGACCTCCAGAAAAGAAGTCTGTCAGACGAGGGCCGGTGGTGGTATGAATTAGGCGGTGGCCGCTGCAAAAGTTGTTACCTGACAACTGAATGTAAATGTGGTGAAGGCATCCAAAATAATAATTTCTTCAGCGGTTAATTAAAAGGTTTATTTTATTATCTGATTACATCTGTTTAGTGAGCAAGGTCTGTGGATTTTTGATGTTTTTTTTAATTGTAGAACCTTGTTACACTTTTAGTCCAAAGTAATGAAGGTTGTTACTGCTTACACACTCTGCACAGCAACAAAGACTGTGAGCTATTTTCAACCAAAGCAAATGTAAAATTATAATTCACTGGCCCCTCTCCATATAATTACTACAAGTAGCCGACAATGGCGCTGTAGTATTTAGATTTACACTGTCACCAGCTCATGGGGACAGACACTTAATTCTTCAAATTCTCCAATTAAATATAACATGTTTTCCCTTCACTAGTGGACGAGGCCGGGAAAATGGTGTCTGAGGATGGGACAGAGGTGACAGTGGAGGGAGCTGTGGAGGACCAGGAGGTGGAGAAGGATGAGGACGGACAGGAGGTGATAAAGGTGTACATCTTCAAGGCTGATTCTGGGGAGGATGACATGGGTGAGTAGAAGTTAGGCTTTAACCTCCTATTCATGTGTCAAATATGTTCTCTTGCTGTGGGCAGTAATCTTTGTAAAGATGTTCTGTCAGTTTTCTGGCTGTCATACATTAGTTACTTACTTTTCAACTAGAATAGGTGATGTTACAAGGTTGTTGATTTTCTTTTTTCCTGGAGTTAAGAGTTAAAGCAAGCACTGTCACTTTGAGCTACAGGTCATTGTAGTTCAAACTTGTTTTTGAAGTTTCAACTTGTTGAATCATACAGAAAGACAGAAACAAATTAAAGGCAATATTCATCACAATTTGGTGAGGTCAGATTTGTCAAAATAATGAAGTATTTAAATGGGTGTTTTTATGTTGCAGGAGAGTCCGTTGACATCAGCGATGGAGACACTGAGAGCATGGCGTTAACAGAGTCTTCTGGCCAAACGCTGAGAGAGAAGATGGTTTACATGTCTGTAGGAGATTCTCATCACCATCAAGGAAACCACGGTGAGACATTTTGATCTAACAAGTGGGGAAACCCGTCTTGGAGTATTAACTCATTTTTGGTTTTGGACATGTTTGGCTCATCTGCAGGTGGGTCAAAGGTGACTGATGGGGTATTGTAATTGTTGGAGAGAGATATAAAGCCATAACTCACAACCTCTGGTATGTGACTATAAGCAAGATCTTCATGCCTGTGGCCTGGGCTGCTACTTGTGGTCAGCGCCTCTGTCTATTCAGTTGGTTTATAAACACTGGAAGCTTGTGATTCAGCGAAGTATCTTAGTGTCTTGGCCTATGCTTCACAGATGCTGTTTATTTTAATTGTGTTTATTTAGCTTTAAAGGCTGGTTACTATCTCACAGGTGTGGAGGACAGCGAGGGTTGCGAGAACAGAAACGGTGCAGCCAGCGCTCTACTGCATATTGATGAATCCGACGGGGTTGATGAAATCAATCGACAACACAACAAGAGCAGAAGACGTTCGGAGCCGCGCCAGGTACAGACAGGTAAGAGCAACACAGAGTTCACTTATATGGAGGTTGGCTTCGTGAGCTGGTTTCTCTTTCATTTATCGCACAATGAAGAAAGGGTTTACACCCTGTGTGGGGAAAGCGAACAGAGATTCAGCCTGAAATTAATCTTTTTTAAATTCACTATGCTCAAAACCATGAAAGAATTTTTGATAAAGCCAACTTGTATGGATTTCAAACCTGCAGAAAACGGCTTTAGTAAGTCAGGAGTGTTATAAACTTTCCCAAACTGTTGTGTCATCTGCCAGGAAAAAGGCTTGCTCTGACTCTAATTCTGACGACTGTGAGTAAAGTGTTGTAGGCTCAGTTGTTGAGAGGCACTTTCAAAGTCATAGTTCCCCTTTGAAATGAGCGTGTAATTCAGAATTACACACAAAAAGGGAGACAATGACGACACACATAACTTAAAGGACAGTAACTATGTATTGATCTTTGTCCCCCTTTTGCAATTCTTTCTCTTCAGCCATCATCATCGGTCCCTATGGTCAGCCTTTGACAGTTTACCCCTGCATGCTGTGTGGCAAGAAGTTCAAGTCACGGGGTTTCCTGAAACGCCACACCAAGAATCATCACCAGGAAGTTCTGACGCGGAAAAAGTACCAGTGTACCGACTGTGACTTCACCACCAACAAGAAGGCCAGCCTGCACAACCACATGGAGGTGCACGCTCTCAGCAGCAAAGCCCCTTTCGAGTGTGAAATGTGTGGCAAGGAATTCCACCAGCAGGCGGCGCTGTTCTCACACAGACTGCAGCATCACCACAGAGAGCCCAAGAACCAGCCGCCTCCAACGCCTACCAAGATGCATAAATGCAAGTTCTGTGACTATGAAACGGCTGAGCAAGGACTGCTCAATCGGCACTTGTTGGCCGTCCACAGCAAAAGCTTCCCCCACATTTGTGTTGAGTGTGGAAAAGGCTTCCGTCACCCTTCAGAGTTGAAGAAACACATGCGCACACACACTGGCGAGAAGCCTTACTCCTGCCTGTACTGCGACTACAAGTCGGCCGATTCCTCCAACCTCAAGACGCACATCAAGACTAAGCATAGCAAAGAGATGCCATACAAATGTGAGCGCTGCTTCCAGACCTTTGCGGAGGAGGAGGAGTTAATGCAGCATGGACTGACACACGAGGAGAATAAGACCCACCATTGTGCCCACTGTGATCACAAAAGCTCCAACTCCAGTGACCTGAAACGCCATATCATTTCTGTTCACACCAAGGACTATCCACACAAATGTGCCATCTGTGGTAAAGGCTTCCACCGGCCATCCGAGCTGAAGAAGCACTCGGTCTCCCACCGCACCAAGAAACTCCACCAGTGCCGGCATTGCAACTTTAAGATCGCCGACCCTTTTGTCCTCAGTCGTCATATCTTGTCTGTCCACACAAAAGAGCAACAGGCCTCTCCTGAAAAGAGTGAGGCCAAGAGGACAGAGGTGCACTCTCCTGTTGCTACACCTAAAAAGTCTGCACCGAGCGGGTCCAGCAGCGCGGGCCCGCCTGGCAGAGTCAGTGCAGCCAGCTTAGCGAGCAGCGTGACTGTAGTTATTGGTAAAGGACAGAAAGAGAGGAGAATCTACCAGTGCCAGTACTGTGACTACAGCACCGGGGACGCTTCAGGTTTCAAGCGACACGTGATTTCCATTCACACAAAAGACTATCCGCACCGCTGCGAGATCTGTTCGAAAGGCTTCCGACGACCCTCGGAGAAGAACCAGCATATCATGCGTCACCACAAAGACGTGGTGCAGGCAGAGTGACTCTGACCGAGCCAAATACTGTGCCACAACAACGAACAATGTTAAAGCAACCATCACACCCCAATCACTGCACCCTCAGCCTGACGCCATCGCATTGAAATAATGTGGTGTGTGTGCGTGCTGCACTTAGTCCTTTCTGTTGTTTTTGCTCTTTTGTCTATCCTCCGCCTAATGTTTGTTCAGAAATGTAAACACATGTACATAACATAAACACCGTCAAGAGTTAGCAACAAAAACCCCTCCGTAGACTTGCACTTTGAACTGCATGTCCCTTACTGGTGACAGTGTGCATGGCAGATTGTTCAGGTGTCTCTTTGTAGATAAACCTCTTTAAGTTTGCAGGCAGCAATCAGTTGTCAAACACAATGGTCCTAATTATTTGTCCCAAAACTTGAGTGTAATTTGCAAAACACTTGCGTCATAAAAAAAAATACTAAACACAGCAGTATGGATTAGCAACCTGTTTGCAGTAGCACTTACCATCCTGGTAAAAATCATGATGAATGCAGTACTCAAGTTGTGCGTGCGTGTGTGTGTGAGAGTGAGAGAGACTAGGGAAGGATTGTGTGCATGTGTAAATGAAGAGTGAGTGAAAAACAAAGCATCTGTTGTGCTTCCCGGTGCTCAGACCCCACCTCTCTGTATCATAGTGCTTTGATGTGTTTACACAAACACGTGGTCGGCTGTGTACAGCACGCAGAGAAAACAATCATTCTTATCTTTGTACACCGGGGGGGGTCTATGGTCATGAACGTAACACATAATACACAGTAAAGTAGTGGTGGATATGTCATGGTAGTCAACACAAGCTCATACAGTATGTGCACCTTTTATCGAGATCATTACCTGATAGCTTGATCATCAAACACCCGTCTGATATATCAGTTTCCCGTCAGTAAATGTACTGTATCTGTTCAGAACTGGTGCCTGAAGCAGTAGAGATGAAGCCCTGACTAGACGGTATTCAAAACCAATTAATGCTACCTGAGGAGTAAATTGTCATTCATTCGAGGAAAAAAAAGGCGTGTTTGTGACGAGGAAAATGTGATTGCAACATTATTAATGATTAAAAACAACCGTAATGAAATTTAAAAGAAAAGAACCCATCAGTGTACGAATGTACCTGTCTGTTTTAAAGAGGAATCATTCAGTATACCTGGTGCTGCTGTTCAACAACTATGGACTGAACTCTTTGTCTCCCCTCACAGATGTACTTTTACCAGTAGAAAGGGAAAATGTATATCTTTTTAGATACAACTTCAGAAGACAGGTGCTGGTGGTGTACTTGTACTAAGGCTTTTTACATTTTTTTTGTTATCACCTGTGATCATTTCTGTTTTTATATTTATTCATTTACAAGTTGTTGTATAGTTAAGTGTAACTAGACTTCTATGGGACGTAAATTATTGTTTTGTATACAAATCTGTACAAAGCGTGTAGATGTAAACACTTGATAAACTGAAATCTGAACTGTGTTGTTATGGATGTACTTCAGCGTATTTGTTAAAAAAGGTAATAAAAGCAAAGTATTTTAGCCATGTGTCTTTTTTTTTTTCTCTAATCCGTTAAACCTCCCGCACGTGTGCATACACGCTGTAAAATTATTTTCTTCATGTCTGCTCATAGGTATGTGTGACCTCACGGTGCAAAAATAATCTGTATGCAGAGTTTGATACCCAAAGGCTGTTAAACTCTTGAATAGTAAAAGTTTGTGATTCTCTAAAATCTTGGTATTACTCCTGAAAAGATCTGAGAAAAGTGACAAACCTGTTTCCTTCCTGTTTAAAAAGTCTCAATATTCCTTTTTTCCCAAAAAGTTAAAGCTGCAGTTTTCTCAGTTAGCAGTTTTTCTTTACTACCTTTTGTGGATTATTGATGCATCACCACCATCTGTAATTGAGGGGTGTAGTGTAACACAATTTGCTAAATGTGTTAGATTTGGGAGACAGATTAAATGTAGACCCACTCAGGAAAAACCTTCTCAATTGTGTGAATAGACATCTGTGGGGCAACTGTAGTGCAGCATTGAAAGTCCTGTGGTTTGTGTTGACTTTGGCGCCCCCTGTACAAAAAGCAGGGCGATATCTCTTTGCTGATCTTGTCCATTTTCTGATCAAATCTCTCATCCGTCTTAATTTTAAATGTCTAACCTCAAATATGCAACTCATAATGAATCATATGTAAAGAATGTAAACAAGATTATTTCAGCAGCGTGCTGTTAACCTCTCCTGCAGCAGGGGGCATTTAAATAATATAGAAGAATCAGTCTTCTCTGTGATAGTTTGGTGGGCTTTAGGAAGTCGTATAGAGGCGTGAGTTGTAACATCAGTTAAAACTCCTTACAAGAGCTTTACACTTAGACTAAAGTGATGGGGAAACAAACGGATCAGACACATCGATATTGGAAACAAATTATTTTATCAGTCTCAAAACAACACAGTAAGGTTTAATTAAATCAAAATGTTGTATGTTGAAACTTGGCTTTACATTGTGTTTGGTGGCATTGGGAGCTATTTTAACAACTGAAAGAGCAAAAAACAAAAAAAAGAATATTCACAACAAGCACTCAAATCTTTAAACAATATCTGTGACACACGGTGATCAGGGAACAACTAGGCAGCTGAGCACTCCCCTAAAAAGTAAAAAAAAAAAAAGATTAAGGTTTTTAGTACATGAGATCAATCTGAATAAAAGTTTGGTTTTTTTATATAGCATATTCATTCATAGTAATGAAAGTACCATTTTTGGGAAGTATAGCAATATTTTCCGGCAGGATTCCATTCTCCAACGAAAACTGCCTGAACTTCTCCAGCAGATCAGCGCCGAGGTCCGCTCCACGACCTGTGAAACCACATGGCATGAAAAGGTTACGAAAAGAGTAGATTCAGACGGTACAAGGCAGAATGATGATGCAGTTACCGTAGAGTTTGTTGACAACAGCGTTATCACCAGCCTTGGTCTTTATGGTGTGAGTCAGGGCGTACTGGTCATATTTCACCTCAACCACGCGCATGTCATTCTGATTCCCCCAGCCTGATGAAGGAAAGTGGGGGGGGGGGTCATTGTGAATATTGCATGCATTGCCCTTGTGTGTTTACTATTATGTACGAGTGTGTGGGTGAACCCAGCCTCACTTGAGTATGTGAACTTTCCAGGCATGTCAGCCTTTTTGGCCAAGTTGTTCATTCTCCAGCAAGAACCATCAGAGCTGCAGATAAAAAATCATATATATTTATTTATATTCAACATGATAAACCGTACCATTTCTGATGTGTTTTTATTTTCCCTGCTGTCCTCCACACTCACTTGAGACTGGCGTATGAAATGTCCAGGTCCCCGTCTGCAGTCGGGGTGATCATGGTTGTGCCCATCTTCATGCTGGCTTTGCGGTTGACGAACCATTCAGCATTGGTGGCAAATCCAACCAGGTACCACTTCCCTGCCATCTGTACACATACACACAAGGCAACCACAGCAGAGGGGAATAATTATTCAACCCCCAAATCCTTGAACACAACACAAAACGTCAACTGAGTCCCTACTATCAATGTGTTACAATGGGTTTTCAAATGTAACCAACATGTTTAAGTTAGCAAATAAGTTCTGCTTTACACATATGTGAATCTGAAGGTGGCTTCAGAACATTTTATTCCTCATCCCTTCTTCATTTTCTTCCATAAATGTTACCTCATCTACTGCAAGAACACATCTGTTCAAATGCATGTTTTTATATTGGCAATATGAGTAAAAAAGTTTACAACATTACTCAAAATCCAATACTTCTTGTCCTACTCATTCAAGCACCCGTACATTTTTTTGCATGGCAGAAAATAATTTTGCTTAGAAGTTCAGTTACACCCTTCATTTTACACGATCTCTAGCAGCAGCTCACTCACCTGTTGAGAGGAATGAAATACAATCAATGCAGGCATGTAACATTTGAAGATAGTTTCCCGGCTTTGTGTCTTACCCCCTGTGGGTTGAAGTCCGCCTGAGGTATAACTTCAGAAGAAACCGTGAAGATGCACAGCACAGCCCCCAGTGCCTTCAGAAGTAAAGTCATGGTGACAGAGGAGAAGGAAAAACCAGATGATGAGGAAAAGTGGTGCCTAAAATCCAGAGATTTGTTGTTGAAATCCCCCCTGCCAACCCTTTATATAGGGAGAGGGGGATGAGGTCTGGGCCTTTTTTATGTTCCCTCCCAGCCATCACACACACACACACGAGCTCACCCACACACACACACACGCACACACAAAAACACACGCTCATACTAACGCTGGAGCTGGGATGGGTTCGAACAAGTGAAGCTTCAGAGGAACACAAGTAAAGTTTCACAGCCACGAGGTACTCTTTTAGCCCTGCCAGGACTGAATTCAATCGACCATGTGAGAGTTGAATAGACAGAAAACGGCAAGGCAGGGCACGTTTATTGATGCAGAACATTTCAGCAACAAGGCAATTCAAAGTGCTTCACAAAAGATATCAAAAGCGTCATCAGGACAATTCAAAATCATTAAAACAAAAACCTTAAAAATCAAAGAGAAGGAAAAGAAACAACTTAAACAGAAGCTTTGCTATAATAAGAGTTATATAATAATGCAGTGAAAGTTGCAGTGCAGTTATATAGTTAAAAAATGTACTAAAATAAATTTCTTAAAATTGTTTTTTATCTTTATTTCAAGATTTGTTTTTGGGGCCGTTTGCCTAAATTTGACAGGACAGTGGATAGAGTAGGAAACCAGGGAGAGAGAGAGAGTGAGTGGGGACTGACAAGAAGGAAAGGAGGCACAGGTCAGGCTTGAACCCGGGCCGCCCGCTTGGAGGATGATAGCCTCTGTACATGGGGTGCCTCCTAACCCCTAGGTCATCAGCACCCCCATTAAAATTGTTTAATGAAAGGCAGCTGTAAACAGTCAACAACCTTGATTCAAAAGAACTAAGAGTTTCAGCAGACGTGCAGTTTTCTGGGAGTCTGGGACAATGGGGACAGAAAGGAGAACCTGTCCCAGACGAGGTCACTAAAACATTCAATGCTTTATAAACAAGTGGCAGTATTTTGAAATCGATTCTCTGACCGACAGGGAGAAACGTGCTAAGTCATGAAATGACCTGAAAAAAACAAATAGGCAGAGGTTTTATATCCTGTCTGTCAAACTTCTGTGATTTAGCTTTGGTAATGCAGTTTCATTACACAGCTCTTTGTTTAGGGGCATGAGCTGGTACAAACAAGGTAACTAAAGGTGGTAAACAAAACAGCTGTTGCCCTCCAGTTCTTTCTGTGGCAGAGAGCTCAGAATCAAACGCACGTGTCAGCAGTTTTAGCAGTAAAACACGGACACAACACAAACGCTCATGGAGATTGGCACATGGTGAATTGACTACTTTAGATCATCTGGGTTTAAGTCTTGCAACACTTTCTATTCATTTAGATACATTTTAAGATTATAGGGATCACTAAAGATGATAATGATCCATTATCTAATATTCATTTTAACTTAATCTGTGTGCAGGCAGACAAAAGCGCTTTCAAAGTAAGAAATGCTTTCAAAGTTTGTTTAAGGGGTGCCGTGAGCGTAGTGGTTAGGACGCACACCGAGCAGCCCAGCTTTGGGTCCGACCTGTGGCTCCTTTCCTGCATGTTATTCCCCAATCTCTCTCTCCCTGGTTTCCGACTCTATCCACTGTCCTATCTTGACAGTTCAGTCAAGCCCAAAAATAGAATAAATCTTTAAAGTCAGTTTTAAAGCTGACCCAAAAACTGCTGTGTGTTTCACCAGCTAGTCAACAAACGTGTAGCTTTCCATTTAACCATTTCCAATATATGTTTCCTCAACTATAGGATTGTAAAGAGACCATGCTTACCACAACTGTTTGGTTAGGTTTGATTTCATTCTCTCAGAGATTTTTATCTCAACACATGAAATAGTTGCTCAAGAATTAATGTTGTAATAATCATTGCAGCCGAAAGGAAATCTCCCTCCATGAAAAAATAAATGAGCAAATCCATCTACACGCAACAAGACAATTCAATATATCTCAGAGAACATCAGAAGAAAAGACTCAAGAGAAACACAATCAAAAATCCGAAAGGATAATCGGAAGTGTTTGACTTTCGGAAACAGAAAAGGAAGATAAATTAGGACAACAAGGAAACCCATTTACTGTAGATGAACTTGTAAAATTAGACGGGAGATTTGCACCAACAGAACTTTAGGTTCAACTTTCTTCCTTTTGCATGCAAAAAGTATTTCATACAACCCGTATTTACACAGCCAGAATACCAGCCCAGAGCCTTTTGGCAGAATGGACACCTGTACCACTCTGACGACGAGATGAATTAGTGTAATGCAGGCAGAGACACGCCACAGTTCAAAGAGTTCTCAGACTTACATACTTTAACAGTTCAAACAGGTTCCTCTTTGCCCTGAGATAAATAATATTTTATGTCATATTGTACCAGATAAGTCATTCTAAGATACAAAGATAGCCAAATACAAACACTGCAGCTCCACAAGTCTACATAGTGACTTACCCCTGCAAGCAAGAGAAATGTCTAGCTTTCACACATCATTACAAGACTATAAGTCAGTGCTTATGTTGTGGTCACATCTCACTGTATTGCAAGCATACACAACAAGTATGAGTAAGATAACTGTTATATATATTTTGTATTTAAACAGATATCAGCAGACACTGTCATGCAGCTCTTTGTAAATAACCTCAATCACTGAATTACAGCTTTTATTTTGATATGTATACTGGTGTATGTTTGTCATTATCGTCATTATTGTTTTCTCAGCTTTTCCCCACCATCTCTCACTTGGTTACATCCTGAATTATATCATTTGAATGCAGCATTAATCATGACTGAATCGTTTTGGCTCAGCACCCAGAATAAGTGGAATGTGTGTTGCTCCCCTTTTAAAACGACTGAAACTTCAAATGTAACAGCTTTGACTCTTATTAATGCTGTAAATCATTCGTAGAAAACATGACTGAATATTTAGTTAACAGCTCATTGCTCAAAGCAGTCTCAGTCTGAGCTTGGCTGAGACATCTGTCTTGTGTCTTCTTTTAAGGGTGAAATTACACAATCGAGGTAATGGGAACATTATGATCAGGTCATAAAAAGGGCTAAATGGGAAAATAGTATAAATGTGTGAAATGTTTATCATTATTCTCAGATGTAAATCGTGGAAAATATTTTTCTCAAGCCTCACAGAAGAAACGGGTCAGTTTTATAGTTTTACATTAATGCAAGTGAAGTAGTTTGGTCTAAGTAATAAGACCTGTTTAATAACAGTCAGGAGAATTTTACAGCTTTGGGTGTTCACTGTGTTGCATCTACTGTTTTAAAATCATGACATTTTTTGATTTATGAAGAACAATTTTACCAGAAGATGGCACTAGAGGAAAGCCATTGAGCCTTATCTTGAGCAGCAATAGTAAAAAAAATAAGGGTTGTCAGCTTTAACCAGTTAATCACAGTTTATTAAGGTCTGAAATGAATGTATCCTCAAAAAATCTCAATTATTCACATGCTATTTTTTCCCCATTAGGCACACTGTTGATACGCCTCCACAATGTGTCCGTGTAGTCAAAGTGATGTTCTCTATTGACTAAAATTCTCTATTGGTACTTTCACAAGAGGAGCAAGACATACAAAGTTTTTGAAAATGAAAATTTGCATAATGATAGTTAGCTTTTAATTAAACACATCCGACAGCAGTAAGTTATGAATTTATTTAGGTCATGTTGAGGAAATTAAAAATATGGAGTTGGGCAACATCATTTAGAAAAAGCTATGGAAGGGAAGCTGGAGTTTCGATGATGGACACATTCCTGTCATATGGTGAGGGAATTTGATCAGATATATGGCCAATCTGGGAATATTATTTGATATGTGTGGAATCTATTGTTTTCTGTCCATGATCCACAGAATGGCTTGAGCACATCTGGCACCTGCCACTCAAAACTCACTCTCTTGCTACAAATGTTAACCAACATTTAACAGTTAATAAAAGGTAGTTACCATCACTAATACATTTATAAATAGAGCTATGAAGATACTTTATAATTCACATGCAACAACCAACACTGATTTTCACCTAAACAAAGGGTTTTCAAAAGAGCTGGAAAAGTGGGCGTGGCCGTGTCTCTACCAAGGAGTGGTTTTGGTGCAAAATAAATGTTTGCAATGGATTCAGCATCCCAACTAACCCCTAATTTGACCCCTCATATGCTATTTGAGGCACATGTAAAAAAAATCAAAAATTTCTAATTTTCAACCAATAAGGTTCCAGGTACCCAAAGTTTCAGCAGCTCTCACAGATTTTCCTACAGGAGTTGAATTTAAATCTTTTTATGTGTGACTAGACACCTTTAGAAACACATTGGTGTAGAAATTGGTTGGTAAGGAATTTATTCCCAGATTTTCACAATATTCCCTTACTAATAGACAGAGGTTTATTGGCAGATTAAAGGGGAAGTCATTTATCACATCACAACTGTTGAAAATTAGATAAAATAATCTGTTTGCAACTGATACACGTTAAGACATAACATGGAGACTTGCCATCATAGCCCCATTACAATATTAGAAATATTAAGTAATAGTCTTTATTGCTCTAAAATCAGACTGCAGAGTATTAAAGTGTGACTGTGCCTGTGTTAAATACACACCTGACAACATCATTAGTTAAAGATCTTACATTAACATCTTCGGTGCAGGGTTTGAACAATTCACAGACTGGCCAGAGGGGGGCACCTGAGGACTGACTGCAGAGCCACTGCCATGAAAGTAAGAGGAAACGAGTTAATTGATTAAGTGAATGAAATGGAGGAAAAGCATTGGTTTAAACAGATTGATGTGCAATACGAGTATTGATAATGGGGAAATAATGGGAAATATATTGAGTAAACACTGGAGTCGAGTCCTTACAGGGAAGTTCATACTGTTCAATTAAGTTTTCTATGTTTAATATGCTACATAACAGTAAATAGATGAACTCAGATATAACACGCTCTGCATTACCAGTGGAGAGGAGTGTAGCCTAAAGCTTAATATAAATCGATTATATCTGTAAACAGTCCCTGCCTCTTAGAAAAGTGCAGGTCTGGACGGTGTAAAATGAACCCACTGGCACAATGAGGCAAAAACCATTAGATAGAAAATCAATATCACAGAGCACTGGAGAGATAATATGAAATAAATGCAGGAGAAACAAGATTGCATCAGTTGTAAGAGGAAAGATGACTAAAGCTGCTTCAAGAACTAATGACTGTTCTCACATTGCTGACTCACAGGGTCAGATGTCGTGCTCTACTTCAAAACTTACAAGCCTATGAATCATGCTGTAAAGCTGAAAAAAAAAATGGTCTGGCAGCATATCCCTATCTCTGATTTTGACATCAATCCAATGTCAGGGTCTGGCGTCAATCCAATATCAGGATTTTACATCAATCCAGACTCTAGTTCTGACATCAATCCGGAAAAGGGAGCACACTCAAACAATAAAATCTCCTCAGGTGCACAACCACAAAAAGACTTGTGAGAAAGTAGAAAAGTCAGCAGCTTAAATGTCCTTTAAAGTGGATAGTCTTGCAGCGTACAGGCCAGCACCGGATGTGTTTCAGCGAAGAGCCTTCATCAGCATCCTGACCTAGATTTTGAAGACGTTAAAAGACACTGAGTGTGCTGACTGTTCTACTTTCCTATTAATCCATATGCCATTAGGTATGTGCAGACTAGCCAGCTTAACGGTTAAAGGTTGACACCCTTGCTAGTCGGCACCAGAGGTACTTGTTGGTTAAACAAAATATTAATTTTATTACATGCCGGTCCTCTCGATGCTGGTCAAATGATGGGCTCAGACTGCAATGCAGCCACATGCCACTTGCCTGGGCTGTAGCCATAAACTGGTGTTAGCCCCGGCTATGGACTTTCACTCCTGGCTGTACTGCCCTGATGTAAACAAGTACAGTGAACAGATGGAATTTCTTAAGAGCAAAGTGTCCGGCTCAAAGTGTTTGTAGGCTTTGTCATTGACATAAACATTTCCTGATTTTATTCAAATGTTTATTATGTCTTTTTAATTGGCATACAGTCAAGGATATTTCAAATTCAGTCAGCAAAAATGTTGCTAGCTTTCTGCAGGGGGAGAACACAAGTACAGTAACATGACAATTACTGTTGCATTAAATCATTCGGCTATTTCAGAGAGAAAATTGACAGAATTTCAAATGTAAAAAATGCTCATTGTGTTGTTTCTGAAGCAGATATTAGGACTTTCTAATGGCCCTGTTTCAAATGTAGGGGCTGGAATGAAGCTAACAATGGAAGTTCAAGAGCTGATAATTGTTTAGAAATGTATGATATGGAATCATCATCACACATGCTGTATTAGCAGACTGTTGTATTTTTTTTTGTACAAAGTGAAACTAGACCAAGTCAGTGAGGCTGGAGCGGAGAGAGAGTGAGGCGTCTGTCATGGTGAGGAACTCAACCCAGTTCTGACAAAATCCACGTGAATACACTCCTGGGTCGATGACAAGTCCCCACAGGCGGCTCTGGCCCGTTTTGTTCCTCAGAGCCAGCAGGGCCTCTCGCTCTGTCACATTGAAACTGATGTTCAGCACTTGTGCCACCAACAAGTGAAGCAATCCAGTGGTGACAATGCTGCTGTACCACGCACAAGTGAAGCAGAGTGCCGTGCTGCAAATACAAAGAAGAGTAACAGCAATATAGTCAAATGTTAAAAATGAGAAAAAAAAGATTGACAAGACATTACGTTTGGTCTTCAAGTCTCCCAAAAACTATAACTTTTATACACATAACTATACAGCATGTTATTTTCCTCTTCAAGTTGATCCTATAACAAGTGTTAGACAATCTTAAATTTTAGAAAAATTATATTCAGGGGAAAATGAAATGTTCAAATACAAACCTAGAAAAAGACCCTTAAATAAGCTGAATTAATTAGTTGTTCTTTTTATAAGGTTTAAGTACCGGCTTTAGGACTATGGATTAAATGGAGCTTTTGTGCTAAATCCATCATATTAACATGGATGGGATTTGCTAATATGTCAATTAATGTGCAGTGTCCTCATTCTATAAATAAATGAATATATTGTACTTTAACACAAGCTAAGATGCTTGTTGTGTGAACTTCAAATTAACAACAAAAAATATACACAACTACAATAAATTGTCTCTACAGGTTTATCGTGTAAATGTACTGGGGAGAAAACATGATCTATAACATGAGATGTTTGTGCAAGATTTGGGTCCTTAGAATTGTTCTTGGCTTTTGATTGCTTTCAAATTACACTCATATTGAAAATAAAAAAATGTGAATTTATAATATTTATTTCAACCAAGAGAGTGTTATGCACGATTTCTGTTCATTAAAACATTTCATCAATCTTAACTTGTCGCCTAATGTCGTTTGATAAAACTTGTTGAGCATAAAGGAGTGTTGTACCTGGACTGGCTGTAGACCCCGGGGCAGTAGAGGAGAGCTGTCAGAAGATACTGCCGAGGACAGAGGCTGCACAGCACCAAACTGATCCCATACAGAGAGGTCAACACAAACACACAGAGGGTCAACAGGAAGCTGCGATGGTTTGCCTCTCCAACACAGCTGTTTATCCTGTGGCAACACATGCAAACAAAATACACACACACAACACAACAGTCATACAAAACTAAAGCAGCATCACATTTACCTTTATATTGTACATTAAATGATGCTATCTTCATCAAATTTGTTAGACTTTTGTATCATTTCTGGTCATGTAATTTCATAATAATAAAGATAGGTGATATTGTCTATTCGGCTTAAATACACAGCACAGATTCAACCAGCTGTTTAATTTAGTAATGCACAAATCCTTCTGGTGCACTTCAGTGATGTGGATTTGACTTGATTGTTACCCTGATATGCCAGTTTACAAGTCTAGTTTAAATCAGGATTTAAATGTATTTTTACTGATAATTTATTTTTTATTTAAAAAAGATTATTAAGAAATTATTAATTATTAATTAAGAAAACTTTGTGACACTTTTAATGAAATGTCAGATTTGAATGCTTTGTGCACCAGACACCAAATTCATATCAGACTAGTATTTGGAGAGTTACCAGAAAATAGAGCAGATGATTTTTTTAAACTCACTTCCTAAAAAATAAAACCTAACACACAAAAAAATGGTAATATTATTTTCATATTTATCACTGATTCATGCCCAATTCGCTGTTTGTTTGGTGAGTTTGTCAACTCTTTTGGTGTCGGGCCATGAATAGGCCACTTGAGGTTTGTTAACACCAACAACATTACTTGTTATCAGAACTGTGTACTGCACAAAAGTGCTTCTGAAATGGCAGATGAGTATCTATTCTAATGGAAGTGCTTAATCTAAACCTTGTTAAATTAAGACTTTAGCCCCTTCCTGAGTGCCTTTCACCTATATTTCATTATCTTGTTGTGAATGCAAAATACAGAAAAGTTTAACCGGTTAGAATTTATTTACAAGCAACACCAAATGCTTATACTGGTAGGCCTACATGACTAGTAAGGACCAACCCACCAGATACAGTGGTGGTCCAGACGCTGGACACAAGATCCACATGTTCGACAGTGACCGGCCCGGGGGGGTCGCATTATTTTACACACAGGACACTTGTTCCATTTTGCTGTTGGGACCCCTTTTGTTGTCTGCAGCTGTGCTGTGTTCCCCGAGGAAGAGGATGCTGATTGGATGAATCCATTAAGGTGTGTGGAGTCCTTATTCGCGTCCTGACCTCGACTTTGTGCTTCGTGCAGAGAAGCTGTCACATATCCTGGCCCTCTCTTGGTGTGAATAAGAAAGGCGATGGTGAGAATCATCCCCAAAGTCGCAGTACACAGCTGCAGCTGGCTGACGTCCCCACGTGGTAATATCTCTGTGATGAAGAGGTAGTACATGTAGAACAGAGAGTAGAGTGCAAGCGTGAGGAAGAAGAGGGTGCGTCTCTTCTTGCGGTGTGTGGCATAGTAATACCACAGCACCAGGCCGGGTAGAGCAGTCAGGGTGATGATACCCAGCAGATAGTGCAGCGCTGCCAAACGCAGAAGTAAAGGGAGAAGCACCAAGGCCGGCACCATGGAGATCTCTAGCTTGTCAATCAGGGCTGTAAGTACAGGAGACTGACATCCACTTTTAGACGGTCTATCCTTCAGCCACCTGCGGGAACAGGGAGCATCAAGTCATGAATGAGGCTGCTCTTTTCATTAGTGCAGCTTGTTTTTAGTAGCAAATTTAATTGTTTTGTTCTTTTTTTCTGCAAACATAATTGTAATCATAATTTGCAAAATCTTAAATCAGGGGCACTGCTTACAGGGCTAGATTTTTGCTTTACTATTTCTAAGTTCATGATTCACACTGATGCTGAAATAGCATCATGAGGAAGATTTTAGACTTCCCTTTTTTTCTTTGTGAGCTCCGAGGCAAAACATTTTTACGTGTGTAGGCCTCGAACTCTCAATGCGTTGTGTGTGTATTACTACGCACAGTCACAAGTAATAGTTCTGAAGTGTATTGATAAAGTATTTTTTATAAATGACAGAAATGCCTCCGCTTAACAAAAACTGAAATAATATAAGTGTGAAAGAGTAGGACAAGACAACAGGATTGATGTCAGAACTTAAGACTTTGTCATGTTTGCTTTCTTTCTGAAAGTTAGTCAAAGAGATTGATATCAGGTGGAAAGCCTAGCTGCATGACGCACGCCCCATGTACAGAGGCTCTAGTCCTCTTCACATTGGCCCGGGGTTTTGAATCCTGCCGAGGCTCATTTCTTTACTTTCTTGTTTCTTTACTGTATCCTGTTACAGTAACTGAGCAAAAAAGGATAAAGAATACGTTTTCAGTTAATATATTTACCTATGAGAAGCAGTTAGTTAGCTAACTAGGTAGTAGCTAGGCATGGCGTCCTCTTTGTGCAAAAATATGCAAAAGTACAAGAAGCATAGTTAAACTTCAATGTGAGCTCAGTTTGAGGGATATTGATTTCCAAAGTGCCCATGAGACCCTCTATAGCAGGAAACTTGTTAGCCTAGCTCCTTGGATTGGAGCAGTGACTTCCTGAGATCTTTGCACTTTACTGAACCACAACTTTAAAAAAAAAAAACTAAAGAATTACATATTTTGATTTTAAGTGGTATCTCTTATCCAGAAAGTGTTAGAAGCTAACTGCTGTCACCTGTTCATTCAATTTATTTTGTGCACTTGTGTTGCCTTCACTGATATCAAACACATTGCATGTAATCAATCATGCGGCCATGAGGTCACCTAAGGGTCTTTGGCTCTGGTTAGAGTGGTTAGTCCCTTTGCCCGGTTTATAATCCAGCCCCCAATCCACACTGGCTCTTTCTTGTTAACCGTATATTTAAAAAAAACACTGTTAGCTAGATATGTCTTTAAGATGATCTGAACTATTGCTTAATAAAACATCTACATTCACTTTACTGCTTACCAGCCGGTCCGACTGTTTTCCTTCAAGCCATTCATACCTGTTAAAGGCTTCATCCAGATCTTCACAGTCACAGCAACATCCGCACGGGTCGATATCACACTCACAGCAGCACATGGGATCATCCGGTTCTGGAGGCTTTAACTTCTCCCAATTCATTATGGCCGACTAAAGATGACCGAGAAGATTACAAGCTACCATTTCAACACAAAAAAAAGCCATCATCTTAAATCTCAGTAGAATATTAAACAACAAGAGGATAACAAAGCGTTAAACAGGTTGAAAGACATCAGACTGACTCAACCTGGACCTCTAACTTGTCACATCTGAGCTGATCATTTTCACAAAATAGGACTTCTCAATCCCAGAGAGATTTGAGTAATTTGTTGAAACAAGGCCACCTTTTCCACAGGGATGAAACTATGTGGGCCAGCAAAACCAAAGTCCTCAACACTCGAAGATATTCCTCAGTAATCTTCACTGTGAGTTGATATTCTAGTCTGCCATTTTACTTGTGTTGTTATAACGATTAACAGCAACAACATCCATCTGGAGACAAAATATATCATTTGATTAGAGTTAAATCTGTTTGTTTCGTAAGACTTCTTATCTGCCTACACTGTCTTGTGAAGAATACCATTATTCACAAGCAATGTTAAACTATTTAGCCAAATGGGTACAGTCATCACAATAACAGAGACAATCTTTTTCTCTTTTAACTTACCTTTTGTATCCACAAAAAAAAACCTAAACCATCAACACTTGTGGGGTCTGAAGTTATTCTCCTCTTCCAGTTGTAAGTTCAAAACTGAACTTCAGCAAACGAGGAAGAGAAAATGATGAAGACGTTGACCCAAAATGAAAAAAAGCCACTCTTCTTTCTCATCAGTCATTTGTGATGAAAAAGGAAATTGGCATGCCTCTACTCCTCTGGTGCTGCGATGACACTGTATCAGTGCAGCGAGATGGTTTTCATTTCTTGGATTCCCCCGATGGAAGAGCCCCAAAACAACTTGGATTCCTGCTGACAAGTGGTTCAATATTGAGTTACATCCGCAGATCACTGTTCCCAAGACTATCCTGCTCACATGTCATAAAATAGTTCACAAGTTGTTCTCCCAGTCTAGCCTACTTCTACATCTGCTTTATGGCTTCTATCAGTTTCCACTTTGAGTTTTACTCCTGTCATGCTTGGTAAATTTAGGAGCTACCTCGAGTGTTTCAGGGAGCCAGAGAGCCACGAGCCTTTCATGCCTCTTCTCTCACAGCTGACAGTCTATGTTAAGGGTGTTTCGAAAAGCCCTGACAATCCACGCTGAGCTGGACCAGATGAGAAGAATGACAGGCACTCATAGATGAGAGAGTGAGGAATGATCCACATGGGCAGCCCCACCCTCTGGGATCACATTTCCTTTAGCTAGAAACCAGGCCTGGCTGCTCACTCACAGAAAACTCTGGAAGACAGCGTGTGTGTGTGTGTGTATGTGTGTTTGAGTTTCTGTTAATATGAGTGCTTTTTTTCTGCATAACAGTGTTTGTATGACATGTGACAACCCTGATTTAATACTGAAAATGAAGGCCTGCAGAACTAAAAAACACTGAACCAAGAACATAAAAAAGAGGATCTTCAACAGAGACTTTATTTGCAACCATTTACAGTACGAAAAAAGTGACTACCAGTTTACTTAAATTGGGATTCCAAAAATTAAGGAAGGGAAAATGATAGGGAGTGCAGAGCCTTTGACTGTGTCTGGGTCCATGCATTGGTAAAATGCAGCTCTTGCACAGACTGCTGGGAAAGAGCACTGGCGTCTTGAAGATGAGCAGGTGGCAAATACCACCGATGTTTATGAAATAGTCAGAGTCATGCTGCCTTAGCAAGACTTCTCTGTCTGCTGATACTGAAGTCCAAATTGTCGATAATTGTTAATATTTCATACTTCTATTGTCTTTAAAGTGGACCATACGACAAGTAAACTGTAGTGTCTACACAAAAGATCACCTTCAAAGAAAATGTTTCTGTGCTTATATTGGTGGACACCAGTGATCGAGTTGATTGAGCCATTACAAAGCAGAGGCAGGTGCATTTTAAGCTATAGGCTGGTATATTCAGAGACCACTGAAACCTCTTAACGTCCACACCAGTGTGAGTCTGAATCAATGCAGAGAAATAGGTGCAGCACTGAGCCTGTGGGTTATGCTTCCATTAGTCCTGATGGAGCCCGGAACCCGAGATAACGGCTCTAATCTACTTTGAAGGAATTAAAGCTGGAAGTCGTAGACGGCAGGCCGAACCAAGAATGCACGGTGGAGATCACACAGCAGCAAACTACAACAGATGATGGATTTGAATCAGACAGAGAATAAAGACGACTGAAATGTTGGGGATTTTAAAGAATAGAGTTGTCTTTGCAGATTAGACAGGAAGTTGTCAGTTTATTCTTTTATAGATGAAATAAAATAATACAATAACAATAACCATGTGGGTTATTTCATATTTGAAATAACCCACATGGTTATAGTGTTCAACTGGTGGGTCGGGACCCAAAGGAGGGTCTCGCCTTCGTTTTCTGTAAATGTTTGTCTGATAAAAAGAAATCAATAGATAACTTTTTAAACATGTTTTTGTTCCATTTCTTAAATTCTGTCACGTGTTTTGTATCATCTGAAGTCCAAACTGCACAATCTGTAATTAAATAAATCTGATTGGTTGAAAAATATCAGAAGTTTGGGGTCATGACTTTTCATGGAGTTTGTGGTGGGTCCACCTGCTTCAAAACTCTTAAAAACAAGGGTCTTTTGTTTTAAACATAATGTAAAAAATTAAAACTTCAAAGTTCAAAACAAAATTTGAACTTCGTCTTCAAATCAAGAAGAAATCAGCAGGCTGCTGTTTATATCTTCTCATGTGCTTGGTTAACAGTTTAGGGAAATTACAGACACCAAATGTGTCATGCTGAAAATGTCTCAATATATTAAACAATAACTTGTAGTACTAGTAACTAGTAACATGGCAAAACTTGTGTGGCAAGGGCAATTTCATTTGATCTGTGCCTCAAATATGGCTTCAAGGAAGTGTTTAATGTGCAATGTGTGCACCACCTAGAGGTTAGAGTCTTTCACATAAGGACTCTTGTTGTAACTAGACTGTTTGTAAAGGGTGTAAGATTTAAAAAATAGTAATCCTACTTCCCTTTTTTCCTTTTAAGCTCAATCAATCAAGTCGAGTTTGAAGCTTTTGGAAGAAGGACAAAGACTACAGATGAGTAGCAAAGCAACTTCAAAATGAAAAAAAACACACATCATGGTGTGACACATTACTGACAATATAAATGATATTTTTCAGGTTAGGCCCTTTGTTCTTCCACTCTCTATCTGCTAAATGAGTTTGATTTGACGTTGATTTGATCGCTGGGCAGAGGCTCAGACATTCAAACAACACTCCTTTAGTCATTTCTTTACATTTATTTCAGGAGACAGTAACACACATTGATAGAATAGTGAAACATCTGTTACAACACAACCCTAACAGCCAACATTCATTCACATTTTTACACATAACATCAAGTATATATAGTTCACAACATGACTATCACACTGAAGAGGTACGAGGTGGAAGAACTCCTTGAACCCCCTGATATGCAGCAACTGTACATCTGTCAATTTACACGGACATGTTCCCACTTGATAAATAATCTGGTATGTTCACTGTCACATCGGGGCAAAAGAAAACAGCTCCTCCACTCTTTGTTGCAGCTTCTTGTTAAGTGCAGGTACAGCACATGATTGGGGCCCACTGGATTTAACCACAACATGATGATGTAGTGATCAAGTAAGTACTTTACAATGGGCTGATTGAAGGTGTTGCTACATTAAAAGAAAAACACTATAAATATGAGGGTGTCTTCGGGGATTCCAGTATTTTGTTTTTGACCTAGATGAGTCAAAAATCATTTCTATTTTGTGCAGGAAATGGAATGTTTAGAGGTACGTAAACACAAGAATAAAATGAGTTCACATGACTGAGGCAGACATTCAGAACACGGGCCATTTAATCTGCACTATGTTGCACTGCACTGGGATTGTTGGAAGAGGGACTGAGAGGTAAGGACGCTCATTCCTCCAGGGTCCTGAAGGAGTTCTGCATGTCCTCGTGCAGCTGGGCGAACTCTGCTTTGATCTTAGCTTCTCCATCTTTCACAGGGTCCTGAGGAAGCCATCGGACAGAAGACAGAGAATCGATTATTCATTCAAACTGCTGACCAAATAAAAAAAGCACTCAAGTGTTTGACACAAAAAACGAGGAGCAGTCGTGTACCTTGAACTTCATGGAGCTGATTTTGTACAAGGTCTCTCCCATGTGCTCCCTGATCATGGCCCAGGTGATTTTGTTGTCACTCTGTGCTGTGGTCTCCACCGCGTGTCGGGCCATGTCATAAAAAGCGATCATGTTTGAGAGGATGCCAACAGTTTTGTAGAAAGGGCAGAACCTGTGTGCAGGGAAAGAAGAAGTATGTGTGAAGCTCAGAGGTTCTGTAATCATCAAACAGGGAGAAACTGTATCCCTAACTTACTGCCCACATGATGTCATTAATGACATCACTGTAGCTATGGCTACAGCTCCTTGAAATCTTGGTGTCAGCAGATTTGACAATTTTACCAAAATTAATTGAAATAGAGAAGATGGAAGACCTTCTAAATGGATGAAGATATGCGTTTTATGTTTAATAAGTTGTTCTTTCCTCACCTGTCGTATGGGGTGTAGCCGTTCTGCTGCAGGAAGTCATCCTTAATGAGCTTCGCAACTTCTAGAGTGATCTTATCGGTCTCAGCGAGAGAAGCCTGTGAACAAAATAAAAAAGAGGTTCAGTTCACTTTACTTTGTCAGACCTGTTAACCTGAAAAAATAATGCTGGGTGAAGATGCTTACAATGTCAATAATCAGTCCTATACCTCTTAGAGGAGGAGCCTCTTTCAAGTCAAATTAGATGCATCATATGCATTAATTAACCTGCTGTTAGAATATGGAATGAAACGTATGAAGCAAGTCATTAGCTGTATGTTGCCAAAGTTTTTCTAGAAGTAATACTAACTTAGGTATTCACTTTTTTTTCTAACCTTAGACCTTTTGCATTTTATAAAAACATAAACATTTTGGGCGCTGGTAGCCTAGTGGTTTTGTTGCATGCCCCATGTACAGAGGCTATAGTCCTCGTTACAGTGACCAGGGGTTTGAACCCGACCTTGGCACTTTGCTGCCCCGCTCTCTCTCTCCTCCCAACATTTTCTGTCTCTCTTCAGCTGTCATATATAATAAAGGCAAAATATGGCCCAAAGCATTTCTTAAAAAAAATCAATAAAAAAACATCCTTCAAAGCGACTGAGCCTCATACACCTGTTAACAGTTAACTTCACCTCATGGAGGTCTGACAGATGGAACATTATCAATGGGATGGGTGCAGGTTGCAAACAGGATGCAGCATTATTGTATGTTAACAGGAGAGATACTTTGTTTGAACATGTAACCTGTAAAGACTGATCATCTGAAGTATTAGAGCTCTTTGGAGGAAGTTTATTTAGACTTTGGCACCCCACTGTGGACAAAGCAGTAGCTCTGATCTATTCACTGACTTTGTTCCAGTACATTTGTAAGTATTGTTTTTAAAAACAAATATCGTGCTGGTTTTTTAACACTCAAATGTCTGGAAAATATAAGAAAAAGGCTGCTTCGATAAAGTGATTAGACATCACTACCTGTCGGCAGAGGTTTTAGACATCACAAATAAAATAGAAATAATCAGTGTTCATGCCGATGGTCTCATTTGTGTTTATCGCTCATAAAGACGCTTTGTTATTAACTGCAGTCCTTTGAACAGCCGGCTGAGCTTCAAGTCATTTTTGGGGCCATGGTTTTGTCATATCAGTTTATTTAGACTTATCTGGCCTCACCTTGCCAACCAGCTGCACGATTTCCGCCAGGTCCTCCTCCTCCTGCAGGATCTCTTTGGCTTTTGTACGGAGAGGAACAAACTCTGGGAAATGTTTGTCATAATATTCATCCAAAGCTCGTGTGTACTTGCTGTAACTAATCAGCCAGTTTACAGAAGGGAAGTGCTTCCTCTGAGCCAGCTTTTTGTCCAATCCCCAGAACACCTAAAAAGAAGAAAGGATATGACACAACCTAGGTATGGTGTGTAAAACAGAAACTTAACCTACAAGGGGAAATTATGAAAAATGTTTGAATGAAGAGCTGGAGAGCCACAGCCATGTATTTACCTGGACAATTCCCAAAGTGGCTGATGTGACAGGGTCTGAGA